TTTCATCCAAATAAACCAATGCTTGTGGGAGGTCACGTGCGCGTGTTCCAGATTTAGTAAATTGCACGTGAAATGTCTAAATATAGTATCAGAGGTTAGATATGTTAGACAATTGCTATTCCAAGATCAAAACGTACTATAAATAGATTCGGCACAAGACAGCCGTGTGTGGGTCGCGACTTTTCATTTTTTCAATGTCACCGACGTGGTACAAAATGTAATACAACCACACCTAACATTGCTTCTTTCCAGAAGCATATCGGAAAAATGATAATCAAATATTTAATTTCTCTGTCTTTACACTTATCGTTTCAAAAATGGGGTATTGTAATCTTGCCTAATAGTTGCATTATACCTTTTGATACCCATCTTTAAATATGAAGACGTTGCTTTAGTCTAAAAATAGCAAGAACACGCGGATAATTCTAAAAATAGTAAACCAGCACGTGCTCCATTCTAATTTTAGACGTTCACATGAAGGAGTAGCCGATGACCAAAAGCGTGTAAGAGGAAGAGAGAAGACATTTCAAGTGACAGATCAAGATATAATTCGATCGAGAGCGGATCAAATTACTCGGGGACATAGCCACGTTTCATCTACATATTTTCAAAATAGTTAAACTAACAATTTCGATGTTATCTTTTCCAATAAAAACACATTTCTTTGTTCCTAGATAGTTATTAGTACATAATGTAATAATCACGAAGATATCTTTCCAAAACAATAAATCATCACATGCTAGAATCAATTAAAGAAACTTCTCACCAGACATGTCAGAATTCGCTCAACATGAAGCCACAGCAGGAGATTTCGACAACGTTTCGACTTGTTGAAGGGAATTGGAAAAAAATTATGTGCGCTTATATTTTCTTTTGTATATACTAACATAAGATGGTGAAATAGATAATCATAAACCCACATGAAAAATGATGACGTGAAACCCATAAAATTGTCAAGCAAACGTTTCAACAATTTTAAAATTAAAATTAAGCCTACAACAAATCGCTCCATAATAATACAAGATATCTCACAATAATAAGGATTTAAAAACTTTGCCAAGACATCGCAAAATTGTCCATTCTCAAAACAAATGTATATCGACAAGAACACAACAGAAGAAAAGAGATTCACTCTCTCATTATTTTTTCTTTATAGTTTCATAACCTGGCGGTAGAGGCGTGTAAGTCAAATGAATGCGAAGGGTAAATATTTCAATTACAAGTTAGTTATAAAGTAACGTAGACAGGAGACGAAGATATCTTTCAAAGAAACTAAGTCAAATAAATGCAAATTTTGGTAATTATGGTAAAAGTTTCAATAAGAGGATGGATACCTTTCAAAGAAACAGAGCCAAATGAATGCAAATGGTAATAGTTTAAATAAAAAATTACTAAATCTTGAAAACTTTGATGATAACAAATAAACGACACTTAAACATATTTTTAAAAAGGGCATTGTCTTGATTTGATTTCACGTAAGTTCTTACAATGATTAATTGCATAAAAACTGGACCAAGCCCAAAGTAATTATTGAATATAGTTACTATAAATGACAGTGACACAAGATTTAAGACTCAAAGTTACTCATCTGAAAAAAACATATCCAAGTACATCTCCATTTCATATCATTGAGACTTCAGGGATTATAAAAAAGCGTAATAAACAGACAATTACCTGGCCACATTGAAACATATTTTGTTTCAATTATTGTTTTAACGTAGCAATCCAATTAATTATAAAACATAAAACAAGTTCTAAGATTGATTTAGTTACGGATGAGTGCCTGTGTAATCCGGACTTTTTCCAACACTGGTACTTTGTCTATTCTTGCTCAAATAAAGAGCAATGTTAGTTTGTACAAAGATATGAAAATTAAATAACAATGTGCCTTACAACGGGATTAAAAGATTAAAATCTAGATAGATTGGTTTTAAAGTGAATAGATACTAGTGTAACTGGGAGTCATTGAGATAGGCTCCAGATGACGCTTCTCAAGGAATCTACCTGTCCGTATTTTAGTCATCCTCACTCTGCCAATTATCGTCATAATTAACCTACACAGTTTACAGCATACCCGGAATATGCTGATTTACTGTCGATTTAATTTGTATTTCGCAATTAAACATCGACATCATATCATTTTCATGTTTTCTTTTTAATTGAAATAACTAGCTATACCATGCTCGCAACAGTCATCTGTTGATTGTTCTTACATTTCTCGAGCAATTATATCGAATAAGAATAACAACTGAAACTTAGAAATAGTTCAAAGATAATGGTGTTCAATATGAGATTGATTGATCAGCATCTATACTGATATGAATTTTCTTGATAGATTTATGCAACAGTATTTTGTTTAACGTTTTACGAAAAAGTGTTGTTTCAGTTCTTTTGATAATGATCTTTACCATTATGATTTGGTTGCTAATCATTATTCATTTGATATTTTATTGTTCAGAGATGGATTGCTATTTCGTCCAAATAAATTTTTTTATCATTGCGTTATATTGTGAATACAGGAGGATTCTTGAATAAGCTTTACACCATCTTTACTCAGAGACTCAACCTCGTGAGTATTTTTACATGATGGGACGTATTCAGGTATGGTGAATGGCATAGCCTTCTTTTCTTCATCCTTAGTAAACAGTTACTTTCAAATTGGTATTCCGTTGGCACTAGGATGAAATAGCTTTGGCCATTTCAATCTACTCTTGATGGCATCTTGAAGACTAGGGCGACTAGACGAGACTTTGTTTTTGATCAAAATTAATAATTTGACGCCGTACTTCCAGGGGGGGGGGGGGGTGGTGCGATGGCTGCGATCCCACCCCCAATAACAAATAAAACCATGAGATAGAAGGAGAAACGAGCTTTAAAATGAATTTTATTTGACACTTCTAGCTCAATTTTGAAGGAAGTTGCATCATTTTTAGTAGAATTCAAAATAAATATTTTTGGCTTGTTTAGGCCACAATCGCACGCTCTGACTGAAAACCACAATTTTTCGCACCCCCCCTGACTGAAAGCTGGCTACGCCCCTGACTTCTATCTCGGAATCCTCATTCTATGAACAATAACTTTACTTACAGACTTCTTAAATTTTAGTATAGTTTAAAATGGACAGGACTTGGAAATTAGGAGAGGACTTAGAATAGGCAATAGCCTCTTCACCCCGGAATAGCCTGACAACGGTAAAGTCAGATACCGTTGTCACAAATGGAGGACATAACCATCACTTCAATTAGATTTTCATGAACTGTATGTTTAATAGTGCACCTAGACTAAATTCCTTTGGAACAACAATCAATCAAAGTGTCTCGATACTCATTATACAGTTAATAATGTTCTACCATCGAAATAAAGTCTTTAATTTAACCGATCATAATGAGATACGGGACAACGGACACTGCAATTACCATATGCCGTTGTCTTTCTAAATTACTCAAATTCAGATTCCGTTGTCATTGACGATATCGAAGACGCTATATCATGTATATTGTAGCGATTCACGACCCAATTTGATCGAAAATAGGATTTCATACGATACATTATCACAAGAGCTTAATGCATGCACAGAATTAGTGACGATAAAATCCCATGAAATGAGGACCAAGTGATTAAACAGTTGAAGCGACGGTTATGTCCGCCATTGTGACAACGGTATCTGACTTTACCTTAGGCTATTCCGGTGTGCTCTTGCCCAATCCCTTTCGTTTCATCAGTATAATGCAAATCAATACAATGTATTATGTAAAACATGGACGAATAAAATATTCTTAATTCGGCATATGACATACCACAGATACTACAGATTTCTCAAAATTCTTAACCTTGACAAATCGAATAAACAAACACAAAAACTGTCTTCACAAAATGTACTCAGATAACAAATAATAATGACCTGGTGCAAATGTGACGTAGGAGACCTGTTGAATAAAATACAAGAACAGTTCTTGTATTTTATCCTACAATTCTAAACCAAAATGCTTATAATTCTTACCAAGATACCTTCACAAAGTTCAAAAATAATTTTAAAGAATAATTTGTAAAGAAGGATGGGTGGTCGTTTCAAAGAGCTCTTAAAAATACAAACTCAATAGAACCTGAACGTCAGACAGCAATTATAGCTACACCCATACAGCTTAAGTCTTATTTGGAGAAGTAAAGTAAAGATAAACTATTTTCAAAATTTTGTAACTACATGTAGCAATGCAGTGAGAAAACACGCAATGAGTACATCCAAAATATTAAACCCCATAGGCTTACTTGCAATAATTGCAGAACGAGAAATGTAACACGTTCAAATAAATGTAATGTCTATGCCCTAATAAATAATACCTTTAAGAGTAATTTCATTGACAATTTCCGTTACAAGGCTCTGGGTATTCAAGAGGTTAAGTGACACAATAAAGAAGACACTTTTATTTTCCCATTTTGTCCATTCACAATATATCCAAGGACTATGAAATGTGTGAAAGAAACAAGAGAATGAGAATACACGCGCATCGTGCGACGATGCCAGATTAGCATACCGATTGTGCGTCAGTGCGAACCATTTTGCTAGTACCAGTTGTTGATTGAATTATGACAACCACACTGAAGTGTACTGCAAGATAACAATTCAAGGATCACATTTACTTCATTATGAATATGAATAGATCTAATGCAGTTGGATATAATATAATTCTGCTTGGATACAGTGTCAATTAGATATGCATTCTATATGTGAACCACATGCTGTTTTCCGTGCTTTTTTGTAGGCAATTAGTTAGCCATTTTCTGCCTTATTTGTTCGACATAATTGAAGGGAATATTCCCATTGTTGAACTAGAGTGATTTAAAGACTTGTTGTTCTTCATATTTCATGATATATATCGCTGATTTTTTAGTGTATTGAAGGTCTTCAGGTAAAAGTTTATCTTAGAGTCAAAATTAATGTGTACTTTTATGTTTGTATATTCATCACATGTATTATAAGAATAAACACAAGTATCACTATGTTGTTTAAATAAGTTAATTATTTTGTTTTATTAAATTAACATATACAAGATTTACATGATCATTTAATTACACCATTGATAACCGTGAATAAATAATTGCAATTATCCCTGTTTTCTTATTGAACAATGAATAATGAACTTTAGACTAGCTTCTTGTCAAACTATAAAACTGTTTGACGACATCTATATGAATGTTGAATCTTAAAAATAATTTACAACAACTACCACAAAAATGTGATTGATCTGCTCGGTGCCTCTGGTATGGAACAGGTTAAGAATTACATCAATGGAAGTCATCGACCCAACAAAGCAAACTATTGTGGCATGACGTTATATTATTTGTTAGAATCCCGGGTGGAACAATTTAGATTTGGTTCATACATATCATATAAGTAATGTGTTCACGCCTTGTTGAAGCTTAATACGGCGTCTACTATTTCTTGGTTGACAAAGTCTGAAATTACAACGTACATGGATGTCTTGGTTTTCATCCAATCAATGACACGTGGCTGGGCACCTTGCAAAGCCATTTCTTCAAGTGAACCATACTCGAGTTTGCCAGCGAACGCCATTTCAATTGTTGGTGAGAGAATGGCTTGCGTGATATGGAACTTCATGCCAGGGTCTGTACCGCTACATTCGTAGTGCTTGTCAATAAATCTGATAAGATGGTGTCCCTCTTGCATGTTTGGCCATGGGTTGTAAAGGAGCTTGTCTGCAGGCCAGATCTGACGAGCTGCAGTGCGGTTTAGAAGTTTCAAGTTCTCATCCTTGAAGAGAATCATGACTTGTTGGTTGTACTGCCAAAGCGTATTCAATGTTGTCATCTCTATTTGCGTTCGGGGGATAATCTTTTGTCCAAATGTCTGTCGTAGACGTACGATAAAATCTTGTGTGTCTTTCTCATCAAGATTATTTAAATTCTGGAAGTATAACAAGACGACCTCTTTTGGATGATCTTCGAGAAATTTCTTGATTATACCCAGATACTTCCAGATCTCGCCAGTAAAAAGTCCGTGCTCGCCGAAGATGAGACCATGGTGCTTTGCTACACGCAAATCAAAATATCTGATCCCAAGTTGAAGTTGCTCCAGAATCGTTGATTCTTGTGTTGCACTCCAGTCCCGGTTCATCTCCTTCAGTTTCGTACGGAAATTGTCGAAGAGTGGGAAACTAGGTAGCTGGTCGATGCATTTAGCGATATCTGGGTTGTATGGAGAAAAGGGCATGTGTGTGCTCATATCACTCTTGATTGCCAACGAATCGTGGCTACCTGGAAAATATAATCATTATTGTTTAAGTTTTGTCCCCAATACATCAGAACTACATTCATCTTTATTTGGCGTCTTGAAAGTTATAATATCCGGGATCATATCACTTCAGTTAATTTCCAGTTGCAATTTCCAGTATGCGCAGGTGTTAATTTATTCGACATTATGATATTCTAATAAATTCTAAACCGGTGTAAAAGGGTAGGTGGTCCTATCAACTCTTGGTCCTACTCTCTATTGATTTATATGGTGACCTAATTACAATTATTTTCCTTATTATTTATACACAGTTAGGGCCAGTAAGGGCCGTAAGGAAAGGGGACCATTCTAAATTCCTGTTATTGCAATATTGTTTATTTCATAATTGATTTTTGTATTTTGCAAAAGTGTGCTATAATTCTTACCAGGTAGTGACAACAATGTCAATGGAACTTCATGAAGACCTTCAGGTAGGTCACCCATCCAGTTGGCCTTTGGGTATTTTGTTGCCTCATCTACTTCTGGTTCTTCTGTCTTCTCTTCAGGCGCTTCGGTCTTTACTTCTTCCACCTTTACGGTGTCATCAGCATCAGTGTTTTCCTTCTCAGCTTTAATGGGCTCGGCATCTCTTGGTGATTGAACAGGCGTATCTGCGTCCTTAACATCTTTCACCTGTTCTGTGTTTTCTACTGGTGGCACAACTGCCTCTTTTGTTTCTACGTTTTCTGTTCCCGTCATGTTTGATTTATGATTCCACTGGCGTCTATGTCTGTGAAATAAATGAACATTTGGTTGATTTGCCATAATCATAAGCTGAATTATATAAAGATTTCTAGTCAACAATGATTTCCCCTGTACCAACGAAGTATTCAAAGCACGTATAACGGATCTACTGTGACATAAATCGCCTCTAGTCTTCTATTATACTGCTATTATAACTAATAACGGTCAGGTGCGTATAATTTAGTAATCTAACTTACACAAATGGATAAGAGCGACATTCAGGAAAGATATATAACTAATGATATTAGCACTGCATAGCGGTAATCGCATCATAAATAACGTCATTTGTTCTCATCTCGAAGTGTTCATTGTAGGTATTACGATCGTGATGGTCTAATATCAAGATTGAGTAAATCGAGATTAAAGCCTGTGCAGATAACAGAGACCAGAGACGAGTTGAGAGATTTTCTAAATTGATACAATTTTAAAATATTTTTCCTGACAAAATTCCATGTCCTAGTCTTTTCAAGACAGCCCAACAGTTTCGACTTTGTTTTCGTGTTTTCGTGTTTATCTTTTCGATTTAATCAATGTTTATAACTCAATAATTAACAAAGTGATGTTTTAATACAAGTTAATTAATCAATGATGTAATGATTGAAATGAAATGCTGATGTATAAGGAAGTACCTTTGAATGATATCTTTCAGATGGTCCGATTCTATTTCTTTAGTTGCATTATATAACACCATATAGAAAGGGCTTGCGGAATTTTCATCGGACCAAATCAAATCCATGCATTCCATGGTTATCTAGATATGTATGAATAAAACATATCTCGTCTTAATATTGGACGAAATGAATGATTTCGGCTAAAGTGGCTCAACGTATCGTCGTTCACTCGTGAAGACCGAGCGTGCGAAGATGTAAACACGCCAAATATTTAATGGGAGCTACAAGCTTCGCAAATTAATTTGAACAATAATAAAATATGAGAGGTTGAAAATGAAACAGTCGCAAATGTACTGGGAGGTTTTGGATATTGGGTTTATCCAGAGGGAGATATGCATATCTCACGAGGGATGAACCCAATATTCAAACCGACCGTACATAACTGCCTTATCCTATACCAAGTAGAGTTTTCAGTGAAATTACCGGCAGCGGGAAGATATGCACCGAAGTGGGAGATATGGAGGTTCTGGATACCTCAAATCAGGATACGGGATATATCTTACCAACTAATCTCCCTAAAATCTACTTGGCATAAGATAAAATGTATTATATAAGTGGTTGATACAATTTTCATTTTCTTGTTTCTAGTTATTAGGCAATTGGTGTTGAGCCCCTTTAATCAAATTATGATCATGAAACATGAACTGATGGTGAAGTTAAAAAACGAATAACTTTAAATGATATAAAATCTATGATTGATTTAAAACAAAGATATCAGTTTCCTAATTTCTCATTCTCACGGCTTAATTATCCCTAATTGAAGTCAGAAATATATTACCTCTAACTGCTGGTATAATGTCCTGACTGGAGATGCTTATCCAATGGTTTCTTGTTGTATGATGAGACAAGTCAAAAGATGAGCGATATATACACATAAGATGGGACCCAAAACATAGCGTTGCCAAGCGCATTGCTAGGCGACATCTTCCATGGAGACAATGTCGTTGACATGTGTTGATGGAGTTCCAGGGAGGGATTTGAATAAATATCAGGATTTAAACAAACTTTATCAATACATAAAACACATTTCCTTAACGTCATCTAACTCAGGTTATCATATATTCGGTTCATATAACATTTACAACATAGTTTGAAATAACAGACAAAAGAGATTTATTGAATTTGTAATGGTCAATCCTGAGTACATCCCTTAAATCACAAAATCATCACCAAGAGGTAGAACTCTGTGTATTCTACTAATTAAAGCTCAAATACACACTGCAAATAACGCTTGTTGCATGAGATGGTATCAGCAATGAAAGAACCCGTACAATTGTATTTGATCTGTCCTGTGGTTTGTTTAAAACTATGTACATGGATATGTTTCTATTTGATTTTATATTTCTTTATTAGCTATTTATGAATTAAAGTCACATCCTTGTTAGTGTAGGTGTAAAGTAATTCAACTGGGAACTTTCTAAGATCCATGGAACACAAAAGGATCTGAATCATTGGTTTGATTCTGATATGGCCTCTAGGGTCTCGTACTGCCATAGTCAATAACTAAATAACATATACAATTCATTCACTCTTTTTTTATTTATAGTACTAAACTAGTCGTACAATTGACAATAACAGTAATTGTTTGCAAGAAAATAGTGTACATTAATTCAATGTACACGTGCAATGCATTTCACATGATCACTTTGTATAATAAACAACATTTGTTTATTATTTTACTTTGCTATATATTCTTGTTATAAAGCCATAATATCCTTAACCTCAAAACAAAAACTTACAACAATAAAAGTATTTTACATAAATCAGTAATAATAAATTCTGAGTTATTACCATGTAATGGGTTTCAACAAAATGTAATGTAATTTTCACACAAGATGATTTGAAGTTACAACACATCTGGACAAGGTTATAATTGATGCACAATGTTCAATCTTAGTCCTTATATTTAGAACTAATAAATATCTTTGGTAATGTAAAAAGACACCACTAATAAAAAGCTTGGTGGCTGATGTCAATCATCTGGGATATTAGGATCGACATCATTTAACATTGATAGTATACACAAAATATCAATTTATCATACATCTAGAATAGTACCTGTGTCATAATATCAATAGAAACAATCATTACATTCAAAGGGCAAACAATTATCTTAGGTAACTCAAACAATGTCCTTAAAACACAGATATGATTATTTTCCCTATTTTGACCTAATGTTATTTAACTAAATTTTTTTGGGGGATGGACCTTGTGCTTTCTGAGATTACCCATGACAACTTCAGTTTTGTCGCACATTCTACGATAAATCGTTTTGTGATGTATACACATATTTAGCTCATCTTACAGTGATGCAGCTTGAGGAAGTTGTATCTGTTGATTATTGTTGAAGTTGAACTGTTGCTAGAATGTATGATAGTATGGAAATTGAGTCCAAATCTGCCAAATTAAAAATGCAGCAAATTTGAGAAATTAGAAGAATGTGCAAACTCTAAAGTGTCAAACAAATCCCAAATTACAGTAATATTGATTCAATGACAGACATATTTTATAATAAGGACCTGATTGATAAAGTCTTATTGATGTGCGCATACACAGTTTCTTCGTGAAGCAAAATAAATACATTTCAAGTGAATACTCGTCTGGCAATAGTATTGTTTGGCACGTGCGATTGTGGCACATACAAAATCAGAGAATAATGTATGTGGCATGTCATCCCAAAATGTTTAATAATCATACATTAAACTGAATCTCGAAAACAAAATATTATTTCTGTGTACAGAATTTTGTACTAGCTGCCCTTTTCTTTAGAAAATACATCAATACATGTACAAAGTTAACTGCAATAAAAAGGTATAGGTATTAAAATATGGTGTAAAACATGTAAAATAGATCAATTTATTGAAGATGATGAAGTATATTGTCAGTATTGTGTGAAAGAGAAGCAAACATAATGTACAGATAATAATTGATCAATTTTGGTCATTTCCTTTTGGCATTTGTAGATCCATACATTATGTTTGTTTCTTGTTCACACAACAGTGACAAAATACTTCATCTTTAATAAATTGATCTATTTTACATCTACAACTTGGTACATGATTGTTTGAGCATTTTCCTAATACATAATTCCATGTTGTTACAAGTACTTGACCAATATGCAGAAAAGCTGAAACATTATTGAAACACCACTCTTTAAATAGTGTAATGGCAAACAACCACGAATGTGATTTACAAACAGAAACAGAATTTACTATTTACAATTAAATGAAAATGGCCTAAACAGTGTTTATTCCATTTTTAACAGTGTTTTCATTTTTGTTATAAATGAGAATTCATGGTATCTACTAAACAGCGTCTTAGGCATAAACACACAAGCTTATTTAAGGTAATTAAAGGAACAATAAAATTTGATGGTATAATCCATGTCTACTGAGATAATCAAAACGATATCCTATAAATATCAGATATTTGGATTGTCATTCTTGAGACAGATTGACAGAGACGAGATTCTCCAAATGGTGCATGAATGGACACTCAGATAGAAATGTCCCAAAAAATACATTTCCGAACAGAAAATCACATATGGTGTGGGAAGTGATTTAGACAAGTCATATATGACATTATTCATTAAAACAAGTACAATAACATATATTCCTCCAAATACACTTCATAATCTTCTTAAAAGGGAAATGTAATCCGAAAGAGCTGAAAACTACATATCCTATGCTATATCCATTTGAGAAAACTTTACTTGAATGAAAACAATGTTGTACTTATGGTAAGAAAATACACTTGGTCAAAAGTAAAATCTTACCATACATATTTCTTTGTCTTGAATTTCTTTCATATCAAAATCTTATTGATATCACCCTGTTTTCTAAAGTCTTTAAAACAATTTGAACTGCTTACTTCAAGGTCCTAAGCTAAAACAAATACAAAAAAAACCTAACCACTAACAATTATACATGCTATGAATAGTACACCACACCTTATGGAATCATGATCACTGCATTGGTAGGTAAAAGATCTACATTTGTGACTAATAACATAAACATTATGCCAATGCTTCAGTTTCTTTGCTATAGTCATCAGTTGCAGCTAGTTTAGCATTTTCATTGTGTGCATGTTTAGCGGGAAGTAATTCATTGTCCTCCACAGTCTTGTCTTTTGCCCATTCCTGGACCTCTCCTGATGCAAAGATGCAGTAAAATATGCCTGTGATAATGTATATGGCAGCTGAAATGAAGAAGACTATCTGCCATTGTCCTTGGGTTTGCTGAAAAATAAGAAAAACATAAGATTAGAAACTACTGTAAATATTGTGATTTTTTGCTAATGCTCTATTTGTTATCAATTTGGTGCTATTTAATTTGATTTTTGTTCTATTGGAATATTGCGACCTTTATGATTTGGCAAAATTGTGAATAATTAGAAATCGGCAACTCCATGGAGTAGCAAATCCCAAGGAACACTATATTTATGAATCGGTATATGTCAGAATGTACTATTTACTCTACCCTTGATTAAATTGGCAGATATTAAATTTCCACTGATTTAAGCATTTGGGTGACCATTTAGGAGTTTCAAAGGGATACGAGGCATTAACATGACAAAATGTCACCACCACCTAGAAAATTTAATCAATTTGAAACAAGCTGAAAAATACCTTTTTGACCTTTTTTTAACTAAAGACCTTTTAGACCTTTCAGATTTGAACTTCAGAGAACTCATAGATGATTTAAAAAAAATTTACTTTGGTTTAAAATGAAAAACTTCGTTCATTGGGATAACTAGCATAAGACCTGGCACAACTAGAACCATCAATATTTTGACAGAGAGTTAGTTTGGCATTCAGATGCGACAAATCCATGAATGCAAAGTCAGTAAGCAATTAGCATGGTTGACAATAGAATTTGTAGTACATTAAAAACACAACATTTTTTATTTTGATGCTGCTTTGTTCTTTCTTTTTTTATACTCTAAAATACATTATTAAAAAATGTTCATGCATGAATTAGAAGAGATGAATATTTCTCAGTATACTTACATCTTTTGTGATCACTCCAATGACGTATGGAGCAATAAAACCTGTACAGGCAGCTATCGAATTTGAGATTCCAATCAAAATTCCTGCATATCTCGGAGCGATATCTACGTGATTCACAACGAAACCGCTGAACTGACAACCACTTATCGAAACACCAAGTGTTAATAAAACAACTGCTGCGACTTGTTGAGTGCAGTTCATAAACCCAAGTCCAATCAGAAATAATGCTGGCACCATTTTCCCTGAAATATAATTATATCCTCTAGATTCTGCTGTGTCGGAAACTCGATGTTGACGGCTGTTAAATTGATAAGGTTTTCCAACTATGTATGTATTGCACTATCAGGTTGAAAAACATTTCAGTATTTTCTAAATGCTTCATCTAACGATGTGTGGATATATATGTGTACTTGCTGTCCAATAACAGCAAATATTCTTTGACTAAATGTAGTATTTTAAGAGACTTACAACTATCATAACAATAACATTTTAATAATAATTATTCTACTTGATGATTTCATAAAGAGTTAGTACAAAATCAGTTTAATAATGTAACTATGGGTTAAGTAATGTGTAAATTTCCCTACCTATTATGCCATCAAACACCTTCCGGCTCCATGCAGTGGATAGCAAGCCTCTACGCCGAACAATATCGGAGGCTAGCCCAGCCAGGTTAATAACAGCCCACATCCCTAAGTATGGCAAACAGCTATAGAGACCATTCTGAAATGAAATATGGTTTTCAATACACTTGGAAATGTAATTTCATTGAAGTGTTAGATGTCAAGTACAAAAATAATTTTCTTGAAAAATATGTTTCAAAGTTTGGTTTTATCCGTGAGTTCACACTGGAGTCACATTTGATAAACATAGAAAATGAAAATATTTGCAAATTACACTCACATTTCAGATTTTTTGAGTTTCAGATTTTAGACATAGCATTAGCATAGGTAGACTTACAGATGTAATATCAAATTTGAGAACTTCTTTCATGTATGTAGGTATGTTAGTAAGGAATGTGTAGCCTCCCCAATCACAACCTGTGTTAGATACAATGATGGCCCATACTGCCGGTGACGTCATCATCTTGCACCATGGAATTGGTGGCTCCTTTAAAAAATAATATTAGCTTTTCATATAGGTATTCAAACTTATATGTAACATTCATTTAGATAAAATATGAATTAATTTGGAGTTTATATCAATGTTATTGCATGAAGCTTACACACCATTTACTCTTTCTAAAGCTCTTGAACCAGCAGATACTATGACGACATTGGTATATGTCTGCCTAGAGGGGTGGGGGTGCATACTATTGGGACACTCTGTAGTATCATACAGAATAACAAGCCAAGTGCTTATGCATGCCAAATGGTTAAGTGTTGAATGGTTGTCAGTGACAACTTGCCCTTGCAAAAACGTCCTTGAAAATTAAGTCATTTTATATGAAGTGAAATGATGTAAAATATTTTGCAATGTATGAAAAGAAGTCCAAGACTCAATGAATTGTGGCTGTTTCATTCCACTCGGGCAGTGTCTCCTAAAGATAGCACTCGATGTTCAAATCTTGTGCAAATTTTGAAACAACACCTTTGAGGAAGGATAATCAATCCACAGGGCTTAAATTCTTAAACATTGCATTCTACTTACCTCTTTTGGCTCTGCATCATTCTGAGTCCCCTCTCTAACTTTGATAGACTTTTCTATGTGGTCTCTCTCTACCTCTGATATCCTCTTATGTTCAGCAGGAGTATCAGTAGTGAGAACCATCCATAGTACTGTCCAGATCACCGTAAAACCACCTGAGAGACAATAATAAATATTCATTCTAACTTGGGTGAAAAGTTTGTCCACTGACATGAATATATATACCCTTTGCATTCGTTCGACTTCACTTCTTAAAAGAGAGCTTCGTCTTCAGGAGACTCTGCACGCAGGGTAATGAATATACCATTGGAAAGGTAAATCTGTCAAGGATCTAATAACATTATTTAGTGAAACTTACACACCTCTCCAATGGTATATTGAACCTTGAAATAAAGTTTTCTTTTATTTTGACCTTCTTAAGATCCAGTTTGTTAAAGTAAAACACCAAGGTATTGTAATGATGTTTATCTTAAAAGCAAATTGCAAAATGTTGTAATTTAAAACAGTTCATGATATATTGAGATTCAGTAAAAATTAAAATGCCGGCCATTTATTTAAAAATCCACGCAGAACATCCATTACTGTTTATATGATTTTTTTTACATTATTTTACCAAAAATATTCAGATGAAAGATTTAATTTGACTATTATAAAGCTTGAATAAGTTTCAGTCATTGAATAGATGGCATACAAGTACATTACATTGAATAAAGATGGCATATAAGTATGTAAATATTACAATACCTAATATGTAGAATATAGACGGCCATCCACCATCAAAGCCATATTTACACAGTACACCTCCAGTGGCTAATGTTAACACATTCCCAATGTAGATCCCTAGAAATAAATAAATAAATTATTGATTGCAGGGTTTTATGAGACAAGAACAGACCCTGCTCAAAAATATTACTACCACCATCTGCTAACACTATTTATAGTATTTAACATATACTGAAGCGCAGAAGATTCCAAAAACATACTAGCATAACACAAGTTAACCAAGTGCAAGTTAAGGCAGACATAAGGGATGATTAAAATGCTTCTAGACTAGATTTATATGAAGCAGTCTTTCATTTTGATTGGGGTCTATGTAGCATAAAGATAAGAAGATCATTTAATACAACAATCACATAATATAATTTATTACATCATGAAACATAACCATATGGTGATAAGAACTGAGACCTTTTTACTTTCTGATACAGCTCTTGCTTCAAATATTAGGACAACATGTTTTTATAAGGACTTTATTTTGTGAAAGTGGAAGAAAGCAGTTAGAAAGAATTATTGCATTTTTATTTACTTAAAACATGTAGATTAACTTAATATAAGTCAAGGTGACCAGCTTGATAATCACTCTTAGGTTCTTAACCCTAGACGTCCTATGGTAAAAAAAAGTCACACAAAGCCTCAAGGGGGGTACAAATCTGAATTAACTAGAAAATGGCAACTCCACGGAGTAGCAAATCCCAACGAACACTATATAAATCATCAATCTGTACAGTCACAATGTAATATTTACCATCTACTCTTACCTTCAATAAATATTTTAAATCATTGTAGTATCATGTAACCATAACAAGATAACTCTAAGTAATGACGAATTTCTGCTCTAGTCAGCCATTTTGAATTTTCAGAGGCGCAAATCAGAAAAAACAAGGCATTAACATGACAAAATGTCACCACCTAAAACAATTTGGTCAATTTAAAGCAAGTTGGAAAATACCTTATGACCTTAAGAAGGTTTTTGAAGATTTGAGCTTCTGGGATCTTGTAGATGATTTTGAAAAAAGAAATTGTTCAATCTGAAGCAAGTTAAAAAAACTAGTTGCACACAAATCTTAAGTCAGATTTGAACTTCTTAGAACATGTAGATGATTTTGAAAAAAAAATTCGTCAATTTGAAGCAAGTTGAAAAAATACCTCTTTGACTTTTTTTGACATTGAGAAGGTCATTGAAGGTCAAATGTCAAGTCAGATTTGAACTTCTGAGAACTTGTAGATGATTTTGAAAAAAAAATTAAGTAAATTTGAAGCAAGTTGAAAAAAGACCTTTTTGACCTTGAAAAGGTCATTGAAGGTCAAATGTCAAATCTAAAGTCAGATTTGAACTTTTGAGAACATGTAGATGATTTTGAAAAAGAAATTAGTCAATTTGAAGCAAGTTGAAAAAAGACCTTTTTGACCTTGAGAAGGTCATTGAAGGTCAAAGGTCAAATCTAAAGTCAGATTTGAACTTCTGAGAACTTGTAAAGTCAAATTTGAACTTCTGAAAAGATGTAGATAATTTTTATAAAAAAATTTGGTCAATTTGAAGCAAGTTGAAAACATACCTTTTTGACCTTGAGAAGGTCATTAAAGGTCAAATGTCAAATCTAAAGTCAGATTTGAATTTCTGAGAACATGTAGATGATTTTGAAAAAAAAAATTAGTCAATTTGAAGCAAGTTGAAAAAAGACCTTTTTGACCTTTTTTGACCTTGAGAAGGTCATTGAAGGTCAAATGTCAAATCTAAAGTCAAATCTAAAGTCATATTTGAATTTCTGAGAACATGTAGATGATTTTGAAAAAAAAATTTAGTCAATTTGAAGCAAGATGAAAAAATACCTTTTTGACCTTTTTTGACATTGAGAAGGTCATTGAAGGTCAAATGTCAAATCTAAAGTCAGATTTGAATTTCTGAGAACATGTAGATGATTTTGAAAAAAAAATTTAGTCAATTTGAAGCAAGTTGAAAAAAGACCTTTTTGACCTTTTTTGACTTTGAGAAGGTCATTGAAGGTCAAATGTCAAATCTTAAGTCAAATCTAAAGTCAGATTTGAATTTCTGAGAACACGTAGATGATTTGGAAAATTTTTTTTAGTCAATTTGAAGCAAGTTGAAAACAGACCTTTTTGACCTTTTTTTGACCTTGAGAAGGTCATTGAAGGTCAAATGTCAAATCTTAAGTCAGATTTGAATTTCTGAGAACACGTAGATGATTTTGAAAAAAAAATTTAGTCAATTTGAAGCAAGTTGAAAACAGACCTTTTTTGACCTTGAGAAGGTCATTGAAGGTCAAATGTCAAATCTAAAGTCAGATTTGAAGGTCAAATGTCAAATCTAAAGTCAGATTTGAATTTCTGAGAACATGTAGATGATTTTGAAAAAAAATTTAGTCAATGTGAAGCAAGTTGAAAAAAGACCTTTTTGACCTTGAGAAGGTCATTGAAGGTCAAATGTCAAATCTAAAGTCAGATTTGAACTTCTGAGAACATGTAGATGATTTAGAAAAAAATTGAAGTCAGTCTAAACAGTATTTGTTAAGTTATAGGAAGTTGTAAGAAATTGTTACAGACGCCGGACGCCAGACGCCGGACGCCAACTGCCTTCGCAAAAAAACGGAGACCATAACAATATGTCACCACTTTTGGTGGTGACATAATAACAATGCCATGTGATCTACTCTGAAATTCCTTCAATTTGAGTATAATATAGCCATACATTTAAGAGATCGGAAAACAATTGCGAAATCCCGCATTAGGCGGCCATTTTGAATTTTTTGAGGCCCGAATTAGAAAATCGTTACAATATTTGCAATCTACTCTAAATTGCCTTTCATTTGAGTATAATAAAGCCATACTTAAAAAACATCTCAAAATTAACGCAAATTCCTGTTTTCCCGTTCCCCCGTTTACGGCCCCTGGGGGTCAGAGTAAAAAACCCGGGATATATGTGAAATAGATAGATGTTGTTAATATACTACCAAAATTTCATTGAAAAAACATAAGGTTTTTGCGAAAAAAATATTTTTTGCGTAAAACAGTTCACCAATATACACCTTTCCACCAAATATGACGAAAATCTGTGGACTAGTATTCGAGTTATCTTCCGGACAGACGGATGGACTGACTGACGGACTGACAGACTGACGGACGGACGGAGGGCTTCACTATATCCCCACATAACTTCGTTCGTTGGGATAATAAAGCTTGGATGTTCAAACTTTCCCCAAATATACTTCATTCAATTATCTACTATATGGTGTGATAACTTTGATGACTTATGAAAGGTTTCAGAGAAAAACAAAACTGTGACACCCTTTTGTTCACCCCTTATATTAGGGCTTCTAGAGTTAAAGGAAACACCTAGACACAACAGAATCTTACAAAGTTAAAAGAAAGTACTCAATTTGTGGTAAACCATCTAGTCATTAACATGACTGTGCAAATACCTGTTTTGTATTTGTCTGCACCGTGAGAGATCATAGTCTTCTATCAGTACCTTTCTGAGTCTGAGTATGATTTGTCGACAAAATCAAGGGTGTTCCATTTACACAGGTTTTTTAGTATTGATATGGCATAAGCGCTAACCATGCTCGAATTTTTATAGTGTTTTAGCTTGTGACGAACCACACACAATTGTCAGTGTCTTCAATTATGTTACGTAAATAAGTATCACAATGAATGTAATAATTAGTAATTTCAATAAATACGAAACGTTATGTTCTTCTGGGCTGTGTGCTCAACTGTACCTGATGTATGAACTAGTGAACCTTGGATGACATTCGGAGAATTTTGCTTTACATTTCCATTACTTTCAATCATTGTTGGTCCAAGATAAATCTTAATGTATTTCTACATGTTGACATAAGCAAACAATAGGCAGGCGTTTATTCTAAAGGAGAACAGCTATGTAATATTCCAAGGTGAACCTTTAGATTTGTTTTCGTAAAATTTCAATTTACTAGTATACTGTGGATTTCATTGATTAACAAGACACACAGTGATAAATATCGCACTTTGAAGAGCAAACTGGCCACCATGCAATTTACCCAGCATGGCCAAAACCTAATCAGACCTTGGCACTAGTCTGCTCTTGCATCTGTAAACATTTCAAGTTGACAAGGTTAGCGGTTTTCCTGCAATTTTGATGACAAGAATTTATTTGTAGTCTGGAACTTTGGGAAAATTTAGATAACATCGTTTGTGACCTAATTTGATGACCTTCGACCTTGAAAATTTACTTTTTTCAGACCTCAGTAGGTGTTTTGTACTTAAGCTGACCTAAATTTAAATCCAAAATATCAATTTAGAAAATCAACTTTTTTGACCTTTTCAAGGTCACTGAAGGTAAAATGAAAGGTCAAATCTGAAATCTAAGGTCAGATTTGAACTTCTGAGAACTTGTAGATGTTTTTAAAAAAAAAATTTGGTCAATTTGTAGCAAGTTGAAAAATTCAAAATGGCCGCCAAATTGAAAAATTCAAAATGGCCACCATGTAATTCAGCCAGCATACCCAAAACCTAATCAGATCTTGGCAATAGTCTGCTCTTGAATCTGTAAAAATTTCAAGTTGAACGGATAAGTGGTTTTCCTGGAATTTTGATGACAAGATTTGTTGAAAAATTCAAAATGGCCGCCACGTAGTTTACCCAGCATGCCCTAAACCTAATCAGATCTTGGCACTTGTCTGCTATTGCATGTGTAAAAATTTCAAGTTGAACAGGTTAGCGGTTTTCTTGGAATTTTGATGACAAGAATTGATTTGAAGTCTCTAACTTTGAGAAACTTGGATAACATCATTTGTGACCTAGTTTAATGACCTTGACCTTCGACCTTGAAAATTTAACTTTTTCAGACCTCAGTAGGTGTTTTGTAATTAAGCTGACCTAAATTTAAATCCAAAATATCAATTTAGAAAATCAACTTTTTTGACCTTTTCAAGGTCACTGAAGGTGAATGAAAGGTCAAACCTGAAATCTAAGGTCAGATTTGAACTTCTGAGAACTTGTAGATGTTTTTAAAAAAAAAATTTGGTCAATTTGGAGCAAGTTGAAAAATTCAAAATGGCCGCCAAATTGAAAAATTCAAAATGGCCACCATGTAATTCAGCCAGCATACCCAAAACCTAATCAGATCTTGGCAATAATCTGCTCTTGCATCTGTAAAAATTTCAAGTTGAACGGATAAGTGGTTTTCCTGGAATTTTGATGACAAGATTTGTTGAAAAATTCAAAATGGCCGCCACGTAGTTTACCCAGCATGCCCTTAACCTAATCAGATCTTGGTACTAGTCTGCTCTTGCATCTGTAAAAATTTCAAGTTGAACAGGTAAGCAGTTATCCTGGAAATTTGATGACAAGATTTGGTTTATGTCCCGCCCGCCCAACAGCACAAGACGACGGCAATATAGCACTTTTTCAAAGTGCGATAAAAAGATCAGTTCAGTTTGTTTTTCATTTCATTTGTGTATACAGTTCAATTTATCATGTATCTTGTCTGTATTGAATTTATGAATAATTTGTAAGGATCAATATCATTGTAAGTCAATGAGTGCAAGCATGTTATCAATAAATCTTCTCATAAACTGTCCAGTGTGTTGATATACCTATCTTAAAAAGTAAAATTATGTAAAATATTTGAAAATCCTGGATGACATTTCATATCAAGCATCTAATATGACATAATGCATAGAATCAATTGAACGTACAAAGTTAATCATTTTTTGATTTACATCATTATAGATAACAAAATATATTAAAATTTTGACTGGGAATGCTACATGCATGTTGGATTTATCTCTTAAAATTGGAAACAAATTGACATATTTCTTTGATAGCAATCAAACTGGTAGGCATTCTTAATAAAAAATGGCATGGAGCGTAACTGAGAATGTTATCTTCTCCCTAAACAAGTATCTCAACATGCAGGCTGACAGATAAATACTTGAACTTATAGATGTCACATTCAAGTAGCAGCTTTTTGATCTGAATCTAGATATAAAATGACTCGTTTTTCCTCAAATCTTTTGATTCTCAGGTAACTTTTTGTGGCAATTTTTAATCCCTTCCCTAGAACATTAAAATGTTAGGGAGGAATAAACAAAATAATTTTTTTAAGAATTAAACACTTTGATTTTTATAAAAATGGAGTTATTATTTGAGTTACTGTTACTTTTTTTGATAAATATCGTGCACATTCAATTTCAAGTAAGAGTCCTTTGTCCTTTGTACACATAGTATGCTTTGATTTTCATAAATAAAATAAAGTTACCATTTTAATTGAGTTAGTTACTGGTAAGTTTTTTTGATAAATATTATGCGCATTCAATTTTAAGGAGTCCTTTGTCCTACTAGTGCAAGAGAACCTCTTCAGAACTATGTTTTTATATGTTTTTTTAAATGTTTTCTGTATTAATATTCAAACTCAGATACAGAACAATACTGTCTTTTGATTTGATGTATACAGCTCTTTTTAATTTTTTTTACCAATGTTGCCCTTTGAGCGAACTCGTTAAGATCTACAGGCAGTCTGATTATGATATTTCCATAGATTCATGTTTCTTTGGGATGATGCCCTAACCATGACATGGCAACTGACATTTGAAAGTAACCAGTTTGGCAATGAATCACATACTTTGTAGTACTTTCTGTCAAACTAAGGTTGTATGTGTAATTTAAAGTGTGTGATAGCGTAGTAACAATTGCTAATACTAATAGAAAATGAGATATGAACAATTATCAAACTTTTTCAATGATCGAACATTATGGGAATCAATCAGACACACAGGAAATCTGTATAAGATGTAATGCAGGTACAGGTGGTTTGCAATTACAGACGTGCCACATGTCTAGGTAGTGAAACAGCTATAATGTAAGCAGAAGATAAATAACATCCTGCTCAAATATCAATTTTGTCATTTTTCGTGTGTCTAGATTTCGTCTTAATAATATATCACATTTTGATGTTTGTTTGATACATCCCTAACATGTGATTCTTTAACAAAAAGCCACTACCTGCCATTTGTTAAAGACACCAACCACCAAAAATTTGGAGAATATGACAACCACTTCTGGTGTTGACATAAACATTTAAAAATCCGATGAGCGGATTTTCTGAAATGGCGATGACATCTCTGCGAATTTGGAGAAAATCTGATGAGCAGTTTTCCTTAAACGGCGATGACAAAAAGCGGGACGATCACGATCACGACCATGATCACGACCACGACCAGTATGACGACAATATCCCACCGATGGTGTGATAAAAAGAGGTTTGGTGTAGTATAAGGGATATGAGATATGAATGTCTTACCTGCATATGAGTTGCTGACTAGTTTAGTAGTTTCCAGGGGAGGTGCCCAATTGGCCCACACTGTGTGAAGAGCTGGGAATACAACACCCTGGAATATTTAAAATAGAAATAATATGGGAGTAATAAGACAATGTCAATATATCAATGTACAACACTAGTACTACGGATTTTAAAAATTACATTTGGTTAAGGGTAACATGCATCGACTTTTAAATTGAAGTGGTTTTTAATTAAATAGATTTTTGGGGAAGTAAGGGTCAATATGAGTAGTATTACCTTTTAACCTTGCATCAATATACTGATGAATAATTGATGATAATTTGCATGAAGGTATAAAAAGGTATAAAAACAAACATTATTGATCAGAATTTTAAAAAAGAATTATCTTACTGACACATTTAGGGAAAGAGTAATATGATAAGGTTAATGAACTGTAGTTTTTTTCTAAAACTAAGTTTTAAACTGCATTGAATTCTCAAAATATTAGCACTTTGAGCATTACTCCATGAGCCAGAATGACCAAACACAATACACTCAAGGGGAAAAGAAAATAAGGTAAAGTATCACTTTTACTGATTGCATTGTTTTGGTGTTTGGTAGCTTGTTCATTTTCAACAGTCAACCTCACAGCTGTCTAGGTCAAATTGATCCTTAAGATGAACACAGTATGTTGGTTGAAAGCTGAAGATTTATTGGGAGTCTCAATTAATTGGGAGCCCCAATATACTGCAAATAATGCAAATACTATATTGTAGTTATGAAATGAGGATAATATGCTCAAACCTAGGATTGAGACAGCATTTCTTAACATTTTCATTGCGGTTCTTTCATATGAATAATCCTGATTGGCTTACCCCACACATTCCTAGGATGACTCTCAGAACTAGAATGAAGAAGTAGCTCACACGGGCTGCAATAGGTGTCATCAATGTGCATATAGCAGTTATAAACATACTGGCTCCCATAACACGTTTTCCACCCAACTGGAAAAAAACACAGGTTATATTGAGAACGTTTTGCCAGTATAAGTAATTTTTAAAATTCATTTCCAATTTTAATGATCCTATTACACAATTGTATTAAATATAGAATAAGTCACTACTTTTGATATCATAAAAGCATGAAAAACCTTCTTTACCTTTTTAGCCAAATAACCTCCTGGAAATTGTGAGACCATGTAGCCATAGAAGAATGCTCCAAAGAGATGGCCTTGGGACTCCTTGGACCATTCAAAGTCCCCATCCTGAAATTATATACAATATATATTTAATAAATACTTTGGTATGATAGTGCATAATGCATATCATATTATCACTGAGACATCAACATTTTACTCATGAACAGGCACTTCATTAATTCTGCTGAAATCATTAGTTTGGGTATATGATTTTACGTATTTTACACTTAAAGACACAGCCAGAAACCCCTCCTTGGAGGCTCTTGGAGGAACCCTGTGTACTGTCCTGTGTATTTTGTGTATACTGGTACACAGACATACAAGTACACACCATAGCCTTGGAATCGTGAACCAGTAAGTTTATCACCCAGAACCAGAACAACGGCAACGCCAAAGCGTAGCGAATCCCATCAAACAGAAATGGCTGGCATTTTTAAAAACGAAATATATAGCAAATATCATAAAACAACACACCAGAAAGGCCACCATTTTCAAAATGGTTGCTCACTAGCCAAGTTGTCATCAGAAGAAATAATATGCTTTTAAGTAGCCACCTATAAAATTTTGGAAAAATTGCACACATGTACTTGTAAAATAACACACATAAAAATGGTGGCCATTTTTCAAAATGGCCGACTACTCCCCAAAGTTTTATTAGACAATGTGCCATGCTTAGAGTATTCACATATCAAATATGAACAAAATCGCTCCACTACTTTTCGAGTTATAGTAAAAAATGTGAAAATGAAAGCCATTTTTTAAAATGGCAGCCTACTGTCCGAAGTGTCATGAGACAGTGTGCAAGGCTCATGAGTATTCACATATCAAATATGAACAAAATCGCTTCACTACTTTTCAAGTTATAGTAAAAAACGTAAAAATGGTAGCCATTTTTCAAAATGGCAGCCTACTACCCAAAGTGTCATTAGACAGTGTGCCATGCTTATAGTATTCACATATAAAATATGAAACGTACCAAATATATGAACAAAATCGCTGAACTACTTTTCAAGTTATAGTAAAATACGTTAAAATGGGGCCAAAATGGCCACCTTCTACCAAAAGTGTCATTAGACAGTGTGCCATGCTTTTAGTATTCACATACCAAATATAAACAAAATCGCTCCACTACTTTTCGAGTTATAGTAAAAATGTTAAAATGGCGGCCATTTTTCAAAATGGCCACCTTCTACCAAAAGTGTCATTAGATAGTGTGCCATGCTTATAGTATTCACATACCAAATATGAACAAAATCGCTTCACTACTTTTCGAGTTATAGTAAAATACGTTAAAATGGCGGCCATTTATCAAAATTTTTTTCAAAATGGCCACCTTCTACCAAAAGTGTCACAGGACCGTGTGCCATGCTTATAGTATTCACATACCAAATATGAACAAAATCGCTCCACTACTTTTCGAGTTATATAAAATACGTTAAAATGGCGGCCATTTTTCAAAATGGCCGCCTTCTACCAAAAGTGTCTTTAGACAGTGTGCAATGTTTATAGTATTCACATTTGCAGCTTTATTAATGTCCTTTATGATTTTTTTACATTTAAAACATATTGCTATTACAGTTTTACATATTGCACCTAAATTACTGTAAAATCGGCACTAAAATGGCCGCCATTTTGAAATGAGCGGCCATTTTGAAATTCGGCTTTCGAGCAGAACTTCTACCCCCATAGGGTATATGTGTACAAAATACAAAATATGAACAAAATCGGGCCAACGGTATTTGAGTTATTGCCCGGACGGACAGACGGACGGACGTACGTACGTACGTACGGACGGACGGACGGAGGCGTTCCCTATATCCCTCCGAACTTCGTTCGATGGGATAATTACATAACGCACAAAGTTGTCTAAAACGGGAATCAAAAAAGGGGCCAAGCTATAGCGGTAACCTTGACACTCTGCCATAGTGGTTGGACTTTAATGAACCACTGACTTCATCTTGAAAATTTTTGCCAGATACTGTACACCTGATACAATTGTACACTGACTGTGAGATCAACTTGATGATAAATGGATAACACAAGAGAAAAATCAACAGAATGATAAATCATTTATACATAACAAAGATAAGTCAACAGTTACTGTAAAGCACAATAGCACTCATTCATCGTGTTTGGCCTTCACTGGGGTACTAGTTGTGTAACATGTCTACCTACAAGTATAATGCAAGCACACAAGGATACAAGTAAACAATTAACAAATACCTTCGTCTAAGTAAAGTAGACAAAGTACCTATGCTACTCAGCCTTATTAAAAACAATATATTACAATACATACAGTGTGTACTACAAAGCAGAGCATCATGACCTGTAATTAATTACTAAATGTATGTTATCAGGATGCCATTATAAATATTACAAAACAGTTGCTAACTAGCCATCTGTTTGCCTGCTGACTTCTGTCCCACACTGGATGCCATAAGCATATTGAATTTATATTATATCTGGCACAAATTTGAAATATAACAAATCACACATTCATTTCATTGAAAGGACTGCTCTTAAATGTTGATAGACGTTCAGGTCAATTATTCGATCTATCAATAAAATATGCAGAACTTCAATTGTATTTTTAAGTATATTGCATTGCCATCATCTACTTCCAAGGTGATTGTAGCATATGCTACATGGATCAAATGAAACCTAAATAATCAAGATGCTGCATTGTTTTTCTTGCATTACACTGTTATTCATTATATATCAATACAGAAAAACCTTTATTGAACATTTTTTGCAGTGAAAACATATTCAATGTTGGTAGATCTTCACTATTGAGAGGGTAATTTATACATAAGTTAGTAGAGCTACTTGAGTATGTAGGGAGTGTGTCCACTAGAGATAGGTGTTCACTTGAGAGTGGTGTTCACCAAGAAAGGTTTTACTGATTTTCAATAAATAATATTTTGCTAATTTATTCATCTTTCTTCAACAAGAAAAATTTATTAATATAAAAAGTTAAGATTGATTTATAATATAACTATTAACTACAATGATAGAGATGGTACGGCTATACGTTAACTTTAATCTAAGCAATAGGCTGAAACCTGTCCTGAATTTGAGGTAGCCCCGGCCATTCATGAACTTGAATTTTAACATGACATTTTAGATATGACTAATCATATACACGACTTGCACTCTGCACATGCAGATAAAGGCACTTGTGTTGATTGATTGATTTTTGAGAGTTTAATTTAATGAATTTAAGCCAAACATTGGTCAAAATCATCTCCAATTATGCCACTTTCAATTTGTGGTGGAAACATAAGTGACATTCTCATCTGAGTCACATACCAATAGTTTTCAGGTAATCATTATTTCACACAGTCTACACCTCTAAATTTTGAAAAAGGATGCAATAATACAAACTGAACAAAATTGAAAGATGTAAAGTGGTAAACCCTGTGTGGGATTGGTTATGTTACCTGAAAAATAGCATCAGTCTCTCATTAGAAGCCATTTAATTTTCATATTGCCTAATAGAACCACCTAAGATAAAGTATCAAGCTTTATGTTCAAGAGCAGTAAGAACAGTCATGTCAATTGTTGTATGTCTAAAGTACATGTACATGTATGTAAACATGCAAGGTGACATTAATATTTTAGTTATTTATACCTAAGATTATATGTTTTCAGTTTTTATTTGCCTTAACTACATGGTTGTCAAATGTAAAACATGCACACAAATGGTCATTCATGTTAAATGATTGAAATTGGGTAAAAAGGGTATCTGCATTACTTGTGCTGTACCAAGTAGCCACACAGAATTGCACATATGTTGCCTACTTGTAGGTAGCATATTTTTGTGTTATTTATATAAGACAGTACTTTGTTAAAATGTGGTAATAAAATGGTGTACAGGGAGGTCCAAAAAAGTGAACCCTTGCAACAACTATTATATGAGTTATTACCCACATAATTGGCTAATATTCTCACATGTTTCAGAGAAAGGTCTGAAATTTTTGTGGGTTCCATAAAGGGTCACTGGGTCTTTAAATCTTGCAGAAGTTACATGGCATCACCAGATTGCATGATTAATGTGCTCAATCCATGCCCCAAAGTTCTGGATAAATACTGCAACATGAATGCCAATATTGTTCACTGCTCTATCTACCATATCGGGGTATTTTGTATTTCTAACTTGCACTTACTCCAATCGTCGCTTTCCACTGGGTCTAGAGGTAGGAACAATCGAAACCTTGTGAATCAAGATGTCAACTCCTCTATTGATTGATTCTACCTTTAAATGTTTTTCTCATAAACTGTTGATTAATACCCACTCATTTAACAGTCAAGTTTATGATGTATTTAACTTCAAGCACTGCTACAGTAAAAACTATTCAAACATGACCGTGCTCTATTCGAATTTCTCAACCAATCAGAATGCAGCATAGCCAATATAGAACGTTCTCTAATTCTCCATAGATGCACGACCATGCTCTATTCAATCTGCAATTTGCATTGTTTTGAGTGACGTCACATCTCAGCTACACATCTGGGGCTCTGTCCGGGGATAGCTGTTCGTATTCTTCCTTCATGCCCGTTCCACAGACACGGCTTTTACTAATTTTTATGTTTGAATCGGAATAAATAATGATAGGCCATTCAATATGGTGAAATTCAGCACTCGTTGGACAGAATGTTAGTACAAATGCACTCACCTTCGGTTCGTGCTTTGTACAACATTCTGTCCAACTCGTGCTGAATTTCACCATATTGAATGGCCTATCATTATTTATTCCTTAATTAAATGTATGTTTAATAGGCTAGCCTTATACACTGAAAGATATGTAAATGTTAATAGTATTGAGTACTAACTATATTACAAGAGATTAACACTGCATTAATCTGAATAATATAACCTTAGCATATTCAAAAGGCGAGTAGACACCATTTTGAAACTCATCACATTTTTCTGTTTCACTTAAAACATGGCTGAGGTGAAATGAGATGTCATGGTTTATCATGTTAAGTAGATACCTTATTCAGACTACTGTAATGTGAAGCTAGAGATCAATAATAAACAAGAGTAGTTATATTTACATACCACCAATACCACAATCAAATAAAGCTGCTGTAAATACCTTTGATACTATGAGTAAAGGAATACACTGGTTTAACAGTATGCCATCCTTCTTCAACAGACTTCATTTATGCTTAAATTTTACATATTTATATAAAATACCCTTGCTGCAAGGATGGCAGTATCTTGCCATTGGGCAATAAATATTTTACATACATTATCAAAACACCTTGATGCTCTGTGGATCATAATAAAAACTGACTTACTTCCATAGTTGTACCATTCCCAGATTCCATCTGGCATACAAGTGTATCATCATCAGAGATTGTGTTGTTAGCTTCATTATATGTTGCATTGGCTGTAAGGTTCGTTAACACAACCTAAAATGGAGAAATGTTTCACAATTTACTATGTTTACAGGGGTTTCACCGACAGACATAATTTTACAAGGCATTAACATGACAAAATGTCACCACCAAGTTGCTCACAATATTATAAGTTCAATCTTAAGTCAGATTTGAACTTTTGAAAACTTATGATGATTTGAAAAAATTGAAGTCAGTCTAGACAGTATTTGTTAATTTATTGAAAGTTTTAAGAATTTGTTACAGATGCCCACCACCACCCGCCGCCCGTCAATCACCAACTGCCAACCACCAACTGCCGCCACAAAAAAACGGAGACCATAACACTATGTCACCACTTCTTGGTGGTGACATAATAATTATACAAAATGCAGTTCAAGTATTTAAATTGAAATTCACAGTAAAATAATACTTCAATAAATCATTTTTAATACACTCAAAATTTAGCTGTGAACTACTTCAGTTAATCTCATCTTACCAACAGAGCAAACAGTACATGACATGTATTTGGACTATTGGGAGATAATGTATGTGTCTTATCATCTAATAACTGATTAGATAAAGTAGACAACATACTAGGCAGTATACTACTGTTTGCCAGATTATAGCCAATCTAGGTTTCAAATTTATTGGTATTCTGGGATTATATGGCTACAGACAGTACAAGAGACAAATGTAAATTCTACAAGTTCATGTACACTGTACAATTCCATATCAATACACTATGAATTGCTCTCAGGCTCCCTCAAAGGAATGATGAGAAAAGTATCATAGAACATAGAAAATCTATGCTATGACTCAAATTTGCACCATCAGGGAGATGTTAGTCTCTGCACTCCCAGGCCTGTAGCAAGGGGGGTTCACAGGGTTCGGGCGAACCCCCCCTGGCCAAAAATTCTTTCAAAATCATGCAGTTTTTCACCATTTTGAGCACTTCTCAAGTGATTTTAGCCATATTTGGGCCAAAATTGTCAAATGTGAACCCCCCCTGGAAATTTTTGAAAACTGAACCCCCCTTGGCAAATCCTGGCTACGGGCCTGACTCTTATCCCGTTCCCGGACTATGGTCCTGTGAACATCTCAATCTTTTGCCTGTGCGATTACAACATGGGAGAATTTTTTACTCATCTTACACTTCTGATACCTACTTCAATAGATTCCTTGGTAATTTAGCATTCTTTTCGTGTAGTTGAATCCACAATTGTCTGGGTTTATCGGCAGAACGAAGACATTTTCGTTTTTGATCGCAATATTTGCGTGTAACATTTAACTTATTTCAACCGTCAAATTCCTCCATATTGGTACTTCCGGGCTACATCCGGGACAGCCAAACGCGGGATTCCCCTTTTAAATCCAACCGCCATTTTGAAAAGTGATGGAATCTCTCTCGATGAAAAAGAGAAATGTTCCCGTTCTGCCGATATACCCAGACAATCGGCGGTTCCAATATATTAGAAGTTACATCTTGAGTTCTATAATGCATTGAGGTAGGTATCTTAAGTGTAAGGGGCGTAGATAATTCTCCCAAGTTGTAATCGTACAGGCAAATGAATGCGCTCAGTGCAGGACTATAGTCCGGGAACGGGATAACCTGACTCCCCTTCCTATACAAGAAACATGTACATCCCAATGACAAGACTGAAGTGAAGCTACATGTATTGTTACTAACCTGAGGATTGTCTTGTATGGCTAAAGCTGTGTGGTTGACCATGCATACCATGGCAACACTGAGGTTGATCCTCACTGCATACAATAGCAGACATCCAAAGAATATTATAACAGCAAGCCCTAAACGGCTAGAACACCAGAATGGTACTGAAAAATAGAACATTTAGCGATTTTCAGGAAATGTTCATAATCATGAAGTTCTTCTCTAAAATGCATAAAGCTTCATCTCAGCATTTGAGAGTTGTATCATGATGAGGTTTTTCTAGTGATCACTTCAGATATGTCATGTATATGGTTTCTACTTTTCAACAATATATATTTTTTCCTTTTTTTGTTATTTTGAATTTTGCTGATAGTGCTATTGATTTTCACTAATTTGAAATTTCTCAAAAATCCAGCTACTGTATTCTGTCTAATGAGTCTAAACAGTAGAGGTGTCACGGATACCTGATCACTTGCAAATCACAGATATTTAGCTCGAAGCACAAATTTCTTACTTTTTTTGGCTCCGCTCATGAAATGAAAGTTGAATAAACATAAAATATCACTGATCAAAGACCCTGGCATGGGAAAAAAATTATTTAGAATTTTCTTTTTTTCTAAGTAACCGGACTTCATTATTTGTTAGATATTACTACAGTGTATTAGATAGATAGATAGATAACTTTGACACCTTGTTGTTTATTTGCTCTAATTTCTGATCTAGGGGGAAGCCATGTTTTTTTCTCGGAGGGATCCAGATCTCCAGGAATCATATGAAATGAAATTGAAAGTTTAGATCTAGGCTAGACTCCAGATGGGGCACCCCAAGGGGTAAGTGATAAGGCGACCTGGCCTCTAAAAATGGGACTAAATGGGACTTTGGGGTATTTAAAAACGAACAAATGTGACAAATCAATCCTTGCAAGTGACAATTTTGCACATTTATCGGACTGACAAGTGTTTTGACTTTTGAGAGTGACAAAAATAGATAATTTGTTCTGAATGTAAATTGATGCTAGTTAAGATGACTTATTCTAACCAGCAATCAAACAATGGAACATAACAGACTATTTAGTGCATAAAATACTTTGACTGACTAAAAAGGAACGAATCTGACAAAATATGACAAGTAAATTTTAAGTGTGATAAAGTGAGAATTTGGAAATCTTAAAAGTGACAAAAGCGACCGCACTACCCCCTCTTGGGGAGCCCTCTACAGTGGGGGACAAAAATAAAACTCAACGTTCACAAGTTGTCACAATGAGCTAATTTCCAAGTTTCGTGTCTCAAACTCTCCCAAGCGGTAGAAAAATAATTCCCGTTCACTAAAGTAGCACAATAAATGAATCCAAAGCTTCATACCTGCAAATAATGGATAAATCCCTACCAAATCGAATGAATGTTTTCATGAATCGCCATGTTTGTTATCCAAGGACGGTTGACTCCCAGAATGCAACATCAGTTAACCGTATTTACTCATGACAGGTTTCAAAATGGCGGAACAGCATTTTGAAAGCTGGCACGTGTCATGTTGCATTCTGGGAGCCAATTCTCCGTTCCGGCCCAATCGGGCGACAAAATCACCTCAACATTTGAAGAGTCGGCATACATGTGAATATCCACTTCAACTTTTGAAGTTCTTATTTGTCAATAGGGACACAAATTCACTATATTTGGACTTACTAAGACAGAGAAAATAGAGCACTGAATACACTGAGGTAAGAATTTATAACATGTGCGACAGCATGTAATTTTCATAGCTTTTGCAATTCTTTATGATCCCCACTGTAGATCTACTTTCCTAGTTTCTTTCTCTTACCTTCTTCTAAGGCCACTGTATCGTGGCCTTCCAGTACAGGTATATTCCTGCATGTACAACTGGTCATGTCGTAATCATAAAATTTGAAATCATATGTCCGCCATTTTTCCACATCACAATTTGAATTGCGAGTTTTGGTCTTATTACCTCACCAAAAATCCCAAAACACACATAAAGTGATCAGTGTATTAGTTCACATCTTCTGAATCGCTAACTTAGAATTTACAGCCGGTTACTAATGTCAGACGTTAATGACATTTCGTCCAGTTTTCGAACATCGCCATTTTTCTTGGAGCCATTTTGTTTTAATTTTAGACGAAATCCTGATGAAATCATGTCAGGGGGGGAGATTTCCCAAAGATGCCCGATCATATTAGCACGTTCGAAAACAAATTTTATAAACTCCCTTAAGAAAAAAGCCATGGTAACCATGGTATTCCATGATGCGCTCATGGTAATCCATGGTTTTCCATGGAAATTCATGGTTTTCCATGTTATTTTCCATGGAAATTCATGGACGCCCATAGTAATCTTCCATGGATATTTACCATGATTTTCCATGGTAATTGTTGGTTTGGTAATTGGTTTTTAATGGATGTGTCATGGTTTTTATCATGACAAATGGAGATGTAAAATCAACAATTTGGTAGGATTTGTATTTACCAAAATCTCCAAAATGAATGTTTTGATGATATATCCCAGTTAGACTGAGACTTATCATTGAGAAAAAAGGGTGGGCATTTCATTTTGAAGGTTTAGCAAGAACATTCATCGAATGTTAAACTCAGCTTACAAATGAGAAAATATGTGAAACAGCAGAGCAGAGAGTAGGCCACAAGATTTCAAAAACAATTGTGCAAAGGGCTTTTGTGTAGATCAAGACTAGATAGAGATTTCTTATTTTTTAGGCCAAACACTTCTTTCCTTTGAACTGTTGAAAAAGATTAAGTCAAAGTAGCCCAAGCTCTGTTTTATTTCAATACTTTCTTTAATCTTCAGTTTTAAAAATCAATATGAAGTAATTTAAGAAATAAATAACTCATTTTCTTAAATTACATTTCGTACATTTGAGAATACAATCAAAAACCATGGTTTCTTTCTTTGAAGTTGAGAAAACTGCAATCAAAAGCCATGGAAGTCGGTTGATTGCAATCGAAAGCCATGCTTTTCCATGGTTATTTCTTTGATGTTTTGGAAAGTGCAATCAAAAGCCATGGTTTTCCATGATTATTCTTTTGATCTTTTGAAAGTCCATGGTTTTCCATGGACTATTTGTTTGGTCTTTTGGAAGCAGAAAAATGAATAATACATTATGTTTCTAAATGAACTTCTCCAAATTAAGTCCCATTCAACTTTTATAAGCATATTATCTGAAAAAATCCACAGAAAAGTATATACTTTTACAGAATTTTGACTTGAAATTGAGATGGGGGATTAAACACAAGCCTATGGCTGCAAACTGAAATGTTATACCTAAGTGATAAAAATTCAATTTGTCTATGTAAGAATATTATATTTAAAAAGAAGTTGCATGAAGGAAGGGGAGGGGGGGGGGGGTTAACAACACCATTTGGCTTAAAACATGAAACATAGTATAAGTAATTAAAATTGATTTGTCTTTGAATAGGAATAAATAATCATTTGCATAATTTTTAAATATTTGGTTGCCATTATTCTATGTTAATTAGGTGTCTTAACTCTCAAATTAATGTCAAAAGATTAATCTCTTTACAACAGATTATAAGAGTTCATTTGTATAATTCTTAAATATTCTGATCTTAATTGTTATTATATATGATAATCTTACTCTTTCTAATGCTCCCTCTTCAGTAATTATTATTGTCTGTGAGTGTAGACAGTGCAAGTCAAAAACTCATTGTTGATCAAATAAAACCAAATAGGATTTACTCCAAGTAAAAATGTTTATTCAGTCTGCAATAAGGGAATCCAGTGAGCTGATTTTATCACTTATTTTGTCTTTTTTAACATAAGTGCCAAAGTAAATGATAGCAAATCCCAGCAAACAAATTATTACTTTTAATTGTGGGGTCAAACCATCAATTAAAAAAAAATATTGAGTAAACAGTTCTTTGTCATATGACACTATGTACAGAATGTACTAAACATATATTCAGATTGTAAAAACACGGTTGTATTTCAGGCCTGAAACCAGCTTTTGTCAAGAAGGTTGACTTTCTCAAAGATTTTGGGGTGGGGGGTGTCATATTCTTTTATCTATGATTAATGAGACTAATTCTCAATCCAGCTTGGATTCATTCGTTAAAATATTGATTCAATTTTGAAGATTTTGGTAAAAACAAAACCTGCCAAAATTGTTGATTTTACAACTCAAGTGTCATGGTAAAAACATGGCATGTTCATGAAAAAACAATTACCAAACCACCAATTACCACGGAAAATCATGGTAAATATCCATGGAAGATTACCATGGGTATCCATGAATTTCCATGGAAAATACCATGAAAAACCATGAATTTCCATGGAAAACCATGGATTACCATGGACGCACCATGGAATACCATGGTTACCATGGCTTTTTTCTTAAGGGCAGGCCTCAATTTTCCGTTGAAATGGATCTCCAAATGTTCACTGTAGTTTTATGAGTATTCTCTACAAGTATGGATCGAGTAACTTCAATAGTATTACCGTAGGTTTGAAATGACGATGTTGAACTGATGTAAACGCCATTCTCACGATTTAAAATTTAACTCTGCGCATGCGCAGCACTGAGAGAGCATGTGCCCATGATTGTTCACGTGATCGAATCCTGCAATTTGATTGGAGATGATGCAAGAGATGATGTAATGGGGAATCCCCGAATACGATAGAATATGAAAGAATTATGGGAGCTACTCACTCCTCCTGAAATCATGTCATATCTCATCAAGGAGCCGAGCTGGGTCCGGTTTGATTAATGATTTATTTATCTGGCGATTTTTAAAATATTCAATAAATTTATGACACCCCGGCATACTTTTTTCAAATAGAGTTCACAGTATTCAGATGAAATCCCCTCTAGCCAAGTATTGGCTAGAGACTCGAGTAGTCTAGATCTAATCTTTCTCAGTTCTTTCAGATTTTTATCGGCGTTTTTGTTCTACGACAACGTGCACCGCTCCTTCGTCACTCTTTTTCACATGGAAATATCGTATATGTTTAACCAAATATTACATTGATGCTATGAGTTCTATTATCTAATGCCTAATTACTTGTTTCTTAAATAAAACTCACCTTGTGTCATTTTTCAGATAAAAAAATTAAATATGGCGGCAAATTCAGATCGAGGCGAGTAGCCAAAAACCTTTCACGTAAGAGATGGATCAATTTGCTCGTGGAAAAAGGGTTGCCAGTTGTAGAATTCCCGATTATCTGTTTAGATCTCAATAGACAGATAAGAGTTATTATTAGCTTTGTTGTTAACATGTCGATAATTGATGAATATACGGTTCATCTAAAACTAATAAAATGTAACATGATCCAATTTTGAATAATTTATTCACAAACTGAAGATGATGAAATCCCAGTCTACAATGTGTTTGGAATATATCCAAGAATGGAATATGGAACCAATGAAAATGGTATCTAAGAGTAAGACCCCAGTTCATATGAGTTCACGGGCAGTTCAGTTAGTACTGCAGGATACTATAATATGAAACGTTGTTCCCAATATTAGATGTAATGTGTTTTCCCCACCATAAAAACAGATATGTGCAGCATCTCTTTCCAAAGGCCATGAAGCTTATCGGCAAGTTGTTAAATATCGATATTACAAATGACAATATTCTGATGTTAGTGTAGCCTACATGTACGACTTGATACAGCTTAAGGTACAAAAGAATGAATAGTCTAGTTAATATATCGCTACCATCCCTAGTATTACACATGTGTATGCCAATGGGCCTACTATTAATTATACTATACGTTATGTTTGCTCGGTGGCTTAACAGACTCGCTTCAGTCCATTCAGTCACTCTTCCTATAAACAATTTTTTAGTTTTCTTACCTTTGTTATTATCCATATTTATCTATATTCCTTGTTTGGCGCTGAAGAGAACCATACGTACTATAACAACAATGAATGTTTATGTGCCATGTGTCTTAGTTAATAAACGTACTATAATTGGACCTCGTTTTGAAATATAGGGACCAATCATTGAATCTGAAAACGTGAAATGTAGACTCATATTGTGATTCGTGCTTTTAAATTTTCCTACCATGTTTTCCTGATTTATCATCACGATTTACTGAACAAGTAATTGACGTATTTAAATTAATATATCGATGAGTTGAACAATTAAAATTACTCGACAATCAGTTTCTCTTTGTTTCTTTCTTCTCCATTCATAAAACCCAATCTGACAAAGCTACATACGAGAGACATCTATTCTACGATCCGGTTTCAATAAATACATTCCAATGTCTACTATTTTACTATTTCCACTCTTGGTAGGTGACCACGGTTATAGTATAATTAGTTAACACTAATGACCAGGCTGGTGCAACAGCGCCAGGGTAACCGGACAGTGCCAACGTACAGGGGTTGGAAACGGGTGTACTCTAGCTTAGTATTTGCGTTTTAAACCAGGAACTATGGGGAACTTACATGCCATTGTTATAAATTGACAGCCACTCTACTAGTTTTTTCTTACTCACGTCGAGAGCTACCATGTTAGATTTTGAAAGTATAGCTCTCCATCGTGAGGATCTCCAGCCTGAAGAATTGTGACATCTAAATTTGATCAGCGCCAGTCAGCGGCTTACTGTTTGTCTCAAACTGTAGCCTACATATGGGCTCATATGTATCTACTTTCCCCGTGCATATAGGATCGCGGATGTGCTTCTATGGCGATCAGGAGTTCTAATCTTTTTTTGTTCGATACCCATTTCCAATATGGCGGTTAAACGGAAATATTATCGACGCATGCGCAACTTGGGAAACGTCAAGCCGCCATATTGAATATACCTGGCCAAAACTTTTGACACGACCAATAAAATGAAGTCCTGGTCGATACATAGGGCAGTGAGACGTTCTATAGTTGAGCTGAATGAAACATGGCGATGTAGGATACATTTTCAGGTATATAATGTGCAACATGAGTCAGCTGAATTCCCTGGAATTTTCTTTGAAGTCAGGATTCTTAAGCTGTTGATTCTAGCGATAGAGAGCTATACTTTCAAAATCTAAGTAGCTCTCGACGGGAGTAAGTTTTTTCAAGTTAAAACGATATGTGGTTAGCTTAAGAAATATTTTCATTTTGGTTTTATCCCCATATTATTGAAAACCTAGAGTTTTGGATGTCAGTTTGTGAATCTTTGGCTCCGCTGTTTTGGGAATGTGATGAGCGCTCTTATCAAGTGGGGAAGAATTAACAATACGTTAAGAACAGATGACAAAATAAAACTACACCTACGCAAATTTTGAGTGGTGGCAGATTTTTGCATTTATTGTATTTTCTGAGTACTCTACAAAAATATAGCGTTTCCACCCCTACAACAGTTATTTTTTAATCCATGCCGAATTAGTCTTGCTTCAAGACCCTGGACTATCTTCCTAACAACTAGTACTGTTATGTTATGTTGGTGAAGTATGATAAGGATGACGTCCACAGTCTTGAAGCAAGACTACATTCGCATTCGTTTATTGCAATAGCTTCACTTTTGGAACACTCTTTGCTCATGGTATATCGTTGAAAACGTTTACACAAATTACATACAGTTTACAGTATAACCTTAAAGGCAGAATCTGATCTATAGGGGGTGACCAAATTACAGGCAACATGTATAATTGACCTACCAATCTATTCCTTACAATATGAAATACAATATCTCCCAAAAGATTCACAATATGCTATAAATTGGTGAAGTTATTAAAGTCCCCGTCTAAAGTTTGAAAATATTTTTTTATCATTCATTTACTATTTGTCAGGACTTAAAAAGTGATTTTAGAGATTTTTGAACAAAAAATTTTTTTTGAAAAAAAAGTTGTGAGCATTTCATTTCTCAAATATTCAAATTGAAATTTCTTAATCATCAAATATTTCTTAATGCATTTCAAAAAAGATTATCTTTTTAACACCAATGCAAAGGTTGAACAAAGGACACACTATTTCAATAATAAAATAACATATTTAATGAGCCACTTCAATGTTTTAGCATATCAAAAATATTTTGAAACATTAGTGATGTCACTAAGGTACCAAAAACTTTTTGAAAAAAATTGAAATTTTTTTTTCGATGTCAATCTTTTCTAAATATGTTAGACTTTCATAAAAAACCAATGTTGATTGTCTAACCAGGTTAAAAGGAAGAATAAATTATGTTTTAGATATCATTGTACCATTGGTTTCTATGAGAACTAAAATTTTGAAATGCATTTTTCTCAGAACCATTTTCATGCACTGATAATTTCATTTCTCGCTTATTTATGAACCGATTTTCTTAATTTTTTTCGGCAAAAACACGGGAGGATGAATGCTATGCATTGGTATGAATTGTGGCTAATTAGAAGATATGAGTGACCTCTAAAAGTTGGTTTTAAATAAATTCACAAATTTTGGAACAAAAAGTCTATCAAAAACCACTTTTTGAAATTAAAAAAAAAGTTTCACATATCACACTTTGATAACATTGGGTAATACTACAATATAAGCCAAAGTGGTTTAAACTTTATATGGGGCCTTTAATGATTCAGTCAAAGTGCAAAAATGAGTGAAAAATGTTTAAATTCTCCCAAATGATAAGAATGGTAACCATGGTAACCATTCTTATAGACAAATAATTACGTTATTGTTAAAATCTTTAGTTTTCCTGGAATAAAGTATGCACTTTTGTGATTTTTAGAAAATGGACATGACAAGGAATGACATGAGCCAAAAATATTCTAAAGTTGAAACAATGTTTTGTTTAGCCTGCTCATCCTTCTTCAAAGGACTTCATTTATGCTTAAATTCGTTATATACTTGTAAAATACCCTTGCAGCAAGGATGAGCCTGCTCGCTATATCTGATTCTCTCTTTAAATTACAGTCTATCTTATGAGACGCGCATTCACTGTTTGACCAGTGATATTATCAAATTTCCTTTATTTTCCACTGTATTAAATATTTCTAATATTTTGTGCAAACGAGGGATTAGTCGTGGCAAACAGTCCATTGTGTTTAACATTGCTCAGAATTAGTAAATTTATATATGACTTGTGAACTTGAGTATTTGACTTTATGATTTGGTCATTGAAACGGTAATGGAAAATTATATTTAATTCCTTAATTCGTAGATTGTTGTTATGGCTGCTAAAGATGTTGATAAATACTAATTCATGCGCATTATTCAGAATAGTGCATTATAGCGAATAGCCGTGACATGCTGAATTTAAGTTTTTACACACAGCCGAGCGAAGCGAAGTTCATAGTACATTGTAATTGTTCGGGATGGCTAAATTATGATAGGATATCGCTTAGATTTTACGTTAAACTCTAAAAACCATTTACTAGCCTAATTTTAACTGAAAAATATAATACTAGTTATGGAGTAAAATGCGTTGTATACTATAAAGATATGTTATATGCAGATATATTTTAGACAATAACAAGATTGAAATTATCAGATAACGTATAAACTTTAGACAATGCTTTTCAATTATAAATTCAATCAAAACAACAGGAGTCATGACCCATGACATTGATAATCATAGGAGAGAAAAGGGCAACATTGAAATCTTATCAAAAATAAATAGATACACATGCTAACGTGTACATAATTGTCACCTCTAGGCAATTCAGAATATGCTTCTCAAGCCAGTTTATAAGATATATAAGATAATTCTATCAATAACAACAAAGGCCAAACGATATAGTATTTTGAAATAAATAAACTAGAGGAATCGAGCTAAGCAGTGAAATGGAGTCGCTTATAGACTCAAAAGTAATGCTGGTGATTTATACTATGTTCGACGAGTAGAAAAGCAAAAATGGACCGACATTTCTTAGCAGTGTTGCCCGTGCGAGGTATAGGATCAAAAACGGACAAAAATGTCCAATTTTATGAGCAAACACGTTGGTGCAGAAGAAAAAATGGAATGGATAAACATAAGATGGATATGTATGCAACTGAGGTATTTTTATGGAAGTTATGTTTATCAAATAAATATTGTTTACTTTCCATATTTTGTCTCATATATTTAAATTATGATAGCATTTCACCTCAACATAATCTGTTAATATCATACAAATCTTCCCCAAAATATACCAAAAACCACACTATCAAGATTGCTGCTGTATTATTTTCAATGCACGTGTACATGTGTCGGGCGAGTTTTTGCTGTGTTCATTGAGCTCACTTACCCTAAACATTCGGTCAAATCAGGTTTCGGAATATATTCTTACACGATATTATAAAATATGAAAATACGGACATTTAACTTGTTTTCTTTCAGATTGATAAATGCAGTGAAATCATCAGTAAGATAGAGATCGACCACTCCCTAACAACACCGAAGATCTCACGAGCTAAAACAATGCCGTCCATATCAACCAACTACGACATTACAAAACAGGGATTTAAGAGAAGAAAGTCTGTGTGTTTCGGCGCCACTTACAACGTAGATGAGAACGTAGTCCGTCCAGCAACCCAGGAGAGTCAGAACTCCTCCATAGAGATTGATATACAAACGGGTAAACGAATTAAAACGAAACGAATAAATGCAAATGATTTATGTCAAATTTTAAAAAGCCGTGGTCTTGGAGACCCACGAAAACGTACAAAGAACCACGAGGTAGTTGGCATGGTACAACGCGCAACTACATCAACGCCATCTTTATCAAGATCTAAATCAGTAATGATGGCGTCATCAACGACGAAATCTAGGTACTCTATGGAGAAACTTAAAGGACAAGCACGGATTCAACAGGGTCACGCTAATGAAAGAGCAAATGCATTTTGCGAGCAGATGTCTGGGAAACAGATAAGGACGGTTTCTGCAAATGTAAGAACTCGATTTCCAATTCCAGGGAGGGTTGGTCAGTTTCTGTCTGTCACGGGTTACGATGGAAAAGATTTCGAAGATGTTCAACATATGCCCAATGATGAAGAACAGGAATCAAAAGAAGAGATTGACGAAATTGACGAGGAGTTTAGAGACCGCATTTTACAATGGATATCAAGCTGTAAAAGTGCTAGGCAGTCTAAATAGAAATATACATAACAATACGATGGCGTAACTTACTGGCTTATAATGTGCAATACAGAAACGTACAAATGTAATAAAATTGATTTGTATGAATATATACAGTATATACAGTGAGATAATTATTTTGATGATGCATTAATTTTAAAGATACTTTTGAGAGAAAGGAAGTAGAAATGCTACTGTTCCTGAAATTGTATGGATTGATCTTCGGGGGTTACTAAGAAAGGGTAACAGACACTAGGGATTTAAATGTAAATAAGAATTTACCCCGTTTACTTTATAGTCATGCCTCAAATAAAGGATTGGTATCGATATGGTGAACTGAATTGAACAATGTTTTTTCTTTTAAAAGTATTATTGAAAACATTCTGTAAAAACACAGTCCTTTTGACTCCCATGTAATTTTCACTGATTGATAATAGTTTAATGCGAAAATCATTTATATATATTTTATACAAATTTTTTGTTTTTAGTGCGATTTTTTGTTCCTTTTTACCAATTCTTGAGAATGAAATAAAATATCTTTCCGAAGCTTGTTGGAACAAAATAGTATTATACAACATCTTTTAGACCTCTCAATATTATAGTTAAACAAAGAAATTTTTTGTTGACTTAACACCTTAATTAAAACAAAAAACCCCAAAATATATAAAAATTAAGATAATCCTTTTATTTTATTAACAAGATACTTTTTTTTAAATCAACCAAGTTTTCCTTTGTACAGTCACAATATCAATATTAAGAGACCTAAACACGTGGTGTTTATGTCATTTTTGTTCCAATGAGCACTGGTCAGTATCAAAATGCGGTAACGTCCGTTACCTTCTCATCTAAGATGGTGGACGGAAAGTGCCGATTTCGATATTTTTGGTTTTCGTCCAATTAATTATAAACTACTTTATAATTGACTTAATGCTTTGATATTTGAACTTGAAAAGCCGTATATAAGTCAAAACCGCTTAAGTGTAAAATTAATTTTGATAAAAAGTGAAAAAAATCCTAAAATGTTTTTTTCAAATAGATATATAGTATATATCTTCATACATTTGTACATTCGTTACCCAAGGCATTAAAGTAAACTCCAAGGAAAAATAGGCGAATTTTCAAATTGAAATTAGGGTCCGTCTCAAACATGTCGATTTTCACACCTTGACCCCCTGATTAATGTGTCAAGCTATTCAAATTAGAATGCATCATTTTCAAAAAACCAAGAACGTTCCTCATGGTACTTAACTGTCCTTTAAAATCGCAAATGGATTTGGACTGCAAGCTTTTTCTTTTTGATGTGCATCACTTTGTCAACATGAACCAATAAAATCTATCATTTTTCTCAATTTTTAACTTCCCCTTTGTTTTTCATTTGAATGAAATTGAAAGAGTCGACTCTATTGAAACATGAATTGATGCGATCATGAAAAATGATGCTTAAGACGATAAGAAAATGATAACAGTTTTATTTGGGAAGAATTGATCATTAGGCTAGTTCACTATTCATCCGCATGTCAATTTTCACAAGACAATTAGAAACAAATGACAATGAGTTAGAAAGTTCACTTTAGGGACCGCTAACTTCACGAATCGACATTTTTGATATGTAGGATATAACAAGCTGAACTGAGAAACAACCAGTGTGTATTTGTATCCAAATATGACCACGTTTATGTAAAATTTTCCGTCAAAACCCTGTCGTGTTTTACATTTTATTCTAAAATATCGTCAAAGAGAATAAACTAAGTATATGTACATGTACGTATTACGTCCGCAAAGTTTATATGCACTGAACACATCTTTTCTACATTCTTTTCACACCAACTTTACCAAAACATCTCACTGATTCATGAAACCAAGATTTACATTTTTAGATTGAAAGACAATGGGATGACAGATGCCATATCGTCAAAATAATTTTTTGACACACTTGGCATATGTTTTCTTTTTTTTTATCTCACATACCAGGTATGGTTCTTTGACTTGTTTTTACAATTTGAGTAATTTTTCCTTTGGGTTTAGCTTTTAATGCATGCTTAAACCAGTTGCAGGTCGACGTAGTGACGTTTTTCCTGCATGTATCACAACAGGACAACCATTTACGTCATATTGGAGTACAAACATCATCTATCGAGTTATGATCTGAAATGTCCCTTTAACACTATTCCAAATCAAGAAGCCGGTCCTTATTCTACTCGAGTCTACGTTATCAATTGAAACATGATATTGATGTCGAGTCCAGTCCATTAAGGATGACGTATAGTTCAATCATAAAAATCATCTGCACCTGGTGTAGAGAAGTTTTTCTTGACACCATTATCTGCGGAGCGCTTCGCTGATGACCCCCCCCCTCTCCCTCTCCAAGTTCCTATCACAAGAACCTTTTTCCATGGCAACTGGAAGTGTTTTTATTAATATGCTTTGGTTTATTCTGAGATTTTCTTTTAGTCGCTAAAATTTCCGCTTTAGAGAAACAAATTTCTTTCGTGTCAGACTCGATTCTTTTTCGGATTTCTGATTTCGCATCTCATAACTTTCGCTATCAAACTTGTTTCTTCTGATGTTTTGTTTTTCTTTGAAACTCTTGAAGTCTATATATTTTTAGTGATCTACCCCCGGTTTTATTTTTCGAAGAGGGGAAAACCATCTTGCTTTTGTTGCCTCTATCGTCGCATGCGTATCTCGTACTTCATGTTTCTATAATTAATGCTAGTTCAATTGGCGATATTTTTCAATGAGGAACGTAATTTTATGCACCGCATGTCTTGATTTTTTTATTCTCGAGCATTGCTTACTTTTTGTTTTTTGTATGTTTTGCAAAGAATTACGTTTCACGAAGGGATACTGAATATTGTACATCAGATCGTAATCATGTATCGAGTAGTAGATCCGAGATCGTAATTAAAAAATAATAAGCAAATAAACATCGTTGAAAAGCTATTAAATCTTTCATATTACAAATTAGAGATGCCTGTTTATGCTGTTCACCATTGAAAATGATGCATTCATTGAAAGGGAAACTGATTCCAAACGTTAATAGACTTTATTATTGCAGTCAGCAATCCCCGGTAATGCACTGAACGAAACACTATTTACAGAGGTTGACACATTTTGGGCTGTAATGGTCTTCATAGTGATTTTTGTAATAATTTTTTTCGGTAAATTATGCTTATGGAAGTTCCAAATAACTTGACATCTGCTTGCATGTAACGTATTTTTGTAAAGACGTATAAGATGGAAAAGGTACGCTGAACAAAGAGAAAACTATTTAGCTGTTATCTTTTCAATGTCCATCAATTGATCGTTATGCGTAAATTACCGTAAAACTGTTTTAAATGTGTTATCAGAGTATTGGTAATCATATAAAATCAAATTAATCCATCTGTGATTTATACAAATGACTAATTTACTGCTTTGAGTTCAATGGTATAACCATGTCGATTTTCACGCATGTCGATTGTCACAGTTTCACACCATATTCGCTCATAGATGGGGTCGTGCTGGTTATTTCGTAAAATCTTTTCGTTAAAATAGAGTGGATATAATGTTTTCTTGAATAGTGTCTATCTTTACACAAGAATGCTGCCCATGTTTGAATTACATCTTGGTCGTTTTTCACAAGAAAAATGGTGAATTTTCAGAAATTTTCAGACAATGCTCATTATAATTCAATCACAATTATTATCACGATTTGGAATACGATGGTCTGATAAACTGAATCAAGGACTTGCTAACCACATATAACCTATTGTTCTCGGATTCCCCTAATGCCCCATGGGTGTGTTTTAACGACCATGTCGATTTTCACAGAATAAATTTTACATTTACTTTATTGAGTCTATATATTTGATAATAGGTGGAGATCAAATCCGGTGCTCTCATCACACTCTGAATGAATGTTCTCTATGCCAGCATAACCAAAATTAAAAGATGCGACCATTTATTATTGAGATATGACATGTTTTCAAAAGCGTGTTGTCCTGTTACATTGACAATTTCACCGAAATTCACAATTTTGGAGCCAGATATCAACGCTACTTACAATCGAAACGATCAAAAAGTATGCTGACGTACTTCAGATAAAGGCATTCTATTTTAGAATACATAAAATGTTGAGCAAAAATACGTTTTGTTTCAGCTATGTTCAATTACATGAAAAATGCCTATTTTTAACACTTATTTGTTTTCACTGATCATAGAAACTTTGGAGTATGACAATTTGTTCTTAATCATACGGGGGCGCCGTGATTCAATTATATGTTACAACGCTTAAGAGAAGGTAACTGAGATTCTGATTTTGCAAATGATAACTGATCTGTCAGTCTGTGGTGATGCGTTAACGTTAGGATAGTTTATAATGGAGGGCCAGCTCACATAGCAAAGGTATATAACAATTGGGGGCTCACATTATCTCGATTCCCAATTTCAATTAATTAATCGACATTGACACCTGTCCCGACATTTAGCTCCCGTTTTTGATAAAAAAAGTTGCTATCTGGGACGTCTATTGCATGGCGTCATATCGTATTGTCCAGGATAAATGCTACACTTTCCAACCGTAATGTACATAAAACTGCACATTATAGCGAAGTGCATCATTTTGGTCTAAAACAAAAAGATCTATATTATCAACTTCATACAGTAACCGCATCATCTTGGAAACAGACGTGACAGTTATCGTATCATGCACTTCCAGTTACCTTCCCTTAAGCGGTGTAACATGAAGTTATGGCGTCCATGTATGATTTACTAACAAATGGTCATACTCCAAAGTTTCCATAATATGTAAGGCTAATCAATTTCAAATATCTAAGCATTACGTAAATTATAAAGTAGTTTAATTCGACGAAAACCAAATATATCGAAGTCGACACTCTCCGTCCGCCATCTTGGATGAGAAGGTAACGGCCGTTACCGCATCTTGATACTGACCAGTGAATGAGGTTCGGATATAGTGTCTCATTTCATTCTGAACATATGATACCAAGAACAAAAGAAGTGTCTGATGTGTTTTTAAAACAATATAGAGAAAAGTATATATATTTATTTCAAATCATATTGTTACCATTCAAAAGATGACCATTAAATTGGCAGTGTGTAAAATTTCAAAATTCTTTGATGACTGGTTTGAGAGAAACGTGTGTTCAACAAATTTACCATATCGATACCCATCCTTTACCAGATTGACCTCATCCAGTCTTTCAGAGATACACATTACGCACTGTGCAATATTGAAATTTATATTTCTGATTGAGGCAATGATCGTACTATTCATGAGCATCAGCTTATATCATTTTCAGCTCAGAACCATTGCCATTAATTAGGAAAAAGCGTATACACGTACAAAGATGTCAAGTCACCTGGCATGCAAATAAAAGGGCGAATCGGGCAAGACGGAACACAAATAAACGACCAATCTGCCATCTTTTTTTGTATACCCCTGGTTCAAATCATCTCGTAGGGCCCTATCCTAAAATATCGCAGTTTTAAGGAGCTTTAGATAGATGTCAGGTTGATTGCTACAAACTATATGCTTTTAATATTGAAAGATTGAATTGATTGAAGGGAATCTCCATTGACACAGTGATTGATGACTAGCAGACAAAATAAACTCATATGCACAGATAAGAGGTTGACATAACGATTGGAATGGTGGTCAGTCTTAATTTAGTCCCCATTAATACACCTGTTGTTAGCATTCAGTTCCTTATACCAAATACCAATTCATTTTTGATACAAGACCTTGGCATTCCCCTGCGCCAATGGATCAGGCCCGTCGCCAGCTTTTACCAACGGGGGGGGGGGGGTACCAATGGGGAGCTTTTGCCAAGAAGGGGGGGGGGGGGCTTTTTGACAGATTTGGCTAGACAATCATTCGAAAAATGCTCAGAATGGTGAAAAACTGCATGACTTTGAAAGAATATCTGGCCGGGGGCCGCCGGGAGGGAGCGCTCCCCACTCTCCCTTGCGCTATGGGCCCGCACATACTACATGTAGTAATCCAAGTTAAACTCCAATGAATACGTAGTTGTGAAAATTACAAGAAAGATTATTTGATCCATATGCACAACGTACTTTTATTTTCACCAACGTCAAATCAAAAGTGAAAATCATTGATGACCAAACTGATAACTGAATGACAATCAAAAACTATCAGAAATGTAGAAGAAAGAAAGATGCAACCAAAGTCAAGGTCATACATAATATCTTCAACTACGTAAGATGGAACAGGTTAAAAAATTACGTTATTAAATTTGAAAAATGACGTTCATGTTTTATCTGATGATTGATTTCTAGTTTATTGAAATAATTGTATTTTGTACTTTTCGATAACAAATGTCAACTATTCTCTATCAGTTTACAAGTATGTTGTCAAGAACGTAATTTCTATGTTTGGCATGACATCTCTAAAAATAAATCATTATCTGTGATTATAAGAGCAGTTGCAATCATCCCATTTCGAACTTTATAAAACAAACAATCATTAATTATTTTTCTCATACCCATATATTGAAAAATTTAAATACATAAATTACATAAGTTTTGTACATTGTTGTATAAACATGCTGCTGCCTATTCCCTGGAAGATAAATCGCAAAAACTTACAGTTATTATCAAAGGTAATTTGGTTATAGCTGCCCTTTAACTGTTTATTGCAATATCATCTAGGCTAATGACCCGACACTTAAGTCATCGCAGAGTGAATTGAAAACATTGACTCGATTGAATTGAACCATGGACCTCATAGAGTTCCACGTTTTGACCTACAAATCTACATATTTTGAGTTCAACTTCTCCGCTTGAAAGCAAATATGACTGATGCAATCATAAATATTTGTTACAAAAAAACGAAATGATGATCATCCTCAACAGGCGTGACGATCACACTCACTGTACATGTTCTCACTCACAAAGCATAACGGTTACCATGATAACACTCAATGTACATGATGGCCACGCATGATATGAGTGTAAAAACTGTACTTGTTCTGACAAGGTAGCCCACAAAAATTACAAGTAAATGGGTCGTTATGGCTGTGGCAACCCTTATGGATTGAGAAAAGTACTTCATCATTGAACACAATATCACAATGAATACATTTGATTGAAACTGGTTCAATGATGTTCGGACTTCGGCTAAGTCTACTCTCGTGAAAGTCCGACTTCGGGGAGACAGGTTCAATATCACATTGTACACTCGCACTGTTGTAGGAAATGTCCGAGAATTCACTCATTGGGGATATTTTTCTGGGCGGTTCGTCGGAATCACTGTCATCCAATGCGATACCCGAATCATTGGTTGAACGCTCCAAAAAGCGTTTTGTGGGCTTCATATACCGTTTGGGACTACTTAAGCCAGATAGAGATGTCGGGCGTCCACTTGACTCAACAGAGACGCTACTTTTAACAGAGACACCACTCCTAACGCTAAGTTCATCATCACTTTTCATTGAGCTACTTGAGTATAGAGTAGGATCTTTATTGCGCATTATGGGCCCTGAATTCTCGCTGCTCGTATCTAATTCAGGAGATAACATCTCGCGTTTCATTGGGAGACCGTAAGTGAGGTCCAAAGGTCGAGGATGCGAGTCCAAAGTTTGAGTGATAGGGTACATGGGACTATTTGGTTTGTACATGGGATCATCTATCACTGGCGTGTTGTAATTCAGTCCAAAAATATCATTACTGCCAGTGCTGAGAGTGCGTTCTCGGTGAGGATCCCAAGGGTGTCCGGGGCTGGAGGCACTAGACCACACGGAAGGACTACGTGAACCGTTATTAGGAGGAGAAAACAACCACGAGTTCAAACCAAGAGATGGTGTAGTGTTACTGTCCAAGGTTTGCTGTCCTTCCCGTTTTACTTTTTCAGATTTGATGAAAATCGCTGGTTTAGGCCCTGAACGCGATTTCCCATTTAGAAGCAAATCTTTCACCAAGGAACTACAAGCGTCCGTCTTCTTAGTTGGATCACACTCTGATATAAATCGGTAACGCCCAGTCCTCCGTATCGCCTCTCTAAAGTTAACGTATTCTTCGGTCGGACTCATGCTTGTACGACGCTGTGCTAGATTTCGAACCGTTTCTAAGTTGTGTCTGTTGAAGTTACCAATTGCAGCGTTCTGATGCAAATCTTTAGGTGACAGTAAAAACTTGTCCAATTCATCAACCTGACCACCATGTTCATTAACCATATGCTCTTTAAATTTGTCCTGTAATATCGTGGAGAAAGGGCAGCGGTCACACTTCAAGATGCCAATTGACGTCACTCTCGTCTGCGCCACTTCCATTTGTTCATGTTTCAGTGCATGCTTTACTGCTGCAAGTCTTGACGTTGGTGACACACGGTTTAAATCATCCCCTGAAAGTGCATAAGAACTTTATCTAAATACACAGTACATTGCACTCATTTGTTTATCAAAATTGTTACGAACTATATGTTTGAGCCCATATCAAATATGACTTTCATTACGCTATCAACTATCCCAAGTCAGTGAATCAAAATTAAATTAATGAAAAAAAAATGAGTTCCAAAAACGGTTTTCCATTTTATTATTGCATTTATCATACATACCTTTAATTTCAATGCAGTCTCCCGTTTCACTGACTTGCTTTGCAGCGCGATCTTTAATTCTCTGTCTCCAGTTATAAGGCGCGTCTGCCTTGATTGGTAAATCAATCGTGGAAGCCTTGGTTGTGTGCAGCACAATAGTCTTTTTTGGGACGAGTGCGGCTGGGGGCTCAGTGCCCATCAGTAGAGACCGCATGAACGACACTTCAGCGCTATCTGTCGACCCATTTCTTTTTAGCACAACGGCAGCTGCTTTCTTCTTATGCGCCATTATCGGCTTTAATGAACAATTCTCAAATAAGTTTTGACAAATATAAGCATATCGAAATGGGTTGAATGTCAGGTGATAATTTCAGGGGAGTCATATAAAGTTTATCAACATCTTGATAAGTAACTATTCACACCCCTTTTAACCAATTACAGAACAAAACTAGTGATAAACTTAAAAATATATTCTTAAAGAACATATGTTATTGAACTTACCTTTGTTAATCACGTCGTATGCAGTTACTATAGCAACAGATTTCGTTTTCTCGATTTAATAAGCGATTTCCAATTGTGAGATTTCCCAAGTCGTGCAGTCAGCGCATACGTCTATAAATGAATGGAGTTGTTGTTATAGTATACTACGTTGCTGTTCAGATTATGTTTAGGTACAAGGGTTATTTAGAATAGTGGCGTGAAAGTGCGGGTTCAATGTTCAAAGTCTGCAAGACTTGCCTACGACGCGATACCACAACTAGTTGCCTTATTCTATGTTTACAATGCCAACTTTCGTTGTCAATTTGCCAATTCCATATACAGACAGGACAGTCTTTAGATTTACATTTTTTTACATTAATTGGTTACAATTTAGTGAAATTTGAAATCAAACCGAAACTTTAGATATCTGGAACAAACTTAGTGTACGTACGCTTATAATACAATATTGACTCTGAAAGTTTGACATGTAGACTTATTAAAATGAAAACAGGAAAATCCGAACTATAACTGCCCAAAGTGAATATAGGCCTATTGTCTCAGGCTGCACAAAGTGAAAGCAGGCCTCTTGATTTAGGCTGCACCAAGTAAATATAGGCCTATTGTCTCAGGCTGCACAAAGTGAAAATAGGCCTATTGTCTCAGGCTGCACAAAGTGAAAATAGGCCTATTGTCACAGGCTGCACAAAGTGAAAACAGGCCTCTTGATTTATGCTGCACCAAGTAAATATAGGCCTATTGTCTCAGGCTGCACAAAGTGAAAATAGGCCTATTGTCTCAGGCTGCACAAAGTGAAAATAGGCCTATTGTCACAGGCTGCACACAATGAAAATAGGCTTATTGGTTTAGGCTGCACAAAGTGAACATAGGCCTATTGTCTCAGGCTGCACAGAGTGAAAATAGGCCTATTGTCACAGGCTGCACAAAGTGAAAATAGGCCTCTTGATTTAGACTGCACAAAGTAATTATAGGCCAATTGTCTTAGGCTGCACAAAATGAAAATAGGCTTATTGGTTTAGGCTGCACCAAGTAAATATAGGCCTATTGTCTTGTTTCAGGCTGCAGAAAGTATATATAGGCCTATTACAGTATCTCAGGCTACACCTATTGAACATAGTCATAATGTTTCACAGGTGAAAGAAACAATATTTTGCAAAATGAACTCACAAAGTATAGGTATAGGTCGACGCACTCTTCATAGTTTGATTACTCAATATCGTATGTTCTTCATTCCATATTTAGCAAGTTTAAACAATGCCTTAAACTGTTAAATGTTGTTATATTGCGTTGTGTGCTGTCTGAAGTTTCCTCCAAGACAATTCCAAAGTCCGGCATGTGACCGTTTTTCAAGTGTATAGGATCGTTCGATTTTTGTTTGGCTTATCAGAATCGAGGATTGGTGAAAAAATCAGGTTAGCCGTCATGTTTAGGTCTGGGTGTATGGGTTCTCTGATAACACTTATTTAGGTGCATGAAAACCCAAGGTGCGAATGTACCAAGGTAGATGTACTGCTTACTGGTCTATGCGCTTATGCTATATATTATATCCAGATCTATAGTCTCCTTATCTCGTAACAACATAGTTAAAGTAATTAAACATGATATATATAATTTCATACGAGTATTTAATGATTGAGATTTCACAAGATTCAAATTGTTTTGCAAATTGAGTGTTTTCACCTTGACATTGGATCGGATTCAGCAGTCAGAGACACATCCTTCTGTCGAGACGCATGTCTCACGCGTGTGTCTAGAACTTTTTGGATGTCCTCCAATTCTTTGTATCTGTCATTTGAGAATAAAAAAGAATCGTAAAACTCAACATTTAACATTCTTTTCTCTTTTCATGATTTTATGTTCATTCATTTATGGTCTTCAATGCTAAATAATGATTTAATCGTGCATTGTCAATCTTACACTTCCATATGCATTTATTTCAGCAATGACCCAGCAAATGATTACTAGTGCTTCTCAGAGGACCACTGATCTCCGGTTAAGGTAATCTTCCCTAAGTTCAAATACCTATATAACTTTAGAAAGAGGATGGTTTGGCTAAAGTACAATTTATAAAAAGTAACAAAACCAAAGTCGTAAGGTAGGACAGTAATCTTTTGATTATTATATTGGTCAAGGATGAAGCGCCAAAAGACTGTTTAGATCAGGAATTTATTACCATTTGATAATACTTTAAGCACCTAAGTATCATATTTTTGAATAATTATTAAAAATATATTTTGACCAATCAAAACCTTTCTATTTGGAGGTGTGTTATCTGTTTATTAATGTAGAATGACTCCTATAAGAATCGCTACGTGAAACAAATATGTCAGAGAAAACGTGCATTACGAAACTGATAAGAATAAAAATGGGCTTTCTCTTTATAGTCTTTAAAGCCCATGGAATAAATAAACCATATCGTTGGCTAAATCGGTGGGCGCGGGTGATCGCGGTAACCCCTACCATTTCGACGTAGTTGTATATACAACGCCTTCAAAACATTTTAATTCAATTTTGATTACATAAATACAAAGCGCCCCTCCCATGTAGGCCTATACCGATAGTTGATTTTATATAGATAACTAAATACGCAACAGCAACGCCAAAGCGTAGCAAATCCCAGCGAACAGTCATGGGTGCCATTTCCGGAAAAGTGCCTCCTTTCTAGGTATTCACTTATGAAATATAATAAAAAACTCTACTACTTTCTCAGTTATAACAAAAGGCATAAAATTACACACATGAAAATGGCCACCATTTTTCAAAATGGCTGTTCACTGGCCAGAAGTGTAATATTCTTCTCATCATTCACATAAAAGATTTCAACAAATCAGTCATAAGAAGGTGTACTATGCTTCTGAGCAGTCTATATAAAATCTTCTGAGCAGTCTTTAACAAAATCGCTACACTTCTTTTTGAGTTATAGTTAAAACCGTAAAATAACTACCCTGCGCGCAGAGTCTAGTTATACACTACGAATGAATGCAAAGGGTATAGAATAACTCGCATAATAATTAGCCAAATTGTCATTAGATTTAGCTTGTTATGCTTGATTATTCACATGTAAAATTTCAACAAAATCGCTCCACGTCGTTTCGAGTCATAGTAAAAAAAAGTCAAATAACACTCGTAAAATTGACGGCCATATTATTCAAAATGACTAGCCAATGTACCACAAGACATTGTACCATGCTTACAAGTATAAAAATAATGGGTATATGTTAATTGTACTTTCAAATGGATCAAAACGTCCATTTTTTACAAAATTTTGTAAGAGAACACAGGAGAATTAATTGTTCATATTCGTATCTAATGCAGGATTCTGGCTCGAAAACCAAAATTCTATAAGATTGACCAGCTTTGGACAATTGCAACCTATACAGTAATTTGATTTAACAAATAACAAATCTGCTTTTATTAAGGAGCATTTATTTATTTACAGCATTTCAACAGGATGCCATTATGACTTTTCTGATACTGCGATAACAAAGCAAAGGTCCCTGATACAAACTGGCGTAATCTAAGAGAAAGTTCATTAAATACACACTGAGTTGAACTATGTACAGGGTCCAGAATACTATGGGCTGGCATGCATGCGACGTCCATTAATCTTTGAAATGTAAGAGTACATAGTTCAATACAAAACAGTCACTGTTGATGATGTATCCGTATTGCCCTCTAGCCCCGCATAATGTATCCATATTGCCCTCTAGCCCCACAAAATGTATCCATATTGCCCTCTAGCCCCACATAATGCATCCATATTGCCCTCTAGCCCCGCCTTTAGCATTTAACATAAACGGTTATCTGGTTATATGCTTTGCAAATCTACAGATATATCTTTCTTCGAATTCAGAATTCTAACCCTGGAATTCTCACATGACCCTAGACCCTCCCCCTATCTACTTTACACCAGGTTGTGTTGTGTTGGAGAAGTAGATAAAGGGGAGGGGAATCTTGAAGCAAGACTATCTAACATGATACATATGGCTCTCCTGATACTCTGTAACTTCTATCTATAGCCTGTAGATAATAAACAGAATGATGCTAAAACAACCAGTGCTCATAATACGTATTCACAATGGGCCTGGAATAAAATAAATCGAATGAATGTTTGACAAAAAAGTCACCAAAAAGTGGACAGGATGATCATTTAAACAATATTTTCAAGGTTTCTCACATTCAAACTTAAAAATGAAAGAACGAAATGAACATGTGCGGATAATACACAATTTTATTATCCATTCATAAAATTGACGTTCTTATCTCAGTATCTATACTTGGTCAGTTATGACTTTGAACCTCAGACCTCTCTTCATTTATTGGTTAATCCACTTACAAATATTATCACATGACCTAACCTCTATCATCAATTGGTCAACTGAATAATGACATCATATCACATGAGTACACATTGGTCAACTTGGGGCCAACGTACTTGAGGTGGTGATAATTCTCCCCAATGCATTAACATAGTACTATCCGACTGACGCACACCTATGACATAATAGTTCAAGAGAACTTAAAAATTCCAGATAATTGTGTAAATATGAATTGCGAACCGTCCACAGTATCTTTATAAGTCTCTTATATCCTCAGAGTCGTCAGATCAATTCTTATCGTAATCATGGTCTGATATTGAAATAAAGAATCATACGATACAAACATACCATACAAATGACAAGCAAATATTGATCACATTTCAGAGTCAACATATGTGAACCAAAGACATAATATATCAAGAAACATAAACAATTCAATAACCCGACACACTGAAGAAATTAACGTTTTCAGTTCGTATAAGAGGCAAAACAAAACAGAAAGTGGCACGTGTCGATGCCAATTTTTAAAATCATTTACTTAACAAATGTTTTAACTATCATAATTCTTAACATCAAGGCGTACATGTTATATATGTTTTGGGAAACTACATTTACAGCTTGACAATGTTCCAACATCGAAAATCCATATCAATATACCATCTGTACATTCAAACAAGGCATTGATATCAAAATGTCATCATCTTCCATTTATTACAGACACCTACTATCTGAATGAGGATTATAACCCCTAACCTTTCACAATCACACATTAGCTATAGCTAAACATACGCCTGATAGGAATATAAATTTGTAAATGTGTTTTTTTAACAAAATGGTAACCAATATACAACACAGAGGGTATAGAACTTCAGAAAAATGCAAAATAACCCAATACCACCTTGAAGTCAGGTTTACTCATTGCAATACCAATCAATATTGGTAAATCACTTGAAAATTATAAAAATATAAAGGACAGTAAAAACATTACTTAGTGAAGTTTAGTTATTTTACATTACTAAGGTTTGGATTTACAACAATTTTGTTGCCTAGCCTATATCATTTTCTGTCACGCAATAAGGTTTTATTTTATCCTTTATACATCAGGTGGCTCAATCTTATCAGCTGTTATGTCTATTCCTATGTTCGCAATCGCCTCTTGTTGCTCACCAGGAACCATTGTACTCGGTTCCTCATTAAGGACATATACAGTATTCTTCTCTGTGTTAGCGTTATACGTGGCATCCATTGAGACAATTTAGTTTGATTGTGTCTCCATTAAATCATAGTTGTCCAAAGATTCAGATTTAATGCAAACATCAACGGGTGGAGAGACACCTGCAATGTCAGTGTCACACTTGGGCTCACTTTTGATAATTGCAACGTCAGTCTCACACGGGGGCTCACTTTTGATAATTGCATCGTCAGTCTCACACTGGGGCTCACTTTTGATAATTGCAACGTCAGTCTCACATGGGGGCTCACTTTTGATGATTGCAACGTCAGTCTCAATCAGGGTTTCACTTTTAATACTCGGGTCGTCGTCAACAGAATGACATGCCATATTCAATGAGGAGTTTCCGTCGGATGCCGATATTTCCACTAAATCAGCGTTGTCCAAAGATTCATCTTTAATGCAAGGTTCAACTGATGTAGAACTACTACATATACTATCTGTGTTAATGAAACGAGTAGGGTCAAGTTTACTAGCTGCTGATACAGAGCTCCGAGTTTTGTACGGGAAGGTATTTTTTAACACATCAAAGTGTTTAATAATCTTTTTATAATCAACATGTTCCTTGGCGTAATGATCCATCACATCAGAAATGTGTCTACATGCAAATGAACAATCCTTAAACTTGCAGGATATGTATACTCGCATCTTGAAGGCCATGGGGACTTTTAAAACCACCGGTTGTTCGTTTATCTTCGCCTTCACTATTATATCTAAAACATACAATTATATTCATGAGTTCTAAAAATAACACATTTGGTGACCTTTGACCTTTCACAACTATGATGAAACAAGGCATTAACATGCAAAATGTCACCGCCTTTCATTTGTTACTAACATCGATCGTCGAACACCAACGGCCGACCACCATCCACAAACCACTATGTAACAACTTCTGATGCTAAGATAAAAACAAATAGATGATGATGTATGTTTTTAACATATCCTGCAGAACTAAACGTAAATGTTCTGCTGTACTTTCTCATGTGTTTAATATTGCTGACAGCCAATGGAAACTGAACGTGAAAATGGCAATCTTTTCTCATGTATTAAGCCAATGGAAACTGAACGTGAAAATGGCAATCGCCGGTGAGTATTATTTTCAAAATAATGTTAAGAAGTAAAACAAATCAGTATCTATTGGCGTGATATTCATTACTACCAAAGAACACATTTTGCTTCACAAAGGACAAGATTAATAAGTCTATTATGTAAATAATTATGATCACAAGATAAAAAAAAAATATATCAACAAAATACTAACTGTCATCTACAGTCTTTGTGCTGGCAATGTCTACACCCTCACACGGCTTTCTTCTCTCAGTGTGATCTGGCTCTGTGGCCTGCCAAACATATAAGTTTGCATCAATAATGCTCAATAAAAATATGACGTGCAGGGTAACCAAAAAGTGTAATAAAATGCTATTGTGATATAATAAGGATAAAAAATATGGGTACAAAATGATTTTAAAATATCTGATAAAATAAGCTGCAGCTTACTTGATAATGGGGATAAGTTTGTTTCATGGAACGATAAAAGAAATACTATTGCAACAATGATTTAGATCTTTTGTAAGAGGATAACAGTCCAACCATCGTATATACAGTAGATTAAAATCAAATGTAGCATTGAAAATGAATAGTTTTCTTCTCTAATTTTCTTGTTGGTATAAAAGATGGAAAACCATGCCTGGACGTTTTAAGAATTAATTCACATCTATAGGCATTGTGCTTAGTTTGGATTGCGGATATCATGAAAAAGTTTGACCAATATGATAAATTTTAAGCTTTCTGTGTTGTTATTGTGATGAAAAATAAAATTGTTACCTCCTCTGAATCAGGAATGTGTAACGCTGCCTTTGTCCGAAGAAGAGTTTGCTGGTTAAGAGCCTTACATACTTTATCAACACTGAGCTTGCATGTGTCACATATACGATGCATTTTGTTGAGGGATTTAACATCAAGTGCACGTTCCACTTTCTTTCTCAGGGACTTGTCATCTAGAAAAAACCCAGTGATAAGGCACCTCGCTCCACATACGAAACAAGAAAGATCCAATTTGTCATATTTCTTCAATGACTTTTGTACAGGGTTCAACTGCCGATGCTGTTTCTTAGGTTGTATCAATTTGTAAGACTTACTCGATGTTTCTTGTCCAGGTCTCCAATTCAAATTCCGGTTCTGTTTCCTTTTCTGTTTTTGGTTAGAGTTCACAATTTGTTTCTGGAAAAAATAAGACACGTATATAGTGATAGATGCCAACTCAAGATTTCAAAATGGCAATTCATTCAAAACAACATAACAGTAATTATAGATTTCAATAAAGCAAGCAAACCCCTGAAAGATGCTATATTAAAGAGTCTCAGATTTTAAAGAACAATACAGAGTGATCATAAACGTGGGTTGCCATTGTTAGCCCCGGGTTGTTAGTATAGAAGGCAGACTATTGAGTGCAACGTGTTGAAACTATTTGATTATCTTTCTTTGAGAAAAAATGCCGATTTCTTTCTTTTCATCTTATTTTACAATAAATCAGTTAGCATTGGATTCTCTGACAATGTACAATAGACTAGATGCAAGTAGAAATAATATTGCTTTACATCCTTAAATATGCAAAATTCACTTAAAGTGATATCACATGTTTCAAAAATTGTTGATTATCTTTGAAAAGTCAGATTTCTTTAAAAATATAACTTCTAGGTCGGGGAGATTCCCGAAAGAGGTCATGTTATAAAATCATAAAAGTGAAATATAGCAATATTTAATGATATTACAGCATCTTTAGCCTTGACAGATTACTTCATGTATAATAGGGATATCATCTCCACATCATTCTCAATGATCTGATTGGAAACATCGTCATGGCAAACAGAATTGTTTCAACCGCCAGCCAGCAAATAACTCAATATAATAGTGTCAAGTACGGTTTTCACTTCATAATTCACAAAAATGTTTACAACCATTTCTTTATAAAATCCCCATTTGAAAGGAAGGATAGGAATAAGGATACAGGGTTTGGTCAAAGACTATGTAATGCTACAAGAATACTCACATTTTTAATTGACAAGAAGATAGGGGTCGTATTGAAGCTCATTTTTGCAAATAGTTTCCATACTATTTTCACACATGTATTACAGATATACTTCTTTCTTGCATCAGGTTTAAATGATTTTTTCTTGAGCACCGAGAGCATTCGACCAGTTACCCGACGCCGGAACCCGGAGACTGTCTGTGAGTTACACTTAATGCAGTTATCATATATGTCCTGAAACCACAGCATCATTTAAATAGATTATAGCTAGAAATAAGCAAATCCATGGAGTATCAAATCCCAAACAAACTACGCCTAAATATAGGGCCACTTGAGATCAGGCTGAAAAACACAGAATATGTGAAATGGATAGATGTTGTGAACATACTTTATAAATTTCAAATAGCAATATTTATTATTTTGGTTGAAAATGAAAAACCAAGATTTTCACGCAGAATTTCATTTTCCCTTCAGAATTTGAATCAATTTTGGTCTTTTTCCCTAACAAATAAATCCAAAACACACTAGAAATGATTCTACTATTACACCCTATACGAAGAGATCACACCAATTTTGAATGGTAGTAGTTTTTAGCCACGACGGCTAAAAAAACAAACACAATAATTTTTGAAGTTGCATTTCTATAGCACAGGGTGATGATTATATCAGCTTCTATGCTGTTTTAGAAAGGTAAGATATTATATTATGCATGTCATGTGTTTTCAATGTAATCAAACCCATTGTAGAGATAAAACAGTCATTAAAATATACCATTTGAATTCATTGCAATAAATTAAGATCAAATATTGTCATAATCTTGATGATTCAAATCGAAGACGCATTAATTTGAAACTAAGGTACAGATCATATGTTTAATTTCTTCATACATCTTTCCACTTTCTTTACCACTAACATTAGAAATTGGTGTGAACATTGGCCATTCTCCTTGCAGTTGCAGATCATTCTTTGGTTCTTTGCAGTAGAATAATCTAACACTGAACAAATTGCTTGGGGATTAGAAATAAGAGTTGGAACTCTGGGAGCCAACTCTCCTTGATCACATTCAAAAGAACATTGCATTTTCAATAGCATGTTTTTCAAAAAAACTTACATGGGAGAATTGGGTTCTAATGTCACCATGAGGTAAATCTTTATCACCATTGTCATCATCAGCCTTTCCATGGATGTCATTTCCGCCTGGATCATAACTGGCAACAACTAGATCGGTGTCCTTCTGATCATTTTCAATGACATCATTCCTGTTACTACTTGTGAGAGGCTGACATTGGACTTCATTTTCAAAAGGTTCAGTCTTGATTCCAACATCACCTGACTTAACATCAGGTCTTTTGTGAGTTGCAGTCATAGGACGTTTGGCAAGAGTTTGAAAATTCATTTTAGCATATAGCTTCCACACAAATATCCTGCAGATATTACAAATGAACTTCTTAGATTTATCAGGTTTATAAGAATTCTGCTCAAGCACGTACATCATTTGATCTGTTACAAGACGACGTGTGTTTGCCAATATCTTTGTACTGTTTGTTTTTAAATTACACCTAATACAGTTGTCAAAGTTATCCTGAAATTATAAATACATATGTTTCCCAAATTATCATTGAAATTGAACAAAAAATCATCATGCACTACGCTTGATTCTAATTGCTACATGCAACTTACATTGCGTCTTGCATCTAAAGACAATCATCTATATGCACCATTGCTTTTCAATCATCAAATAAAAGGTCAATCATGAATTTTAAACTAAAACATGAAGACTTCTACCAGTTAAACATACTAATTGACATAGCTAATTTGATAGCGTTGGAGACATGGGGAAACTTGCCTGATTGTCCATGATAGCCCCTTTTTCAAATTACATCTATCAAGAATTTCTTCCAAATCTGTCCCAGTAGCATGTAAAACGTGCAGCAGTGTCACAGTCACACTTTTTTTCCAAAGAATGCCCTAATGTTCAAGCCAATATTCTGGAACAATATACAAATGTCTTGTAATATTCAATATAAATGTATGTATTTAAAAATCAGACTTCTATGTCTATGTCAGTAATCTGCAAAAGGCTAATAAGCCCATATAACATAAATGGCTGCAGAATAACATGATTGCCTACATGCACATTGTTGATATAAATGCTCTTCGGGACTTGTATTTGTAATATAAAATGGGTGGAATTGCATATTATATACGATTTATCTACTTGTAGAATAGGACTAGTATAGAGGGGAAGAGAACTAAAATATACAAAAGTTAGGATGAATATAAATATTTCTATTTTTACATAAATTGTTTCAATTTGGTCATTTGATTGCTTATTTTTTAAATTCAAAGTACTCACAAACATTTATGATTTTACTTTAGTTCATTTAAGGTACAGCTGGAAAGTAACATTTTGGTAAAAAATTGCCATACCAGCACATGTTATTTTCTGGTACAAAATAGATCTAAAGTATGAAGGCATGTGTCAAATTGCCTTGCTTTTTTCACGAAAGTATCATTACATTGTCTTCTTTTAGAATATCTGGTAGGAGTTCAATCGGAACTCAAGGAAATTCTGAGGGCTTTCTGATATTTCACATTTTCTATTTTTCCAAATTTTCTTTCAAAGTTTCCAGACAACGCAGGAGCTAGAATTGTTTTCATGGCCTGTGTTCGTCGCTAACATGCTAAATATAAGAGTTAGCTGACGTTTGGGAGTCTGACTTACCTTCTAAAGGTTAGAACCCGAATCTTAATGAAACCATATCACCTTTGTTGCGTTGATGTTGATGCATAAACACAGCATTTGATAGAAATTAGTGTAAATGCTTTTCCGACTGTTTCATTTTTTATCAATGTTGACTTCCGGGAAGGCGTTGTAGTTATCACGAAATAACGCATTGACCCTTGAACTTTACTTTGTTGACGTGTCAACCAAGCATGTCTGGTGTGAAAATTAAAAGAATATTAAGCAATGTTCTACATCCGCCAAGCTAAGTGGAGTAGCCAATATTTAAAATTACCAATTTCAAGTGAAGCAAGGGCGTTACAATACCCGGGAATTTATCGGTTCGTGCAGTACTTGTTTGTGATAGCGCCCTCTGTAGGTCACTGTGCTTATAGCCTACAGTAATACGGGGTAGGATATCGGGAATTCGGTCAGTTTCTATCCGTCGATTTCGCTATGAATTGAAGCAAGTGTGACCCACTTAACTAATTTGATAATTGAATAAATATTTAAACAAAATCGATAAACACGTTATACACTTCCTATCTCCTTAGAAATTAGCATGTATTTATGGATTGTGTTTTCGAACAAGGCTCGACCCAAACCAATAGGGAAATCCTTATGCTAATTAGTATGACGTCATATTTTCCTGGGGAATCCTAGATTTCAAAGCCTCAGTCTGTTATTGTGTCAAATGTAAACGCTCTTTTGCAGACAGAAAATTGACAGATTAGCTTTTAACTTTCAGCTTTAATGTTTAAATATTCTGTATTTCTACCGGACTTCTTGCTGAATATCATATAATGTTACTTGAATTGGACCATTGCCTGATTGATCATTCTGAAATTTTGATTGTGATTCATGACTGATTGGCAAGAAAAATAATTCCTATTGTTTTCCAGCGAAGTCAAAATGTTACAGCATGAGTTATAATGTCGAGTTTGCATCATGTTAAATTCTGCTAATGATTAGAAGTCCATGCACAAGCATACACATAAGAGACAAACACACCCAGGCTCCAGGTCGTGGATGGAAATATAAAACTATTTAAGGCACACACTGGTATTAATAGACCGATATGTAGTGTCTGCCATGTATTGAAGGTAAACCAATCTGCATTATTAATGTTTCTTCTATCAATACATGGATTGTGCAATGGAAAAGCAATTGCACAATCAAAAATGTGCATATCAATCGTGAATATCTCTCGGTTCAAAGCTTATTTCCAACAGAATCGTGTCAAAATATGTGTCTGAGTAACAGTTATACATTATAAGATCGCAAACTCTTACCAATTATCAGCCGAATGGCTCATTTTCAACGAAATGTCCTTAAGACAACAGCCCTGGGTCGCGCCTGAGACCAAAAACTATTTCAAATAGCCCTCCCCTAATTATATTGGATAATTACATTTATGCGTGCGCGCGCAGCTCATCCACTGAACGAAACGCCACTTCCCCCTGAAATCACCGGGTATTGATCTTTCCCTTGAGTGAAGTATGCAACGAACAAAACTGCGTGATCTACACTCCCATAATTGGTCTGAACGAAATGCTACGTAGAAATATGAGCCGTCTGCTGTATTAATGGATTAATAGAGTAAGACCTGTTGGTGATGCTTTATAATTTAGACCAAAACATTGAAGAATAAACGAACCTGTAAATCGTGAAAACAACGAACAAATATTCGGTTTTCACATATGTTTGGTAATTTTTCGTATTGAAACTTCCGGAACTTACAAGGAAATCATTCATTTTCACGGTCCATTATTTACCTCTTGGATGTTGTGGCAAATGCTCCATGGTTGACGGAACAAAGGTGATATGGTTTCATTAAGATTCGGGTTCTAACCTTTAGAAGGTAAGTCAGACTTCCAAACGTCAGCTCACTCTTATATTTAGCATGTTAGCGACGAACTCAGGCCATGAAAACAATTCTACCACTGACCTGTTTCCAGGTTTACTAAAAGTAGACAGTGTAATGATACTTTCCTGAAAAAAGCAAGGAAACACACACATGCCTTCATACTAATTTTGTACCAAAAAATAACATGTGCAAGTATAGCAATTTTTTACCAAAATGTTACTTTCCAGCTGAACCTTAATGTTGTCATTGTTGTTGGACTAGGCTAAATGGTCTCCTGATTTTTTTATTTTTATGGTTGTAGTACTGACGCAATAAAACAGTGAAATGGGCTATGAAGTAAGTAAATGTAACGTCAAACGTTAATTCAATATCAATTTTATAGATAGTATGTATTTTTGGAAAGAACTTCGATGCAGGTTATGTAATAATATACTTACAATACGAAGAAACGGTTACAATTCCTTTTTGTCAATGTTATTTTGCAACATCCTGGTATTTTTCCTTATGACAAACCTAAGCCCGATGTTACATGCAAAATGATTGGCTGATAATGAACAGCTAGCTATACATTTCGTACAGTGCGTTAATTTATTCCCGGTAAGATCGATTTATTTAAAGGGCGTAATAGATGGGCATAGGCGTAGTCGGGGGGGGGGGGTGCGATCCACAACCAATAAGAATTGAACCACTAGCTAGAAGAAGAAAAGAGCTTTAAAATGCTTTTCATTTGAAGCTTCTAACTATACCTTTTTAGCAATTGTCACGATCAGTGCAACCCCCCTGACTGACCCCCCAAAAAATTGGCGATCACACCATCTGACTGAAAGCTAGCTACGCCCAAGAATGAAGGCAAGGGGGTCTACCGTAATGGCACTGTGAATGGACAGTAGTGTGAAATTTTGATATACACTGTATGATTCATACTGTGAACACGTACATGTACTGTGACCCTGAACATCCCGTTCAGAAATACATGTACGTTGTACTAATAAAAGGTCAGTTCAATTAATTATCCCACCGAACGAAGTTCGAGGGGGATATAGAAAAGCCGTTCGTCCGTCCGTCCGTTCGTGTGTCCGGGCAATAACGCAAATACCGGTGGATGGATTTCATTCATTCATTCATTTCATTTTTCTAAACATTTCCATATTCTAAATAGTTATAGGGTCACTTTAATAAATGTCCATTGGCATTTGCTTTGGAATTTGAAATTAAATGTCTGTATGGACACTTAATCTTAAAGTTATTTGCCAATTTGCAGTTCCTATATTTGAAACACAAATAATTCAGAGAAATCCTCTATCAGTATATGTCATAAAATATAAGGCAACATCATGTATAAATAGCATGACACTCAAATGATTGCCGAAAACGCCATTCAAAGATTTTTTTATAATTCATTTCACTAAATTCTATGTTTTCAGAAAAAACAAAATGTTCCCATAGTCTTACTTGTAATGCATAAAAATGACAAAGGGAAATATGATCTTGGATTTTATTGTAGTGAAATGAGTTCCAAGATAGATTAAAAACTACATGTAATGCCTTGGTCACATTTGCTCCGATTCATCGGCCGGCGCCCGGCCGATTGAGTATCCTGTTCACAATTGCATTCAGTTTTGAACAGAATACTCAACCGGCCGGGCACCGGGCGATGAATCGGAGCAAATGTGACCCAGGCATTAGCTTCAGTCTAAATCAAGGTGTGTTACTTGCTTTGCCACAATGTGTTATTGCATTTTTTAGACTATTAAATAATATATAAAACCCTTTAAATAAATAAAGGTTTTGTAGTTTTTAAGGCCCTTTATCAGAATGCCAACATATAATTAATTGTGAAAGACCTAATCTGTACATATATGTAGTGCACATGTATGCTCAGGTTAGCAGCCATAGTGAAAACATAAACCAACCAGCCTTATTTTCATCACAAAAGTTCAGTTTTAGTGGTGAGCCCACACTCCCACAACAATGATATTTGCAGAGAAGCTACTTTACAGTCTCTACATTATACAGTTTCAATATCTTTTTCTGTGGGAGTGTGGGCTGATGGTTAAATTTTCAAAGAAAGTGAACGAGCACCATACTAACACTTGATAACAAAGTGAACAAAAAATGACAAAGTTTTCCAGATTTGCATTGGTAAACTTCATACATAGCTGGATTCTGTTAATGTTCTCTGAATGCTTGAATGTCGTATGTTCCATATAATAAATTCTATATAATGAGAAGTTTTGATATTATTTTTATTGGTAAACATAGTGTGTGCCCATATTCAGAAAGCCCTGTGATAGGGGTTCTTACGGCCAATTTTTCAAAGAAACTGAACACTAATGCCACTATTTGAAATTGAACATCTCAAGAAAAAAGGTTTACCCACAACTTGCAATCGGTTTTAATAAAAGTAAATGGAAGAATGAGTTTTTTGGAAAAAGTCTAAGTGGACCAATAGTCTGTTAAATGGACCTGTTCTTTTATAGGCTTATGCCTTATGGGTGTAGGACTTCCGCTCGAGAAGGAATTTTCAATGGCCGCTTAATTCAAAATGGCGGCCATTTTTCGGAAAAAATATAATCTTTGATAACTCAAATACTAGTGGATAGATTTGGTTCAAATTTAATGTGCTGTTGCATGGGTACAAAGGAGCCTTGCTCAAGAAGACATTTTCAAGATGGCCGCCATATTTCAAAATCGCGGCCATTTTTCGTAAAAAAACGTTATTTTTGATAACTCAAATATCATTAAATGGATTTGAGCTCTGCTTGAGAAGGGATTTTCAAGATGAGAGCTAAATTTCAAAATGGCCACCATTTTTCATAAAAGAACGTTACCTTTGATAACTCAAATACCAGTTGATGGATTTGGTTCAAACATGTAAATTTCAAATAGGCATCAGTCCAATGGTATTTGAGTTATCAAAGATTACCTTTTTTTATGAAAAATGGCAGCCATTATGAAATTCAGCTGACACCTTTGAATTTTCTTCTGAAGCAGATCTCATTTTCCCCTAAACATCAGCATATAAAATTGGAACCAAATCCATTCACTGGTATTGAGTTATCAATAATTATGTAATCCGTGGCAATTCCCTTGTGATGTGCTCTGCATTTGAATAACCCATGTAATCTTGTTGGTATTGTTTCTGAAACATTTCAATGTAGACTGATCGAAGTTTTGATGTGAAAACGGAAAGGGACATAACATACTAGTTCATTAGATTTTCTGTTTTGAGACTATGTCGTTCTTTGGTCTTATACACAAATTGATCATGAGATATGTGTAGAACATTCGGATACTGATCACTCACCATGTTTTGCCAAGAAGTACGTGTACAAGATCATACGAGTGCATTGTTTTTTATGTGACATGATTGTTAGAGTCTCTTACATTTTTGTGGACGGTGTTTGTCGGTTTTGACATATAAATATTAATGTTGTAAGTTGTTGGAGACTACATGGAGACAAGAGGGAAACGATTTCACATACGAAGTGATGTCTTCGGCTCCCAACGTTGCATATAGCATTAGATAAGGAGCTATAAAGAATAACAAAATCAGCTGTATTTTTTCAACGATTTAATGTTCCTGAAATTAACTTCTTTTATTCCAAGTTGACAACGCCTGAACATTTTTTTGCACAGAAAGTAAGAAACACTTCTTCTGAAGTGTGTTACTTTCTTATACTGTTTAAAGCAAGGTTATAAAAGTTGAGATTTTAGGACTTCCTGTTTGATATTAAAATATGGCAGGTTACTGGAAATAAGCACTACAGTATTGGCCATACCAAATCATTTTGCCAAATATGGAAAGAGATTGATTACATCTACCATACATGAGAAGAATGGAATGTCCCTTTAATAATTGAAATATTTGTTCATGGGGTAAAGGCATGCCAAATGTTATTTTACCCTGCTTTGTTCGTAGGTTTGGAGAAGTCTCTTAAATATTGACTGTTCAGGATAAACATAACAGAACCTGCCTAACAGTGAATAACCTACAATTTGTATCTGCCTATTCATTACCGAGTAGGAGTCGACATCCAAGCCTTATTTTGAATATTAAAATGCCCTTTATTTCAAGGTCTTAATCAGTTTTATGACGGAAATAAGGATATTATGTGTTTTACATATAAATGGATTTTATGTTCATGTAATTTATCAAGTTAAATAGTCCAAGGCCTAGGTGTCCTCGATATTTATCATTTATAGTTTGTATGTCTTGTTTTAAAATATTAAAATGTCCTTTATTTCAAGATTTGGATCATACAACAACTAACTAAGTAAGGGGATACGTCGCTTTACATTTAGATGCTCTGCTGTGTTTATGTTCTTTGCTAACTGAGTTTCCATAATAATTTTCTTTATAAGTCTGTCATTGGGCTGTCAGAGTTATACCATACACCATCAGTTAATGGGGTGAAATATTCTCCAGACTCATTTTTATCATTTGATCCACCTTTAATATGTGTAGTTAAAGGTATGCTGGGAGATGTCAATTTTTTTTCACCCGCTTGGTCAGCAATAGTACTTTTCTCGATTTTAATATTTTCCAGCTTCACGGCTGACTGATGTAGTGCGCCTTTAAGAAGTAAAGTTGATGGAGAGTTTTCTAGAAACGATGTGTTTCCATTATGCTCCAAAATTACTTTTGTTAATGAACTATTCATGTTTGCTTTAATTTGTTCATAATCAATATGTTCCTCGATATAATGGGAGATCATATCCGACATCTTGAAGCATCTGTATGTGCAACCTGTAATTTTGCACAAAGAGTACAAGCATTTTGAAAATGCTGTTGGAAATTTTAAAGTCAACGATCGATCACTAACGTGGATCCTGAGCTTAATATCTGAAAAAACAAAAGCATGTTTAGATGTACCAATTTTGTTACAATACATAAGATAAATAAATAATTCAAGAGAACATGAAGTAGTATAATACAGTATATTTGGAAACTACAAAATTACTTTAACATCAAAATGAATATGAATATGAATATAAAGATTACCATCTTGCTCACTGTTTGTAGCAATTTTAACTACTCCTTCGATTGAAGCTTTTCTTATATGGTGGATAGTGCGGCTTGAAACCTGGAATAAAGCAATTGGAAATACATGTAGTATTCAATATGCTAATGATTGTCTATAAAAACAGAGCAACAATGATCACTTTGCATTTTCTAGTGTATAAGAAACAAGGTATCTATCACTATTTGATGAACTTCATTTTTATACTGTATCATAATGTTGCCCCTTGACTCCTAAGCACCTTGATTTTTTGAAAAATAACGGAGGAATAAAAATTGCAAAAGGTACTATTGAAAATATCGAGGGGGAGGGTCAATTTGACCCACACCCCTTGCAGACTTTGGGGCTTAAACTCATTTATATTGAGCCAATGATTTTTGTCATTACCCAGACGTCAGTAGGTTGTTACCAGTTTCACGACAAAGTGGCAAATTCGGGTCAGATATCATGGCAGATATTTTGAAAAGTTCCCTTAAACTTGAATGTTCAGTTCTAGTGGACCAATAGTCATATAACCGTTATGTGTCTGATATTTACCAATGAAAATATGTCCAGCAAAAATAGTATATGTCAAATAAAAATAAATAGTGCCATGGGTACTGGGCTCACATGGTGTTGCTCAAAAGTAAATGATGGCTTAAATGGCAGAAAAAATGGATATTATTTTTTTGTAACAAAATTATTTCATACAACTACTCTTTACAATGACATGGCTTTTTACAATGCTGGGCACCTGAAATTATTTGTAAACTAGCTAGCAAATGATCCAAAAGTGAATTTTGCGAGACTGGACAAATACAGAAAAAATACTTTCCACTAGAGTACTTGTATTTTATAAAGGTTTACATACTCAAATACACTATTCCTTCGAAATACATATCTCCCTGAAAGTCATGAGAATAAGAAACTTTACTACTGCATGTAATGGTACATTTAAGTAACTACTTACCTTCCAATTATGCTTTAGTCGTTTTGCACAACCCAATGCTGCTTTAATTTGCAATCTTTTACGTATTTGAAGTTCTTTATCAATTGACTCCACTTTAAGTTTGCACTTGTTACATACAACATGTAACTCATGAAGATGCTCTGCACCAAGTAGCTCTTCAATGTTCTTCCTCAGACAATTATCGCTCAAACTTGTGAAACCAGTTTTAAGCCGTTGATAACAGACTATGCAGTATTTTTGAGTCTCCAGTAAGTATTCAACTTGAGTTGGAGTAGTCTTCACGTCTAGATTTTTGTGTCCCATCTGAAAGTAAAGAATAGTATGACTTTTGATTACTTAAAATACAATTTAGGCTTTCAAGGAACAAATAGAGATTACTGAAGCACCACCAAGAATACTAAGGAATCAGAAAAGGCTACTGGTATTACGAAATAAATTTGGGATATCAAAGCACAACCATATACAAGGCTATCGGTTATTACAGGGTGTTTCATATGTATGCACCTCCCCCCATAAACTTATACATGTAGTATTCTCATCCTATCAGGTTATGTTCCTTATGGAAAGTTACATAAGACTGCAAAGTTTCAAAATCCAGTAGGGTCCATGAAAAAAGATACGACATATCAAAGTATGTGGGTACGGGTCATCTCAAGGCGTATTTCTGGTCATTTCGAGGGCAATTTAGAAGAATAATTTAGATTCCGTATTGCGCATTTCTAGCTAGCAGTTGTCATCATGGCAGAGTTCAGTCCACATGTGTGTGGCAGTTATGGAAAGGGTATATAAATAGGATCCATTCAGTGACTTATAGGGAAGCCAGGGGCAGATCACGGGACAAGTCCAAAAACAACCAGAAATTGCCCTCTAAATCACTCAGCAGCAATCTTTGATGACTTGTATCTTTTTTCAGGGACACCCCTCCATTCTGAAACTTTGCAATCTTATGTAACTCCCCATAACAAGCAAAATAATATATAACATGATAGGGTAGCAATGCTCCATGTATTAGTTTAGGGGCGGGGGGGCATACATGTGAAACACCCTGTATATTAAGTTACTAAAAGGAGTTACTTATAAGGACCAACAATCATACTAAGAGAGCACCAACGGCTATCAAGGAACCAAGTTAGGGTATTCAGGGTTCTCACCAGGAAATTTTTAGACCCCGTTTTTTGCAGTTTCGTGACTGCCCCTTCCCGATGTGTGATCAGAGATATCCTATCAGTATACAGGGGCGGATCCAGGAACCAACACGGGGGGGGGCCCAAATTTCAGGTCAGAGAAAAAAAGTCCGCGTTTGCGCGGAAAAAATTTTTGGGCCCCTAAAATCCAAAAGTGGGCCCAAATTTTGAAATTTTGAGGCCCATTTTCTTCAAAATTTGGCCTGAAATTAACAAATAAGGCCTTAAAAGGCCCAGTAATGACCAAAAAGGCCCACTTTTTGGGGCCTGAAGGCCTTGTTTGGCCCAAAAATTTTTTTGGGCCCAATTTTTTTTTTCTGGGCCCACCCAAGGGGGGGGGCCCGGGCCCCTGGGCCCCCCCCCCTAATCCGCCAGTGGTATACTTTTTACTTTAGAGATTATCTTCCTAGTTTCACAATATACATTTCTAAACGGTTTCTGACCTCCTATTCTTTGTTTGTATTCAGTTTTATGTATTTTCCCAAGGATTTTACCACAAATAATGTGACACAAATGCAAAGTTAGACTCCGAAAAAACACTTTAGACTCCGGAAAAGTGATTAGACTCTGGAGCAAGAGGGTCTAAAGACATTAGACTCCGGATCGGAGAATCTCTGGAGTTTAAAAGCCTAGTGAGAACCCTGTTATTAAATGTATAAGACAACCTGGGCATACAGTTCATTGTAGGTTTTCACTAACTTAGGCTATTAAGGAACCAATAGAGATTATTAAAGCACCATCAAGCATATTAAGGAATCACAGAGGACTAGTAGTATTAAGGAACCAATTTGGGGTTTCAAAGCACAACTAGGCTATTACTATCAGTTAATGTATTAAGTATCTAATCTAGGAGGAGTTACTTAGGACCAGGCTTAAGAACCACCAAGCATACTTAGGACTCAACTAAGGCGAAGGAATCGATTTATGGTATTAAAGAACAACCTGTCTTACCTGTCCTACCTGTCCAATTGTCAACTCTCCAGTCTGTGAATTATCATTCCTCACAATAAAAAGATCACGGACCATCTTCAAACATTCCTTGCAAATATACTTCTTTGTTGCATCAAATTCAAAAATTTCATTCATCTCAAGAACATACATGGCCCACTCTGTCTCAGAACAACGTTTTTTAACATCTTCTTTTGTTTGGTCTGTTTGTTTGTTGCAATAAATGCATTCGGAAGGTTCTTCCTGAAATTTGAAAAGGGTAACATCAAAGTGAAGATGAATCAATTTCAATTAGTATGACGTGAATAAAATAACAACTCGAGTGACTCGTATATGCACTTGTAAGTATATTATTCCATGCTAACAAAAACACACAACTCGTCTAATCTTAGCTTTACTACATATTGAGCAAAATAAAATAAGGTATAAAAAAGAAGGCGGAAACTGGATTTCAGCTTGTTTCTATCTGTACAATGATCGTACATAGCTAAATAATTGTTAACAATCATGAACTTCAAATGGTGTAACTATAGTAATTTATTTAGCATTTTCTGTGACTTTCTCTGGTTTGAAAATCATCTTACCTGTGATATTAGATCACGGACAAAATCCTCGCATTTCTTGCAAATGTACTGCTTCAGTTTATCAAGTTCATATGGTCCATTCCGTTCTAACACGTGCAGTATCTGCTGTGTTACAATGCAACGTGTTTTAGCATCTGTTTCTGTTTTGTCTGTTTGTATGTTGCACTTGATGCATCTGTTAATTCTTTCATTCTAAAAATTATTGAATTGAACATTGTTAATTTGCTTACATCAAGTAAATGTATGAATTATCAAGTTGTTTATCAATGACAGATCTTTAAAAATATTTGGAATGCATACATGTATGCATGGGCAAGCCATTTTAAACTGATTTCTCAGGTTATATTCAGTTTTTCGGTGAGGTAAATGTCCTCCAAAGATGTATAGTAATTGTGAAACGTTGGTAAACAGCGTCCCTCCTTTAAATATAAAAATACACAGACGCTACTTTATGTTAAGAGAGAATACTGATTGTTATAGTCGACACAGGGAAAAGAATACGTTTTAGGATATATCAGGCAAAGATGTTCCATTGAAGTTCCGAACTTCCATACTAAGAACCATCCCGTAATATTACAGATCAATCCATCAAATTGATTGGGTTGAAAAGTGGAGACAATATTTAATTACCCAGATTTTCATACAAAGAAACATCCCTAAAGATTTCAGATCAATTTAATTAACGGTTTTGCAAGAAAAATCTCATTGTTATTTTGCAAGAAACATGACAAGATTGTAGGACGGAAAATCCAAAATGGCCACCATTATGTCAAATCAGTCTTAGATCTTTTGAAAAACATCCCTGAAAATTGAATATCAATCTGTGAAACGGTTTGCTTGGATACACTTACACAAAGTTAAGTAGGGGAACCTCCCAACCAGTCATTGTGTTTATTGTTTAACGATGTATGATTACATGTAGTTGTGATTCAATGTTTTATTGTCTTTAGTGGCAGCTTTGAAGATAAATATTGTAACAAAGATATCAGTTGCAATAGTTATATATTCTTTTCGAATCTTATACTCACAGAGCATGGTTAACTTTATTCATCTAAAAACAAACAAATACAACTTTCAAATAAGTGGTCAAATGCAGTGCCTCCCTCACCTTTTTAATCAAATCAGAAACCATCTTCTCGCACCCAATGCAAATAGACTTCTTTGACTTATCGAGTTCGAATGGTACATTCTGCTCTAGCACATATATCATCCGATCTGTTACGGTTTTAGCACAACTTCTTGTTCTATTTGTTGGTAAGTTGCATTTAATGCAGTTATCGTCCTGGAAGTATTAAGCAAATAGCAGTCAATATTGTAGGTACTAATCAGGCTTAATGATACCATGAGTTCAGCATTATGTTCAGCTTAATAAGGATCCTAAAATGCTCTCTGTATGATTTTGTCTGGTCTGAAATAAGTACATTGGGTCTAATATAACTACCTTCAAAGATATGTTGATGGTAAACGCAATTCCATCTTCTTTTACATCGTTTACAAATCACGCATCCATACAGACGCTAACATTGACACCTTAGTAATTCCATCCCTCATCAAAAGTAATCATATTTGCAAAATGTTTTATTAAATAACATTTAAAGTTATGAACATATATAAAAGAAAAGTTCATACGAATTTTTGGGAATATTAGGAATCAGTCAATCATATAAGTAGAATTAAACTCACAGGGGGCTGTTTGGCAAGCTTCGATCGAGCTTTTTTATCTGCTGTCCCTTTCTGAAAAACAATCATTAGTTTTTTCAATATACTATCCTAGAATAATCAAATATGTAGTCCAAAGAACCTCGGCTGGTTTGGTAAAAAATAAAACACATTTACACATGATTCTAATTATTTTCAAAAAAAGCTTAATTCTTCTCATCAAACAACTTCTCATCAATTAATTAAACTATTAAACAGGCAATGCGCTTATTTTAGAAGGAAAAAAGGACAAAATATTATTTGAGACATTTCACTCACACAGTCAATCAAATATGATAAAAACTTTAATTTGGGTCAATACTGAAGTGAAAAAAAAATTAAACGCATAGAAAACAGCATTTGAAGTTCAGAGATCAAAAGAAGTGAATAACCACTTTTCACAAAGTGTATGTTTTTAAACAACTCTTGGACTAAAATATGGCGTATGGTTGAAAATCTTATCAAAAATGAATGGACAATTAATGCAAACAACAGTGCTATCTTTCTATGGCATTGCTAAAAACTTGACACATATAAATTGATAGATCAAAAATATTTTTTCATGATTTAGTGTCATCTCTGATGTGGTCTGTTTGAGCTGTTTTTGGTGTCAACTGAAAGATCAGGTACTTATTAATACATTGGAAATACTATGAAGATCAAAAGTGAGACTTCATTTACGCACTTTGTCCCTTTAATATTAGCAAAATCCTTTGAAGTAATGAGTGTCATGGGCACCTGGGTAATTCCATACCTTGTCAAAAGTAATCATATTTGCAAAATGTTTTATTAAATAACATTTAAAGAAAAGTTCATATACATTTTTTGAAATATTCCGAATCAATCAATCATACAGGTAAAATAGAATTAAACTCACGGAGAGGCTGCTTGGCAAGCTTCCATCGCGCTTTTTATCTGCTGTCCCTTTCTGAAAAACAATCATTAGTTTTTTCAATATACTGTCATACAATATTCGAATATGTATAGTAGTCCAAAGAGACTCGGCTGGTTTGGTAAAAAAATTAAATAACATTTACACATGATTCTAATTAGTTTTTACAAAAAGCTTAATTCTTCTCATCAAACATCTTCTCATGAATTAATTAAATAATTAATTTTGAAGTAATGAGTGTTTATTATCACCGTATAGATCTATCAACATGCTCCCAATGATTGCCATATTGATTGTCATTTTATAAGTCAAACAACAAGAAATCCAAGATATAACAAACGTTTTATATTTTCTTTATAATATTACACCGTGGTCATTTGATTGCTTGTTTGGTTCAATTGACACAAAAAACTCCCATAACTGTAAAATAGACCTTCAAGAGTAGTAGAAGCAAGTTTTTAGGATTGGTGACCAAATATTCAATACTTGAGATGGACACTTATAGTCAGACTAAAATCAAGACATCCGGCGTTCTTTCTAGACTTTCAAGGTAAATCTCATGATGTTATAAGTTATGAGAAATATGAGTGATGAGTGTTGGTTATCAATAGTACAATAACGTCATTTCTAAGGGCAATATAGTGAAATATTGGACCGAGGGCTGAAGGCCCAAGGTCCAATATTTCACTTTATTGCTCGCAGAAATGACGTTATTAGTATTATTACCACCGTTAACGACCAGGACTGAAACAGCAAGAAAATCTTACGCATTGAACGATATCTAATTTCCCGGGGAAAATTGCCGGTCCAGAATATATTCTAGACCTGTCCATATGGACCACCACTATGACGTCACACATTTCTCAGGTCGATATAGTAAAATGAACGCCTTCTAAACTAGCACTAAAACCCCTAGAACTGGCCCGGCAAGGTGGTAATAATTTACATTTATTCTTCAACGTGTATCGTGATGACTTTAGTATTGTATTGTATAATGACTTTAATATGATTAAAATGTCCATTTGGGTTTTGATAGGGATAATGGTATCTGAATGGTGCGGCAAAGGAGTGAGGGAGTGTTATACATTGCTTCTCTTCATGTTAGACACTTGTTTTGAATAGTTGGGGTTTGTTTCCTTATGACTTATATACTCTTAGATGTGTTTACTATCTTGCTGAATTTTGTAACAATTGTTAGTCTTTTCCCGTTGGCACTTCTTACATATTTATAGAAACATTTTTGAAAAAGAGCCTATACCCTGACCATGTTATTTTCTGGTAAACCTACAACTAACAGGTAACAGTTTAGTACTAACTCAAAGTAACAACAACATGGGATTACCTACTATTCTATTCTAATTCATCTATACATGCAACAAGATGCTTAGAAAAATAACTACATGTACACATATATCTTCATACTTTATTAAGAAAATAACATGGGAAGTGCATCAGTTAATAATAATGGGAACTACACTTACACTTGTAAGATACATTATCTTATAGGCACATTTAATACAGTTGTAGCCTCCTTCCTTGGCCGATCGTCGCTGACTTTTCGCTAGCTTTTTAATACTTTTATTGCACTGTCTGCAATTCATTTTAGCTGCATGTACACTGCACTTGTATTTGCCTTAGGTAATCGTTGGTTCAAATGAGCTGAATTCAAACATCAGGACAATTCAAAGAATTGTAATAATAAAGGACCCACGGCCCTGTGCTCACACAGTGAATTGTAATATCACTATATTTTGAAAGGATCGACTTTGTCAAGAAAAGTAATTTTTAAATTACATGAGTTATTAAGTTACTAAGTCGTTAAGTTACTCAGACTTATACTTAGGTAGGTACTAAATTGTTGAGTTAGTTACTCAGTTACTAGAGCTACCGATTACTATTACTTTAAAACAATTTTTCCATCACAAAAAACCTGCCCTTGACTTCATACATGAGAAAATCTTCTGAAAATGTAATTACTCTTTTTGTCAAAACACCGAAAAATGTAATTCCAAGAGCTTTATAATCTTCAGAGGACATGTGTCCAGGTGTCGCACATACAGCAACTACTTAATGTACATGTATTTGAAAGTTCTATTTTAACAAAGTGTCTGATAGAAAATTTGATTTTTTTATGTTAAAAACGGCAATTTCTCGGAAACTTGGCAAGCTTGGAAAATGTAGGTCAAACAGCCACTATGAATATGCATAAAATGAATGTGGATAACCTAGCACGAATAGCAGTTTTAATTTGTGCGGACAGATTAATCAACTAATGAATGGAGGGACGCCTAGTCAATCCCATATGCGCACTGTGTGAGCAAACAAATATTCATGTTATCTTCTGGTAAGCCTAGTTGGTTAACAGAGATTACTTTGTTAATTTCTTATTCATTTCACTCTAAATTCTACAAACAGTATGTACATATACACACATATTCACAATTAATTCTGTACAAGGAAATAAAATGTCAGGTATGGCATTTTTCAAAAATGTCTCCAATTGACAGACCTTAAGGACTGAGAATATAAGATACTCACTTTTGCAAGATAGTTTATCCTATTGACACATCTCAAGCAGTTGAAGCCTCCTTCCTGGGCCGGCCGGCGTTGCCCTTTCGATACATAGCTCAGATCTCTATTGCAACGTCTGCAATTCATCGATGCTGCATGCACAAGTATGTGCCTCTGGTAATCATTGATTCAAATGAGCTGAATTCAAACATCAGAGGCAATTTAAAAGAGTGGTAAACAAATAGCTGTTCTTGGTAATGGCTTAATGGTCTATTGATAACTGATAACTCAGAGTCTCTTCTTCTCCAACGGAGTTTTAAATATTTCAAATATGACAATTCCATCACAAATATTGCTCGCCCAATCATAGCAAGATAGTGTGTTTCAGTTATAGTAGCGTAACAACGATGTCAGGCAAAGTTTCCCATGCCTGGGTCGCATTTGTTCCGATTCATCTGCCTGCGGCCGGCCGATTGAGTATTTAGTTCAAAGTATACAGTTTGACCAGAATGCTCAATCGGCCATGCACCGGCCAATGAATCGGAGCAAATGTGACACAGGGATTAAATAATCAGATTCATCAAAGTGGGAATTTCGTATAAGAGGAACACTGGGAATAATTCACTCTACTAGCCTATACCTAACTCCTAGAAATGCATAAGATACTCTGTTTGTCTAAATGTATTGTTTAGTATATTTTCCTTATTAACATCAGATCCTCCAACTGTCCCGCAATTTGCGTATTTGTCACGCATTTGCTTGAAAATTAAAAGACATGCCAGTTTTTTGCGTGTCAACATTTGTAAGTCACTCAGGTGTTCCCAAGTTGACAGGCCTGCATCTAACAGTCATCCGATAAACCCCTGGGATAAACCATATGAGGAACATACAAATAAAAACAAATAACATAATCTAAATGGGTTGCTCATGAACACCAAATGCATTATATAGTATGTAATTGAGTAAATGTAGCTGTTATCTAGGCTAGCCTAGCTTAGCAGGCTGAGTATGAATCTCTCATTCATTGTATGTTGTAATGTCTTAGGTTGTATTCGCGTCCTTTTGGTCGGCGAAAATTTAATAATTTCTCTATGGTGTGTATTTCTAGATTGAATATCATTGCAACTGATGTGAAGTTATACTTACATGAATAAACAACTACACTTTTTGTTTCTTTATTTAGCAACATCCTGGCATTTTTTCTCATGGCAAACCTAAACCAGATGTTAAATGCAAGCTGATTGGCCGATCACGAAAGGTTAACTTTTCATTTCGTACAGCGCGTTACTTCCCCTATAAAATTCATGTGTTCCTTATCAAATATCAATAATCTGCAAAAGGCTAATAAGCCCATTTAAGGCAGATAATGTATTTTTTAACAGTGATAGAATTTGAATAGAATATAATTTAAACCTTAACATTTTAAAATAGATCTATGATTTCATTGATTTGCTTTCAACTCATAAACGGCCGGGACACACTGGTTGGCCGGCCCGACTGATGTACCCCCTAGGAAGTCCATTTATGTTGAAATGCAAAATGCACCGAGACGACTGCCAAGGTACCGCATTAACACCGCCCCTCTTTACCAGTGGTGCAGGCTTTTTTGGTGTGCACTGGGGACAATTAATTATTGAAGGTTCTTAAATGACTCTTATTAAACCATGTGTTATGAGTCTGTGAAAATCTTACTACACCACTCATCAAATACGTACGGTTGATAAGAATAAACACGTTTAACAGGCTTCTGATTTTCGAACATTACCAAATGGGACCATTTCTATCAATCATTTCGAAGATTTTAATGGGCTTTACATATTTGATAAACTTTTTCTTTTCAGTGCGGGAAAAATATAATTCTTTGCCGAATAATCGAAAACAAACCGTATGCAGATTTTTTTCAATTCACCTTTTATCCGTTTCACTTTTAAGTATGCATCTTTCTAATGTTGAAAATATAATAATGGATTTGTCTTGCATCAGTGCACTAGATTATAGGCAACCTGTATGATATCAATAATAACTTCCAGAAAAAACCAACTGGTTCGACATCGTCAGTTCTTGTCCGTTTATCGTCCATAACTGAAATAAAAACCATGGCCCTCAGCCTGGCCTCCTGTCTCCGAAGGGTCTCGAGAGTAGAGGTCCATACCGTAACCAAGCGGAATGGATTAATCTTTTCGCATACGGTGATGTTTTACGTTTCACTATCACAAAGTTTCATTGAAATATATCTTGTAAATTTTTTTAAGTCATTTACAAACTATATAAAGGGGAGTGTAGCCACGAAATGTAAATAAATAGTAAGGATTCGGAGAAATAAAAATGACGTGTTTATTCAGAATCTTCCGTCGTGTTTTGGTCTGGATCCAATAAACTACATGTACATAAAAATAAAACAAACAAATAATTCATGCAAAACAGTGTCCAAAAGTGCATCTTGTATGGCTAATTTCTCAACAAGGTACAAATTCTTCCCGAAATTCTTCAAATCTGGTTTAAATATGATTTGGTAATATTATTTCCATACATACTTATTCAACTTGGTGCGCTTAATTGAAATACAGCACTACCAGGCCAGACTTGTAAATATCATAAAATGATTCAAAGTCGACTGAGGAATATCATATTGGTTTACATCAAATTACTTCTTACCACATTTACAGCTCATCAATCTATAAAGACTATTACGGAACTCCTGGTTAACGAGAGTATATACCACAAAGTTAAGAGAAGCATTAACCTGTAAGGCGAGCTCGGAGAAGAGAAGAGCAGTATCAAAAAAATATTTGTCGATTCTGAACCTTATGAATGTTGATTTAAGGATATCTGTAATTACACGTGGAAGAACCAAAATGATGAAAAGTGTTGCAATGACAATTAAAAGCTTTGTTAATTTGTCTGTGCGTTCAGCGGTTGCTGGTGAATTCGATGAACCCAGTTGTATTCGGTGCTTAGAAGCACGTCTGAGAGCCACTACCAGCCTTATAGTCGTGACAAGTACAATCGTCGCAGGAATGATGGACCGAAACAGAGGCCTTATTATGCCAGAATATCCCTGCTGTAAAGGCTTAGTGAGCCCGAATTGGGTTGTCTTCCAAGACACATCAAGAATGCACTTCCCGTCATTTGACACCTCATGAGAAAGGAAAACTGGAAAGTTAAATGCAATAATTATGACCAAGAGAGTTACAATGGCGATATTAGCATTTCGTGCAGTACATAATGTCTTGGCTTTGAGAGGCTTGCATACCAAGATATACCTGTCTATAGTTACCATGACAACCAACCAAATGGACATATTAAGGAACATTCCTGTTGTAGTTAACCATATTGGCTCTTTTCTTGGTATCGCTTCAGCTGATTCAATGTGGCGTTCTTTAATCCAGTTGCTATCGTAATAAGCTCGATTATACAGGTCAAAGATTAAGTAAGAGGCACAAAATAATCCATCACTAATTGCCAAACATTTAAGGAATATCATACTTGAGTTTCTTTTCCTTAATGAAAACACTACAAATGAAAGTATACTTCCGAAGAAACCAAAGACGCTCACCAACATACTTATCCAAAATTCTATTATAAATTGCATTGACTTTGTCATATATTCAAAGCCTGGGCAATCATAAACATTTGGGAAATTGTCTAACATACAAATCGAAGGCAGGAATGGAAAATTCCAATATATAGCCACAGACCCACAGAAACCTAAATCACTGCTATTCCTTAAATTGTGATCGACACATTCTATCCTAAACTCGTGATGCTTACCACGCCACACCTGTTTCAGTAAGCAAGATTTTGGTAGAAATGGGAAAGTCATTGGCCATGTAATAATGTCATTTTTCTTGTACATGAAACAATATAAAGTCCTACTGTTATTCAACAGCTGACAAGCAGTATTTTTCTGGAATGCTGGCCTGTCCAGTTTTATTAGTTCTAAACCAAAGTCGCTAACTTTATTGTCATTAACATGGATATGATCTTTACTGGTATTCTTTGTGACACTCACACTCACATAGCAATGCAGGTCTGATTGCTTACGTTTTCGTTTCAAAATGCATGCACGTGGTAAAGTTGAAAATGGCCAACTATAGGTACCCATCTGATAAGGCCAAGCCATTAAATCTTCTGGGACCGTTGAGGTATTGTTGTTGCTAATGAAATATAATCCCATGCTGTTTACCTCTACCTCAATGCACATTCGAAAGGAGAATGGAAAAGGCCAATGTATGGTGATATGCTCTGAATCAGTGTCATCAATGTGGTTGCTGTCGGAAGTGTTTACGAAGCATTTCAATGTAATCTCATCAACCTGTTCACAGTTCTGATGTGAAAATGGAAACGGCCAAGCCAAAGGAACTAAATTCATTGACGATTCTGTGCTTTGAGACTTACATGTTTGAATGTCGCCCTTCGGCATCTTCTGACAAACAAATTGATCATCAAATAAGAAATGTAAAACATTCGGATACTGATTCATCATAAAATTCTGCCTGGAAGTACAATTAAGATCATAAAATTGCACTGTTTCTACAATTTGCTCATCTTTGTTCACTCGGCCCATATTGGAACGCAGTGAAGGCCGAGGGTGCGAATGTGTAAATCTCTGGGGCTTTCCTCTGCTCGAGCTTGAAAATGCCTTTTGGTGCTTTGCTATGAGATTGCATTTTAGTAAAGGGAAATTCAAAGGCTGTTTTATTGGCGTTTGATGCGTCGTATCTGTGTCACATGCTCCTTTGGTGTCATCTTGGCAGTTTATTGCATCAGTACCATCAGAGTTATCATTAACGTCTTGAATTAAATCCCCGAGTTTTTCCAATGCATTCTGGGTTGACAGCACAATGGGGATCATATTTGCAGTCGAAGGAAATACTTGTTTCGACATTGACTGTTCGGCATCTGTCAGATTGGAGACGTTTTGTTTTACTTCAGAGCTGATCTCTGTTACATTCAGAATTTGGCAATTCATTTCCAGTATACTTGTGAATCCTAGGATACATCCTAGTATGAATCCTATAGAGCACATCTTAAATCACGAACTTCTCTGATTGAGATGATATGGTTTGTAAATTATAAACCAATCCCTTCCTCTGCTGCAATAAAAAAAATACAATTAGTGTTATTATATTATTATATCTCTATATCAGAGCTTTAATTAATTGTTAACTGCAATTAAGTTTTGAGAATTTACAACTTTGAAACATGTACAATGTATACACCATCCACAATCTAGAAATAAGAAGATATGAACGCGAAATTAACATCAACAATTATAGCTAATTCTGCACAGACGGCCATTTTGTTTCACATTTTTCATATGATTCATGGATTCATGGGAATCATAGTCTTACTTGGCAAGAAGTTCTATTCAGGCCACATTGTAAGCAAGAAATTTTGAGAAGAAAACTATTCATTCGATCAGAGACATATAAGACATGTTTTATATGTCTCTGATTCGATCACTGAAAAAAATATAAGAATTGATCGACAAAACATACAAATCTATACATATAAAAAAGTACTTATTTTTGCGAAACGCAAAATTTCAATTTACGTAAGCATAATCTATGCTATCACTTTTGAGCGAAATCTCTCCATTACTTAAATTCTTAAAACAGCAAATTGAATGAATCATAATGTACTTGTACATGCATTTTCCGAAAAATAATAAAAAGTAGAGCTCTTACCTCCACCGATATAATTACGAATAATAACGTTTTATGCTACTAAAGTCTTGTTGTGGATCCCCTTCTTTTAATCTGAAATAATTATAGGAATTAAGGATAGGGATTAACCAAGTTAAAGCGATAAGAGGAACGTTTATCTATAATTATTGTTCAATAATACTCGCTGAATAGGTAACACATTTGCAATTAAAGTATTATATCGCCTTATCAGCTTTGTTTTGTCATTCATCTTATAGTCCCCGAGGTTTACCAATTACTTTGAACCTGATACATAAATATTTTATGTACTCCGTTCTTGTCTATACAAAGTGAAAATGATCTTGATAGATTTCACTGGGGTGCCCTTCTTTGCGATTAGGTCTCTTATAATTATGATCACGATCATACAGCTCCGGAACCTAATTAAAAGGTGAGCTGCTGATCATACTGTAGTATACTACTATTAGAGACCTACCTTGTCCCTCTTTTTAACATGAACAAATTATGAGAAAATTCTAACCTGACACCTTTTTTTCTACCGAATGATTGATTGTGGTTTAAAGTGATCTTATAGAAATAAATTGAAAGGTACCTTCCCATCCCTGTTTAATTCCATTTTTAGTATTTTGTTAAATTGATTTATATAAAAGAATGTAATTGTTTACTTCAATGTACGCACCCTCCTATCTATTAGTTTGGCAGCCAGTGGTCCCAGGTGGGTAGTTTGTTGAATCATAATTCATGAATCTTACTTTCGATAAAACTTTCCAGGCCCGTAGCCTGAGGGGGAGCTGGGGAGCGCAAGCTCCCCCTGGCCAGAAATTCTTTCAAAATCATGCAGTTTTTCAACATTCTGAGAATTTTTCGCATGATTTTTAGCCAAAATTGTGAAAAAGCTTCCCCCTGGAAAAAAGCTCCCCCTCCTGGTAAAAGCTGGCTACGGGCAAGCTTTCAATAAACAGTTCCCTCTGTAAATAAAAAAGTTGCATTGTCCTTTACCATTCATGATATCTTTACCATTCATAAATATGGTATAAAAGGTTAGAGAGGATCGAAAGGAACAACTCCCAAAATCGAGAGTGTGACTTTTTACCATAAATTGACGACATGAATATGAAAAATCAAATATTCAGCATAGTGCTCAATCTTGCGAGATGTGCTAACTTTTTAAAATTTCCATCTAATTTAAAATTTCTTAAAATTTCCACCAGTTATTTACAATATGTACACCATATGCCTCCTAGCTATAGAGTATATTAATGTTATACAAAAATGCTGAAAATGTTATGAATGATAAATGACCATGTACCTTTTTTTCGTTACAGAGGTTAATGTGAAATATTTAGGAAATGTAGAACTTCAAACAAAGTAAATTTCCTTAAACCATTAACCCATGCATTCTACAGTGTTCTGCTCTATAGGGTACTGAGAATAATATTCGATGGCATTTATAAATCTTATTTATTTTCTTATACATTTCATACAGATATACAAAAGCAGTAAGTGGATGAATAGAAAAAATACATAATGCTTAAAATTCTCTCTCTCATTGTATTGTCAGTTCAAAACCTAATCTGCTTTGCATGGAAAATCTGTAAAATTAAGGTTTCTATGACAAAAAAGATAAATATGTATCTTGGGATCACTTTGCAACAGACGTCCTACAACCACTGAAACCCGTAATCTAAAGATATAGATAATATAAATGCTAAAAGCATTGGAGGATTATTTAGCACTTTCTGGCTAATTGTTGTGGCAACTGTTAATGGATATTAATTAGTTACATGTACTTGTTTTACAACAGTAGCTATACCGCGAGGTGTAGTTTTCAACACATAACATTTTGAAAGTATTTTCAAAGCTAAATTGTTCCCTTTGTCTGTACAGTACTAGTTTCGTTCCAAACACCCTAACTTGCTATTTCAACGAATATTAATACTATAGCTAGGACACCATCGGCGATTTCTTCCATCAAGCATAGCATTAGTAGCTACTGACATCTATCAAATTCTGTTTTAAGAGTTTATCATCTTGTGAAGATGCGAGTTGGGATCCTCAAACAACACATCTGGGGAGTCGAATTCTACTATCTGCAGGCACAAAAAACGAAATAATTACAAAATAGGGCATATACGATATTTATTTAATACTACGACACTCGAGTTATACGCAAATAATTCCTCAAATCTTCCATACTTAAACGTTCAGGCTTTAACCTTGGTCGTGACTATCAAATGAAACGTGGATCGAATTAATTTTATAAATAGTAAATATAGCACTTACTTCACCGTTTTGTATTACCATGATGCGATCGTAATGTTTTACGGTATGAATCCTATGTGCTATAGTTAATACAGTACAATGACTAAAACCCTCCTTTATAGTTTGTTGGATTAATTTATCAGTCTCATTGTCAATAGAAGCAGTAGCTTCGTCGAGAAGTAATATCTACAAAACAGTCATGAAAGAATAAGAAAAAGGAGTACTTGAAAAAAGAACTTACAGTAATTCTAAATCATATCATGCTTTATTACTGGTTGAAAAGTAGTTAGAAATAAGAAAATATCAAGGGCAAAATAATTACTTTATTTCCCCTTAACAAGGCCCTTGCCATGCACAGAAGTTGCCGCTCTCCAACAGAGAAGTTTTCTCCATTTTCTAATACTTCGATAGCAAGTTGTCCATGTAATGATAATATCTGGAACAGAGCAGAATCAGATATGCAAATGACAAGCGGTAACAAGTAGAACACATTATATACATGTAAATGAGGCAAAGCGGCTAGGATATAATGACTGAACAAAACTGAGCGTCTTCAATAGCTATGGCATCGATATTTCAAGTTAGGATGGACACTTTTGCAGACGTTTTTCGAGACTGACTTACCAATGGTTTAATATGACATTGGCCAAGGGCAGACCAGAGTTCTTCGTCCGAATGTTCGTCAAATGGATCCAAGTTGAATCTGGAAAAAGATGGTCGATATTTTACATTGTCTGCGTACATTACTAACTCACATGGGTGACACGTTTCTTCTCATTGCAATAAATACGACAATGATGAAACTTTGGGACATAGCGTTTTTTAAGATATTCCATTCTTATCGTACCCGAAAACATTAGGTAAAGTCTTGCATCCTCTAGAGTGTTTGCATTTCCCTGCTCTATAAAATATTCACATATACCATTTCTTTCAATTTGCGAATACACATGTACATACATACATATACACAAACCTTAAAGTTCCTGTAAAGAGGACAGGCTGTTGAGGAATGACAGAGATCTTAGATCGAAGATGAAGGAGGTCAACTTTGTCTATATCAATTTCATCAATATACACCGAGCCGCCTGTATCAGCTAAACGGAACAGTGCAGATCCGAGAGATGTTTTCCCTACAAGTATATGATTGATATGTGTTCTGTTCATATTGCCTTTTCTACACTCGCAATGTAGATGTATAACAATATAATACAGTAATGAATACTGCGTTGTTGACTGAAGTCAAGTGTCACTAAAATCATTCTATTATCTTTTTCAAAAAATGTAGTGACGTAGCTATGTGTACGCAAAATAGGCACGTTCGTACACTCAAATTTTCTAACAGAAATAGATAAGATTTCCGCTCTTTATCCAGTCCAAAATCTTATCCCAGGTAATCTGCCGAATCATTGGACGTAGGGAATTGGCAGAAACGGATTTGATATATCGATGATATCATTAAGGGATTTTAGGAATTCCGTTAAAGAATACAATGCTGTAGAATTGGGTTTTCTCCTTTTTTGTATCTATTTAATTCCAACAGATGATTAATTTCCCAGTATTTGAAATAACCCTCATAATGGCATTGTTGCAAGCAGTGACATGTGGCATCCCGTATTCTGTATTCTCGACTAAATGATATATTTGCATGGAAGAGTAACATATATTGTCTTGAAACATCCATTATTTAGCGGTATAGAGCCAGGAACTTTTACATGTCAAAATGAAAATCTATTTGGTAGAACTTTTCACGTATACCTGCATCCATTTGCACGGAAGCGAACGATGTTGCAGTTCGAAATGTATCAAAAACACATACGTTTAACTATTAGCAAGAAAAGACTTTCGTTGTGTGCTGGTCTAGCTACGTGCGTACATCGAAAAAATTGGCTTAGCTACGCCTCTGAATGTAACGTACCTGCACCGGTTCGGCCAACTATTCCTATTTTTTCCTGAGATAGAATATCAAAGCTAATTTTTTTCAAAACATCTGGAAGCCCTGGTCTGTATTTCAGTGATACGGAGTCAAACTTGATTTTGCCGCAACTTGGCCAGTTTTTCTCTGGTTGGACCTGCGTGTCCTTCCTAATGATATGCTGTTCAGAAACCAAGTGCTGAAATAAATAACAATACTATCATATTTTTACATTTATAATAGATAACCACACATAACTGATCAACAGTAATCAATTAAAAGCAAAATCGCAGTGTTTTGGAAAAAATGGAATTCTTACACATATGTAATATTCAAAGCGTTCTATTGCAATGTAGAATGCTTCCAAGTCCACTACTGAGGTGACGGCGTAGACAAAGCCAGTATTCAGCTGAAACAAATAAACAAGAATTTTGATATACAAAAAACTATTCCCAATGGCAATTTGAAGACAATTCATGGCTAACTTTATACTTAGTAATGTATGAACGAATGGATACATACGAAATCACGTAACATAAGTAATACTATAATAATAATGCCTACGGTTCATATGAAACTAATGCAAGAATACGTTAATAATATGCCAAAGTAAGTCAATCATTAAGTGCTTACTGAAAATATCATTGCAAATACAAGCCCTCCAAATGTAACAGGCATTGGTGTAAAGATGACAAGTAAAGCAGTGATTATACTTAAAGATGACAGGAGGACACGCCCTCTACAAGTCACCCATACTGCTCCAAGTCTTACTAACAGTACACTCAATGTGTGATCGTCCAACATCTTTGAAAACCTTGAAACACAATCAAATGTGATATTTGTCCCATCGACCAATACACATTCAAAACTACAATAAATTAGCATGTTGTATTGTAATATCGATTGAAATGACACACAGTCAGACTCAAATTGCACCATCTCATGTATAACGACGTACCAATCCAGTCACATTTTGTAACATTAATATGAATTCGTTTAGAAAAGTTTAATGAGTTTCTTAGATTCAGTGTCAGTGATTCAAAGACTCTGAATGCTAATTTAAAACGAAACGATTACCATATTGAACTGTCGCTAAGAATATATTCAAATTATACGGGGTACAGTGTGATTACTAAGGAATATTAATCAACAAATGAGAATATTCTTCAAAGATTTCTTATCTAGATGATGTTATATTCAACCCCTCCAACTCCATGATGAATTGAACTTATATTTACTTTGATTTGAACATCTCCTCTTTTCCATACGTTTGTACTTCCTGAAGCCCTTGTATAGTGTTACTCAAATGTGCAAAGAGTGGAGACCGTCTTAAGTTCTCACATCTCTTTAATTCCCTCACAGCGCTTCCACCCATCATAGTTATGACCCATAGGATCGTTATCGTTGGTACTATTCCAATAAGTGCCCATGGTATCACAACACAAATCATTACAAGATAAACAAATCCATGGAATAACGTGTCAAGTATGTCGAACTTCAATTTCGGTATTTGATTGTCAACTGAAAAATAACTCAAATTAATGTAACATCAAATAAAATACACCCAACAAAGTATGTGAGAAACCTCGGAAATTGGCTACTTGCTACGGCTCGAGGATATCATGCAAAAACCATATACAAGAATCTCTACTTACACTAAGTTAGGTCACGCTCGACACAAAAACCTACTTGGAAATCAAACTTAGCCTAACATTTAATTTAATATACGACTAGTACCTTCATCTACGTCTGTAGAAAAGCGATTTAGGATACGTCCTGTAGGATTTGTATCAAAGAACGACATTGGACTGAACATAACTTTGGTCAACATCGAAGAATGTAAGTTTGTGGCTGCTCTACAGCTGACCTAAATGGAGTTCACAGGAATCTCATATTATCAGAACCAAAACATTAAATAACTTTGCCTTACATCTCACTTTGCTTATTACAAGGTATGTTATTACTAGGATGCAAGTTATAAGTATAGGCTTTTAGTATGCTCTAGGATGTTTATTTCTCATGTGTTTTTGCATAAATATAAGCGTTAAGTTAGCATTGTTATATTATGACGTCATCACACAGAATCTGTTTGTCTTTTCCAAAATGGTGAATTTAAATATTGTGAAAATTTGAGAAAGATCCGTTAAGAAATGAAAAAGTTATCTTCATTTTTCGTTTAAAATTAAAATCATTTTTCTTCAAAATGTTACAGTCCACACCCGGTTTTAGCATAGAAAGTCGCATAATACGGCTTGCGTGATTCTCATTTAAAAAGTCCCAAATCAGTTATTTGGAATTCTGATAGGCAAAATATTTCATGGACATACGTGTTCAACTGATGACGAAAAATTGTAGAAAAATATGATTTTGCTGTCGAGATATTGCGGTTTTAAAAGTAAGTACGCATGTAAAAATGCGGTAAAATGCCGCGATGTACAGTATCTGACGTCGTATCTTACATATTCCTTGAAATACACAAACAGTGTGTCCCTAAAGTCTATCTACACGTTACACAGACTTTATATTGTAAATGTAGAGTCTTTATGGACATCCTGTATACCGATCAAGAATTGATGGACTTACGTTATACTTTCCATTTAAAAGAAAATAATTACCTTAATAAATATTATTGTCTTGATAATAGCAATCAGTAAAGTTGCTAAAACTGCCACACCATAAGTACCCATGTAAAAATTTAATTTTGGATTTTCCAAAATATTGCCTTCCTTTCGCGAGAGAGTGAACGTTGTATTTGCCACAGACCCAGCGTATTCAAATGTAATATTGGCATGTTGAATCGGCTATAAAACACAATGAAAAGCTTGATAAGTATACTTTATTTCTATTCTCAAGATGCAATTTGTGATTAATGCTCTTGAACAATACAAAATCATTCAACTGGAACTTAAAATAGCTATAAAACATGAGAATACTCAATTTTTGAACAGTTTAACCAACAGTTTTTACTGCTCTAAACATATTACAGACATTTGGTGTGATAGTCGTGACTCTTCAAGATACTGCTTTTGTTTAATACTAACAACCTTGGAAATGGACAGTTACACTTACGTTCTGCCCATCGCCTTGATTTATCCAATAGGAAAGCCACCAACTCGTAAACACAAGGTTGCAGGAATGGAGAAGAAATATCATTATCAGGATGATAGCTAAGCATATTCCACCAGCCTTGTTTATGTACAATCGGTAAGCACTCCAGGAAACTCTGCCAATCCCCCTCTCTTCATCAACCATTAGATTATCTGAGTTTTATAATAATTACTGAATAATCTACATATACATGATGGGTCAAAACAACACACAAGTTTGATGATGAATATCATATGATGTATATTAAACCATCCAATGTATTATATATAATTTTTTAATTTTCTAACAATGTGACACCACCCGAGTGAAAAACCTTTATTTTCCTGTAAAGTTAGAGGTTAAAATCGGGACCAAATATTTTTTCATTGCTGATTTCCAAATTGTGGAAAATGGAGGGTAATTTTGGCACTTTAAAAAGAGGTACATTTATACAAATAAAATGTTATACAAAAATTCCCACAATATACAGTTGTAATGTCAGTTTCCCTGACAGAATCTCGATCCAAACACAACAAAAAGATTTGCCACATTCCAAATCAATAGCACAGTTTAGAGTAAAGAGTGGAACTGGACACTTGGACAAATAATGAATTATCACAAGACAGGTAGTACATTTAAAAGATACAGCGGGTAGATTAGTTAATTACACTTGCGTTTAAGGTTTCTCCAGTAAGAGGTTTCCCATATGCTAGAAAAAATAGTATATCAAAAATAAAGCATTTATATTAGTACTTAAAATTAGTATCTGGCGATCATACCCGATTTATCACTCGTGTCATAATGATTTTCTTCTCGATTTGTTTCCTTCTCTTGTTCCTCTGTATTTTCATCTTTGTGACTGTTATTATCTTTCTCTGTAATTCAAAATGGTTAGATAAGTCAGATGAGCAATTGGAATGGAATTGTAGGCGTTTTTATTTCTTTTGCAATTAAGTTGTATATCAATTTTAAAAATGTTATTCATACTGACATACTATATTAAATAATACCACTTGTCGTTTCGTTGCAGTACATTCGAAATAGACTTGAGTAAGTACTATCCGACTCTATCAACTGAGAATGGGATCCCTGCTCAATAATCCGTCCGTGATCCATCACAAGAATATGCCCGGTATCTTTTAAATACTGGAAGAATAAAGCTGTTGTTTGGTAATTTTGTACAGGTGACAATGTCCATGGCGTCGTTGCATGGTTTGAAGACTGACCAGTGACCAACGGCTTTCATGGTCGATGGAAATTACATGCATTAATGATGGCATAGCCTTGTATTAATGGACGATTGAACCAATATACAAAAGACACAATATTCTAACTTGTAAATTATATTCATACTTGCCTGAAGCTGATGTGTTACAAACACCACGGTTTTATTACCGAGGATATTCTGTATACACTCCCTAAATATATGCTGACCAACACGGACGTCGACGGCAGAGAGGCAGTCATCCAACAGATATATGTCTTTGTTGCTGTACACTGCTCTTGCAAGGCACAGTCGCACCTTCTGACCACCACTCAAAGTCACACCTCTTTCACCTATCTAATAACGAATATGGTATACTTTTTGTATTATATTGTATTATTTTGTATTGTATTGTATTGTATTGCATGATCTGTAAATGCAATTCTATTTATTATCATTTTTGATATATTTTTGTTATTTTTTCATTACTTTATTAGGTGTTGGTCATAGCAAGAAACAAAATATTTAACACAGATGTAATCAGACTGATGAAACGCGATAGCCTTAAAATACATGAGATTAAGAAACGTTAGTACATTTAGTAGTGCATACTATGTAGTTAAATAGATTTATTTGGGGTAGGTAATACAATATTCTCACCTCTGTTCTATCCCCATTCGGCATAGCCTCAATGTCTTGGAGGAGAGCGCATGCATCGATGACCTGGTCATACCTAGTAATATATGTCGCTGATATGTGTGAATTCGAAATGTGTTTGGTACACTGTAATATTGTACAACCACAGATTAATACACAAGGTGAAATTGTCAAAATCATGAAATATATTGAACTCTTTGTAAGTGTAACATTATTTGAGACACACTGTAGTTTATCCATTTGTTTCATACATCCAAAACGAGAAATATATGTCTGCCATTTCAGTTGTACATCACATCTTTTTTAATCATACCAATGAGGTATTTGTAGTATATGCTACACGATAAACGAAGATTGAATCCAAGATGAAACTGATTGTAATACATATCAAAACGTCTAAAATCTTAACGTACAGTACCATAGTTTGTTATATGGTGAACCAAATGTCACATTTTCCCTCATCGTTGTATTCATGATCCATGGTTGTTGAGGAACATACGTGACGCTCTCATTACAAAAAAGCTCCCCAGACACCACTTCTGTCTAAAAAATTGAAGTTCATTAAATATCCAGAGATACAGTTTCAAAAAACATAGAGCTCCACTTCATGTTAGGCATAGAGATTTATTCAAAGGAAAATGTATGACATCATCGGATGGTAGATGAAGACTCTAGAATTAATTGCTCCATCCTTGCTTACATAGGTCTTCAGCTATTGCGTATGCTCTTACCCTATACATAATGGAGTAAAGCAGAGTACTCTTCCCGGAGCCAATCGGACCACATATTCCTGTCAAACTACCCTATAAATAAGATAAATGCTCAATTTAATGACCTGGGAAATGGAAAAGCTAGGTTGGTTTTGTTTTAACTCAATGTTCTACCATTCCCATTGTAATATTCATAATAAACCTTTACAGTTGAAAAGTGCATCCCTACCTTGTTAATTGCGAGGTTTATATCTGATAGTATAGCGGCACTCGATACCGGTTGATCTTTCACATCATGTTTAATTTTGGTTCTTTCGTCATCATGACAATTTTTATCGCCATTTTGTTTCTTCATACTTATAATTTCTGGCAGTTCTTCATCTGTTGCATCACACATGCTTGGCCATTGGAATGTTGCATTGTTGATCTCAATGTCACATTCTGGATTGTTTGGTTGTCTTTTGTTTTGTTTTGTGTCTGGCAATGCCATAAGAGCCTTCAATGAACGAATTCAAACTTGATCATAATTGATAATGTCATATGGGAAACATATTTGTCATCGGTACATAAGGGTCGCACGTACCTGAAAATTGTAATGAGTATTTTACCCCTTAAACTTAAGTGGCCTTATTCTCTCCCCCAAAATTATTTGGGTAATGAAATACTTTATTCAATATAATATATTGCTTATGATTAATTAATGTGTTTTGCAGTGTACCTTAAAACGTTTTAATGAAACGGTTAACTCGGCTAATATCTTCATAGAGTAGGGTAGCTCTGCCATTGCTCCTCTCATTGATACGATCGCCGAAAGAATAGAGAATGCCTAAAATAAACTAGTCCCTAATTTGTTGAAGACACAAGTTATGTTTAATTGTTTATATACTTGATTTCAATAATCACACTACCCTACCTCGATAGCGCATGCGCTAATCTTTGGGCTTTCCACCAGGTCGCTTTTGAGTATACCGACTGCTTAGTCAAAATGTTAACACGTTTGGTGCTCGGAGTGAGTCAATATTGCTATTCGCTGAACTTCAGTGGTGCAATAGTGAAGTCCATTTTCCAAGTTATATATATGATAGTTGAAGAAAGAATGTAAACAATATCGTTTTAAATTTTAAAATATTTGATATGTCATAGTACACGGTACACGGTTGCAAAAGTTGATCAATACAGGGAACAAGGAATGTAAATTGTTCAATAGTACAGGGAGCGAGAAAGTAAGCTGATTATACAGACATACTATGTCCCGATCTTATGTACATTTACGTTGCAAACAGTGAAAATAATACTAATAAAAAGGCCGCCTGTTGATGCTTTGAGGTTTCATCAATTGTTATTTAATCCAAATAAAGTAAACATTATTTTGTAGATATAGACACGGGCTTTCGGGTCGTAAATGCATTCTAGTCATTGAAATCAACAAGAACGCTAGATTATACGTGTTACTAGAGTATCAAATTGAACTGAAATAACGAAATTAAATATGAACACGTTAATGATAAATAACTATCCGCTATCAGGATTAATGACTATCCGCTATTCAGAATAATTAAAATTGCCTGAACTACATGTAAAGAATCTTTCTATATAACCCCTTGAATGGTTTAATTCACTACCGTCCTCAAAAACTGATCATTTAAAATATTTTGTTCAAAATACCATCATGCCACGACTTGAGAGCATTTTGTTCTTCACAATTTGCTGTAGCGCTGATATGACGTCGTATTTCTCTAATATTGTAAAAAAACTAATACCAGATCGATGTAGGCTTATATATGACGTGTTGAATGTCAGATGTTTTTGGATGGTATCTGCTCCAGTGATTTTGCATTTAATCATGAAACGCTCATCACAAGACACCTCGAAACAAACATTATCCTCTTTGTGACAAGAGGAAAAATGTTTCACAATATGTTATGCCTTGCGGCAAAGGAAAGATACATTTCTGGGACGACTTTTTTTATTCTTGAGATTTTAGAAAAACAATTAATTCACAAATATACAGTTGAATAAACATACTGGAAAACGTATCCACATATAACACAATGACACGCAGTTTAGATAACAGTTAACTGTTTTTTTTTGTTACATATCAATGTAACATTTTCGAAGGGAAACTTACATGCTCCCTGTACGTTGACAGATTTACTGAAATGTATCGTGTATTGCACTGAGTTTTGCTTCACTGCGCCCACTATCATCTATCTTTGCCTATAGTGTTTTTTTGCCAACAACATTCTACAAACTGCTTGATGAATCAATTCTATGTCTGGTAGAAATAAATGTAAAATGTATTTTACGTCCAGAAATATGGAATTAAACCCACGTTCTCCATTTGCAACTCAGCTGTACCCTGTTTCCCTTTTAAACGTGGTCACGTGGTAGGGTAGTGTGATAATAAAATATATTATTGTGTGAAGCTTGAACTAATGTGACATCTAAAGTCAATATATGAAAGTGAAATTTGAAATACCTTGGAACATTTTCAAACATTCAACATTATAACATTTGCAAATCTCGTGATAATAATTAAAGTTATGAAATTCAAACTTACTTCGGGCGCAGACAGGGGAAAATTGGTCCAAATTTTCACAAGGAATATGACACCAGTTGAAAACATCGGTAAAAGTGGACCGAGGGCCAACCCAAACAAATAGAATACCATCGATAAAGCTATCCAATGGATTTCTCTAGTTCTGAGATCTATACAATAAAAAACAAGCAAATATGACAAAAGAGAAAGTAAGGCAATAGTCTACAAGACATGCGGAGATTTAGACAAGCTAGACTAGGTCATATAGTCAAACAATATTGCTCACACTGAGCCAGTCCATACATTAGCTTGGAACGCCTAGCTGGTTATTGTGCATACGAATGAATGATCTACTTCCTTTGAGAGCAAGCCAATGCATCATCTGATCCATCTCTCACAAGTGGACCAATGTCTCTGTGTTTATATTATACCCATACTCTTTATTTGAACCTTAGTCGCTGCCAATGACTAACAACGTAATAATACATTCGGGTTAGGTTGACCTTTGAGGTCAACAGCTTTATAATTCGCGTCAAGGGAATTTCTAACAATTATCAACACTTATATTATGATTACGAATAAGGTCCTAAAATGGTAAAACATTTCTAATAGCCAATTTTAACAATTTTAATAACCTACCATTTAGTTTTTGGATGAAGGATGTTTCCCAGGCAAACATTTTAACCAGCCGGATACTCTTCAATAGCTCTGATATCAAACGAACCTGAAATAGGAAGTAATGGGGTAACTGAGATATATAATGATATACCAAGATATGATTGTATGAGAGGTCCAATAGAACCTTTTACTCGAGTATTTGATACAGGTATTTAAGAATTATTGACAAACGGGTAAATCGTACATGTATATGATATCATAATGACACTAATGTTCCTCTTACCCGACTATCTGTAACAGTAATTGCTCTCATTCTGAATGTCGCCATAACCTTACCTAGCCCTATCTAATAAATAAATAAAATAAATATATTTATCTTTTATACATTTCTCTGTTTATCAATGTTGTTAAAATGCAATGCGATTCCCCTAAAGGTGGTCATACATTCCGATCATTAATGTGATGATAAAAGCAAACGTTACGTAACTTCAATTTCATATTATCATCAATAGATTCTAGTTTCTGTACCGAAATAATCAGGTTAATTACGTACATATTAAAGAAAGGATTACAAAGTGTGAAACATTCAACAATACCAATAGAAGACTCTAGTATAGTGTCAATGGAGGCTAGACAATTCTCATGAAGAGGTGTAGATTGTTTAAAGCTTTTTACCTGAATTGGTACGTTTGATAAAAATACAATAATGCCCAGCAGGGACCAAGGACCCAAGTAAATGACACTGTAGACAGCCAAAACAACAAATGCAACACATCCGGCAATTAGTGAGGCGACGAAAAATATTAGGTATGCCAATCTTGCAGCATCGTTTGCAAATAAGCTTATGATCTGAAAACATACATATATATATAATATGAAAATAGTCTTACAATCCAATAAATAACGTTTCACATATCTAAGCACAAGTGCCAAAGGGAAATGACCAAAACTGTAAAGAAACCTAGCAAGAAAAGCAAACTCTTAAGTGCAAATCTAAGTGTAAAACTAAGTGTAAATCAATAATCATGATCTCGCGTGAAAAGAAATAATGCATAACAGCCCCCTTCCCCCTCCAATCGAGAGCCATTATCATAATCCAGGGCAAGAACACCAAGGGCGTTTCATCTATACTGAAGTCATCACAATACGTGTTCAAATTAAAATAGCCAATACTCATAACATCAAAATAGTTGTAGAAACTAGTACTCATAAAGATAGAGCATTCAGTTTCAAATGATGTGGGATAGACGAAATTCAGTCTGAAAGTCAATAGGCAATTCAAAGGGTCAAAATCTATTCCATGAGCCGTCTTCATATTCTGTAAAACACAATAATTCACAAAGGTCATCAGGAGAAAAAAGGTGTTCACCTTTCCTGAATTTTCATTTCCAATACTCTGCGTCCTTAGTATTTTTTCATACAATATTGCCTGCACAACCGCCCGGAGTCTAGTTCCTGAAAACAATTGATACAAAGTGAACCAAGGTCATTGTTCTGATTTTAAATTCTCAATTGTATTCAAATATACATGTAAATGTAACTGCTACTTAGGAATTCACAGATTTATACCTCAGACCCCATTCAAGCCCTCTTCTCAACCAAAGAGACAGCGACGACTCCCCTCCTCGCCCCTATCTGGTTTCCCATTGTCCTTTTGTCTTAATTAATTGCCCGTTAACAGTATAAATTTGTTTTTAACAAAACTCAGATTTGTCAAATATATAACTATTTCGAATCTTATGATTTTATTATACACGTTTCCAGAGAAACACTTCTGAATACTGTTAGCGTTATGCTGCCCATAGTCTCTTCTAACCTGCTCGTATGTCAGCTACCTTAAGCGTCATCAAACCAAACACTTTCAGTATTTCGACTGTGATAAAACCCAAACTCAGGTACAGTCCTGTCCGCCAATCTGATGTCCCTGCCTCCGCCTTATGCTCCAATATTCTTCGAACAACATACGCCTTAATATAAAAAATAAAATGTGTACCAATTTCTGCATTTTTTCTTAACCATGTTATTCAATCACTTCTTGGACACCAATATTATTTTGCTATGTTAAAAGTTAAGAACAGTAAACGGCCGTTGCATAATTCAATGTAAGGTTAAATCAAGTTTTAAATGAGGATCTTACTAACATTCGCTTAATAAACTATATTTACCGGTCCTATGAAACATGCAGCTTGGTATATTATTGAAGCAAATAAAGCCAATATGAACTGAACTCGAACCATATTGAAAAATACATTCACCAAGGATGCATCATCTCCCTTCCGCTTCACTTCATTGTGCCAAAGACTATGAAATCTGGAGCAATGCGTAATAAAAATACAGTGAGAGTTTAGAGTATAGAGTATAAAGCAATGAAAGTACTAAGCGTTATACTTCAAAGTGGCAAAAATTGGATACATCGCTTGAAATTATAAAATATACAATATTATTTTTCTTTGAAGACTAAATGTAGTCTAGCTACGAACCTCTGTGACCCCTCTGCTTAATTAAAGACCTTCTCACATTTGATGTAGTTGGGGGGGGGGGGTCACAAGGGCTTGTACCTAGACCAGACTTAATGAAGTAATCTACCTTTTAAGATTATAATTTGCAGTTTCCAGTTTTGGGCATTTCCATGATATTTTAACATCTTCTGGTCGTCTGTAAGATTTAAACACCAGGCCATTGAGAAAGCTACTGCTTATATATGAAATGAACCCCTGGTCATCGACTGGGCAAGTCTCTTGTTCTCTAAAACACAAAAGTTTATTACTCAAACTTTTGATATTCTTTTAGCTAGGTTACTCTAAGCCAAGAACCAACACCAATGCGCCAAGACTTTTTAACGGATTTACTCCAGTCCATCTAACAGATAGATCATACTTGTTCAAATGTAGCCTTCAAATTATCAGATTTTAAATGTATAAACATAGTACTAATCATTAACATAGTACATCCAAAAATAAATAAATCTCGATGTATTTCTTCAATCAATCATTTAAAAGTATTTTGCTTCTATTATGTTTTCTAAAGTACTCTCCACTTTTCATCTTGCTTCAAATTGACCATTTTTTCAAAATCATCTACAAGTTCTCAGAAGTTCAAATCTGACTTAAGATTTTAGATCTGACCTTCAATGACCTTCTCGGTGTAAGTTCTCAGATATTCAAATCTGACTAGGATTGAACTCATAACATTGTTTGCAACTAGGTGGTGACATTTTGTCATGTTTATTCCTTGATTAAAATTTTACCTCCACCTTCTATTCATTACACTTAATAGTACAAAATAAATTATTTTTATGTTATGTTCTAAAGTCACGGTCTAAAGTATTATACGATACATTTACTGTATACATGTTAAGTAGGATATAGCAGTATTTTACATGTTTTCATTTTGTCTTTGTTTACACCCAACAACTGATTTCGTTATCATTTGTTTCATATCATATAAGGTCAAGTAAATCAAACTTTTCATACGACGTAAATGGACGAAATTATAAATGATCCCTAAATGATTTTTCACACTTACGTGGTATAGTTCCTGTATGGAAGCAGTTTCTTCAGTCCCTTAATCTTTGGTTTCTCTTTTAAATCACCCATGTCGTCAACTAATGAGTTTCAGGTGACCAGATTTCCATCACAGTTATGGAATGCTGGAGACTAGTCTTCAACCTTCAGTGAAAAAAGTCATATGTAATGATAATTGGGAAACGACTTTATTACATGAAAAGTGGCACTTGGGAAAGCTAAGTCAATGAATATAAATATCTAGGCGTTATAATATCAAAGAGAGATGTCATGGCTTGATAGCATATACTTTGATCAGGCATAAGTCAAGTTCTGAAATCACTTCATCCCGCAGCAATTTTTTTTACCAAGCACTGGGATAAGTCACGTTACAAATGATTTTATCCCAGCGTTTTTGAAAGCAGAATTACGGGACAATGTGTTTGAAAAAGTGGCTATCCCGCGGCTCAAGTGCAACAAAGTGCTACTCCGGGATAAAGATGTTTCTAAATGTGACTATCCCGAGAGCCCTATAAAATTACGTGACAAAATATCTGTGTCTGAAAATGTGTGGGATCGGAACAATTAATCAGATCTTGTTATGCTTAACAGATCTTTAAAAGAATCATCCCACATTTAACACAGCGAAAAGAAAGCGAAGGTCATGAAACATTGAAAGCGTTGTCAAGAAATCTATGATGGAAACCTTTGTGCGACATCTTAGGAAAAAGACATCTAGAGTATTTTAGTTACCTCATTTACGATTTACCTCTCTCTTTCACGAAGTTTTAATATTATAATTACAATGGCATAAGGAAGATAAAGAAAAATTTCATGAGAACATGCTTAGTTTTAGCAATATTTTTTGCTGGGATACAATGTTTAATAAGAAAAATATGCACATCAGATCGAAGTCAAGGATGTAGTTCCCCACGGAGTTCTACTTCTATGTCTTCTATTTCTATTTAAATGAACTCAGTGATCTTTGTGCAAACAAGCATCGTACTTGTATCAAGTAGTGATAAAACTATAATGACCATACTTTGAGATAATGTTGAATTGGGTCATGCCTTTAATCCTAGTTTCGACAAAATTGACAAACAATTTTAAGTTAAAGTTTTAGACCAAGGACTGTATGCTTCTTATGAATCTATATATGTTTTAGATATTGTTACTAGTGTCTAGATAAATAAATAATAAATTATATTGTCAGTTTAATTACTTTCAATTGACATTACAATTCATCAGAAGATTTGATCACAACAAGGGAATTTTTACACAACTGAATAAATCAACAAACAAAAATGGGAGTGTGGCAAAATTTCACAATTTTGCATTATCTGGGGGTACTTATAGCAATACAAGATGATGTAGTATGCTAAACATCAAAATTTATGGTAACATAAAGCCCATTGTGATAAATAAGCGTATGGATTGGTTCAACTAAAATGAACTTCCCAACGAGTGAACATGTATCGTATAACACCATTTTTATGTGGCTCTATTTTAAGTCCCAAGTCAGCACATCATCTACATATCTATAATAATGTTCGCTCATCTCCTTTGAACATATAGGCAAACTGGCAAAGGGAAGTATCAATACAATATTGAAGTCAAGATGACCCTTTATATTGTGTTCACTATCACTTGTCTCCCAGCCTACTGGTTTTAACCTATATGATACAGAGAAGGTTATCAACGTTCTCTTCTCATCAAATCCCTGTTTCGAAACATCTTCACATACTGAGACTTAATCTAAGCCATGTGCTCATATGCATCGGTCACTGCCATAAACATCATTCACAGATCTACTTACACAGCATCGTTCAACATTCCTAGTTATATTTTATCTTAGAATTATAGATGATAGTATTACATATAATACATACCGTTCTATTGCATGTTTCCATACTTTCCTTTCGGGCCCCTGGCTAAATCAACTACATCCTCTTGTAATCCATGGAATACACTGTGGTAGAACAGTGTGAACAACTGGCTATATGTAAAATATCAGCTGATCGATGTTATTGTTATCAGGTTAACGCTTAGCGCTACAGTAAGAGCTCTGGATTACTATTTACACGTTCTAATCTCATTTACATACAAAACGTGTTCCCAATAGTTGAACTCTGTAATGAATATCTATATCAAATATCCTATGTATTCACACAGTTACTGTATATGTTTGATCCATCAAAGACCTTATCAACTGCCTAAGATAAAAAATAATTAAACCCCTTGAAACTAATATTTCATACATGTCATGTGATAGAGAATATTTATTCAAAACACCAACAGTACACTGAACAATGTTGAATGCAATGAATAATATTAGGAATGACTAATTTTTATTTTCATCATATCCATTCTCACGGGCACTAGACGGTCTAGACGCGTGTGCACTCGGCGACGCGAATCTGAAATGCTCAAGGCTGCCTTACCTTGGATTTCTCAAATTAATGGGGGTGTAGCGAGGCAAATCTTTTCTATCAACGTCGCAAATTGTTTTTGTCAACGGGGCAAAAAGCTTTACAAGGGGTGACCCTCAGGGGTGTGAATGTACTCAATAAATATTCTTTTCTGTAAATGAGGCAAATATCGTAGGCGAGGCAAACATTTCGGCCGTTTAATATATATTGCATAAGGCACACGTGAACAGCAAATATTATAGGCTACAGTGAATAAAGTGACTTCTATGTCATCTTAGTGTGAATTATCGATTGTCAAAAGTTACATGTAATCTCTAAAATTTAGTTTTAAATAAGTTCATGGTTTTTTAAACAAAAAGTCCTTCTAGAACCACTTTGAAATTAAAAAAGTTTCGTTCATCACATTTTATAACATTGGGTAAAACTACAATATAACTCAAAGGGGTTTAAATCTTATATGGGCATCTTATTCACGTGGTCTGTGTTACGCGGAATATGGCAGATATTCATGTTGCGCGATATTTATGATACGAGTGAATGTGCCATACTCACCTGGGGGTATACTGTATGGCAATATTCCGCAGGTGAATATGGAATATTCTGCAGTGTATATGCGTTACATCAATTACAGTGAAAACTTCACCTGCGGAATATGCCATATACCATATACTGCAGGTGAGTAAGGCATAAACCACAGGTTAAAACGTGATACAGAACGCCTCGATTTGATTGGTCGTGAGAATCGACTCTAAATGTAAAATTACGCTGCATTACGGCAATATTGTTAGCGCTTTGATTACTAATGAATCCTGGATTAATTGAGCAAGTTTGTTACGTGTGTGATTGCTGAGTGATACTTCTGAAAGTATCAGAAATATGTAAATGGTGATTGCCAATACAACAATTCATTAATACTTGTGATTTTATAGCTTTTGAGTTCGATATTTGTCGACTGTAGATTTGGTTAAAAAGTCACTCATAAGCTCTACGAACGTTACGTAAGTTTGTATATTTATGTGCAATGTTTCCCTGCTTGCAGTGTGTTTTTGAATGGTATAACAATGATAACAATGCACTGTCCTGATGATTCGTTAATTATTACAATATTTTATGAACTTTTACTCGTTATTGCGTACTTCCGTGTCACGTGCTCAATGGTTAGTGTGTATGTCATATACCGCGGGTGTATCTGTCATACGTACACCACAAGTGAATATGCCATATTCATTGCGAAATGTGACATATATTTGTGTAACAGGATGTTACTTTTGTCATAAAATGTTCAATAGGCAACTATTGCACAATTCAGAGTCAAATGAGAAAAGTAATATTGTAATCGTACTTCGGGTCAATTCTTGATTCACGTTGGTCACTGCTTTATAATTACAAATTATTCCAATCGAAGAGGTATCAAAGCTCAAGAGTAATGGGGTGTAGATATTGGGCAGGAAGTCAGACAAGAACTTGTTAAACTCACAAGAAAAACTGAAGGTTTGCAAATGTTTTCCAAAAGAAACAATGTGGTTAGTCTAAAAAATCTACAATTTGACTTCTTTTTTTTCATTGAAGAATATAATGTTATAAATGTTACAAAAATTCATGTTTTACTGCAATTATATTTAGTTCTTTGTTCTACACAACATACAATTGTTGAAAATATTATCCAACCAAATCAAATGTGGTACGTTGGTGTTGGGGGAATGATTCGGTCTGTGTAGAATGCACGTACTTCTTCATCCGTCCATGCAAACCGGCAAACAATCAGCTACAAAAATACGACAAAATACACTTGAATATTTTCCCTGTATATAATGGAATACACAAAGCTCTAATTGATAATGTGAGGAACGTTTAACTTCAGATTGCAATGCAATGCAAAGGTATACTCCATGTCTCTCGGTTTTTATTTATTTATTTTATTTTTTTTATTTTATTTATTTTTTTAAAATTTTATTCAATTTAACTTTTAACATATGAACAAATACATGAATAATACAGTTCAATTATGAAACAAATTGATCTAAAAATAGTATGAAATGTCTAGCGAAGAATGAAGCATGATTACAATTTGAATGTTCATATACATTAGCGAAAAATACAATGTTGCAAGCTATTTTTGACTTGAAGTTCAGATTTATAAAGATATCGGCCTTTTCCGAGAAAGCTATCCAGTTTGAATAAACAGTGTAAGCAACAATAGTCAATAATAAGTCTCTGAACATTGAGATCTTGTTTTCATGGATTTTTATATTGCCCAGTACAATGTCCTGCCATCTGATATTAAGTTTTAGTATTTTTTTTTTAGTATTCTCTCGGTTTTTATGATATGCGTTATGTTTATGACCATGGCGGTATTTAACAGTCCTAATTCAAGTCACAATACTAGTCAATGGGCAAATGGGCAAACGCCTGACTTTTTATCTCGAGTTATGGATGTTTGTGGCCCTAATGGCATATCTGAAGTTCAAAAGCAATGTTTAAGCTAAATTCTGACACAAAACTCAATAGGGGCCAAACATCTATTTTTTGATATAATTGGTCAATTGTGACACTAACCCCTCTGTCTGCCGATAGGAATTGAAATTCACAAAAATGAAGGCAAAATTAATACGCCCCTTGACTCAAACATTTTCTTCAGATAACCCAAATAAACGATTTTCAGAAGAAATACTACTGTAAAGATTCGAACCAATATCAGATTATTTCTTGTGAGTTCTGGAATTTTTAGTTGGGAAATAAGACCAAAATGTATGGGACAGAATATAGATGTTGCACTTTGGGAGCCAATCCTTTGTTTATGACGGATAATAATGTTTCAGAATGATTCAATGTCTGCACTTACGTCGTCCATTAGACCGGTGTACCTTCTGCCAACATAAAGAGGTCTTTCAGTTCCAAAAATAGGATCTACAATATCGAACAAAATCTGGTAATTGAAAAGTCTCATATGACGTAGGTTTTCCGAATGTCTCTTAAAAATGCAATCGCCTTGTAAACGGGGGGGGGGGGGGGGTCTTGGGTTCGATATCCACTGGGTTTGACTGACTTTTTTTACATCAGCCCTTCGCACAGGATTTCATTCTGTGTTTTCATTATCTGCACTGGTGATCCACTCGATTACGCTGGTTACCGAAACGGCTCGTTTCGGTAATAAAATGTCGGAACATCGAAGGTACGATCTCTTTTGTTCCTTATTTCATACGTCGTAGGCACAATTCCCGCGAGATTTTTATTTCGAAAAACAGTTAAGATCTAACCCATACCGTTCATGTAACTTAAGTGAGGCATTAATTCGACGATTCTGTTGTCTTCTGAGCTATTTTTTTCGCAAACATGTACATTTTCTTAAACATATGATACTGATACACGTTTGTGAGAAAAAATGTCGTGGGGATTCTGCCTACAATGTGTGAAATAAGGAAAAAAGAAAAACCGTACCTTCGACGTTCCGACATTTTGTTACCGAAACGAACCGTTTCGGTAACCAGCGTAATCGAGCAGATCACTAGTGAACTGATTAAAAAGTCATCATCCAAATCTGAACATGCGTGAAAATGGGCCTTTAAAACAAAAAATTAAATGGTTAATATGTACCTATTCCAGCATTTCCAGCACCAACCAGATCACCATTTACGTAGAGGTAAACCTTAAACCCTGTCATCTTCATAGCAAGATGTACCCACATTGGCATGGCAACCTCAGTCTCTTCATTCTGGCCCTGGTCTGAGTCACCTCGTTGACGTGCTCCTCGATTGATAATCTCTACTGACTAATAATCAAGAAATGTATCGTTGCTATTAAGGAAAGTTAAAAGTGCTAAGAAAAGTAGAGGTGATGATAGTTAATGAATGCAGCACAATGGTGCCGTTAATGAGAACTAAAATCATGAGCAAAACCAAATTTTGGAATTCAAACAACCTTGAACCTATCTATAACGAAGGAATGCTTTCGCATTGTATAAAAATGTGTTTTGAAGAATGATTTGAAGAACGATTTTAGTATCTTTTTCACATTTCTCGAATAAGCACATCATTTCAGAATCATTTCCATAGATTCTTCTATATTTATTTCTGTTATATTTCATATTTTGTTTCAAGGATATGGTGTACTTACATTATATGTTACACAGCTACCCCCGGGTACACAAGCTTTACCCCTTAATGGAAAGCCAAGAGCCCTGGCACCCTTATAGACATTATCTGGTATGTATTCATCGTCACTTTGACGCTTTCCCCTCGAATTTCCGTTTTCGTCCTCGTCTAAATCGAGAGTGAAGAAAAGTGTTGACCTCTGTACATTAGCCTCACCATTGTCCCAGAGGTTTCCTGAGACATACCTCGTATAGAACCATGCCATGATGGTTACATCATATCCAAGGAGAACATTCGAAAAATATGGAACCGCAGCTGGTGTCTGAAGTCAATCAAAATGGTATTTTGGCTAAATTTACCACATTTATTTCCGATAATAAAAAGTATAAGATAATGGATTTGTTATTACCAATCCAATGATATATGATATGAAGACATGATTTATTACCAGATAATTTGACAATTATATGGTACATATTTTCCGGACCCAATGATATTAAAGGTATGTAGTAGACTTCTTAAACATATACAAACTTGTACTTTTTCCTAAAGGTCCAGAGGCTGTCCAATCAAAAAATACATTGCGTCTAAAAGTATTGACGAAGGTTGTTACCTCATTTATGAATCGCCCCGCTAGAAGCAATGGGCCAATACTAACTTCCCTTTGGAAATCTGCTATAGGAGGATCAATCTGATTGAATTCAACGCTTCCAGGAAACATCCACGTCGCTTGAAGATTATCCTTGTAGTTTCCATCAAAGTTAAAATGAACACAATCGCCGCGCCATACTTAAAAAATAATATTTATAAATAGGTGTGACTGCACTACCATTTTTAGATAGAACCTCAGTCGACAGTCATCAAGTGATCGGAATAGCTAAGTGAAAAATCTGCACATCCACATTCAGAAGAACCTGGACATCCACAATCATTTGGGTGTGAGCTCATATTATGTAACATTACATCATTTCTATTTGTGATTGTACAGGTACGTTACCACACAACTATAACAGTCATAAGGGTAATCAAAGTATGTTGCGTAGTAAGAATCGTTCATCAACCCCTTGTGACTAAATGAATAACTTGATAAACACTACTGGAGAGAACGAATGGGACGGAGTCAAGCAGTACTAGATCTGGAATTCTAAACTGTTCAATTAATACTTACTCGGTATGTCCCCTTGACACTCACAGTTTTCGATATCAAATACTTGTTCATGTGGACACTCGATTAAATCTGCAGCTTTGTGATCAGTTGATATCCGAAATGATTTCAATGTGACATCGGGTATGTAGATCAAACCATTTTTGCAGCATTCTGATATAAAAAGTAAGCATAATATTAAATATTTTACACAAGACAAAATCGTGTTTAATAACTAGCAATACCAATGTTACCACCATCTTACCCGGTCCTTAGTACTCGCAATCCTTGATTATTGATACACTTATTTGGAAGGTTATTTGAGCTTACCCGTTGGTATTGATACACTTATCTGTGTTTTTTAGGCCCGAATACTGAGGTTTATTTTTTTAATTATTGAGTCTTATTCTATTGCATTAATATGTAGTTGACTTTGTAACTACGGACGTGATATGATAGGTCTATTACATGATATGTATATATAAATATCGTGATGATTAATGAATCTAGATGAAAACTAATCATTAAAACAAACTTAGACGACATTTAATATTTAAAGAAAAATAATTTGATAGATAACTTATGCATGTATAAGTCTCTTAGTAAAAAATTAAGGGAAACGGGTTTCGTGATTTAACAGAGGACAGCAAGGTATCAATGTTGTTGTCTACGATCCCGGGTTCACGCTATTTATTTACAGTTTGTAGATTAAAGATCCTTATTTAAAGACAACGTCGTCTTTATGAATTATTAAGACATCGGTAGTCACAGAAATTGATTATCCGAAGAGGATACCGAGTTTTGACCAGCAGACGAACAATTGCAGACATGGGCTAAGTTTGTTTATTTAACAGTTAGATTTGTTGACTTACTGATCCGTATTGTAATCTCTGGGAAGACGTTATTTTTATTTATTCTATACTTTGTATTTGCGTCCAATGTAATAAAGTTGATACTTTTATGAACAAGAATTTCATTTTAATGGCCATTTGTATGCCTTTTATTTCCACACCATGATTTTGCCTCGATGTTATTGTGTCATAGTGTTTTTGCTATAAAATTCAAGAAATGTCAACTTTTAATTAAGGAATGTTGGTTACTCTCTTGTGGTAAATCAAATTGTTGACGATGTCAACGGATCATGAGATAACACATTGTCCGGGGAAAGATATCAATATCAGTTGTATATCGGATAGAAAAATAAATATTATAGTAGATGCTAATTGTTTGCTCTGAGATAATGTGACTAATGACTATTCCAGCGAATCAGGTAGATATTTCAACGGTTTTCGCGTAATGAAAGAATTTAGTTTTCGACTCTATTAATTTGACAACTGCAACACTATGGTATTTAATCTACTTACGACTTGCAGGTAGATCCTCTGCGGGTGGACACGATGGAGGCTCTATTGTTTCTAAAAAGAGAAAAACACAAATAATCCATAATTATATACAAGTGTTGCATTATAATATAATGTGACACAAAATAACTTACCGTATGGTTACTAATTTTTACTATGACTAAACCATCCTTTGATACATTCTACCCTATAATTTTCTTTATATCTTATATGTTCATATTGTGAGTGTATCAACAATGAAGAAATCGTACTTTTCTATTCAAAATAGTCCAACTATAATCCAACTTATTTCCCGATATTACTTTTCAGGCCCTGATTTTACCATAACATTCCGATGGAGTGTTCCTGCAGCTTCTAACATTTCGTCTGAAGTCACAGGAAAATCCTTCTGCATTCCACACCATAGGCTCTTCACAGGCTCTGACGTAAACATGGGTGGCGTTCACCGTACTCACGTCACATTGGAGGTAATGGCAACAGTCGTAGCCAACATAGTTAAGCGTATTTGTCTCAAAATATCCGTTCTCACAATTGACTGAAAATAAATTGTTTTTTATACCTCATACGCTATTTTGGAAATATTTCATTTCATTTATAAAAAAGTGTTTATTTTAAATGAGAAAAAACAAATTATGCACTTTTTTTAATCACTCAGTATACAGGATGAGCATTAGACAGGGGGATAAGAGGTTAGTTGATGATTGCTGACGATTTGTCTCTTTATGCTTGTACTCTTGATGTTTTTATTCTTTTTACATATTTTGAATATCGTTTGTTTATTACCATAAAAATAGAACATGTGCTTGCATACTTATGTCTCTGTACATACGTATCACTTGCAGATATCAACGCTTTTTAATAGCATTGTTCTATATTAAGTAAACCTTCACATAAGGAAACATTAGAAATGTCATCCGCAATGTGCTTTGTAGAAGATTAAGCCTGTGGCACTTTGAGTGTTAATGTACCTCCTCTTTTTATACCATTTGATATAACTTACTTTTTTCGCTATCCTCTAACAGGCGATAATATAATCCTTTTTTCTCATCAAATTTAAACCCATGGTCCAAAGCATTTTCCTGTGTGTTAACGACTACCAGTAAAGATAATACACATAGACATATCATCTTTGTAACCTCTGAAATGAGCCATCCATTGTTTAATATATGCGATTTTATTGCATAATATGAAACTTAAGATGATTCACATGATATAAAGAGGACCTGAATATACGATAATCCAAATTTCAACGATTAACCAAGTACGTGCTTATATTCAGCTGTATGGTACACATACCTTGTATTCAGAATAGGTTCGATGGCGTCAGTGTCATGACACAGTATAATGTAACCCAATACTTTTGTTCGTGGTGACATGAATGGACCATAACTCTTCCAATATGTCCGATGCGATGTTACTTAATCACTCAAATTCTACATGTAACATCATTTGAAATACGCAATGTAATGGGGATAATCAGTTATACAGTTTTACAGTTTTATTTGGATGTTAAACGAATTGGTATATATTTCACAAGAACATAAACATTACAAAACATGGGTAAGTATTTATCTTTCACTTAATGTACAATTTTATTTCAATCGTTTTCAGACAGCAGTGTTCCAGTTATTGTCAATGCAAATTGGTTATATTTGAGAAGTCTTCTAAAGGTGATACGTTGGCGTTGGAGGAATAATTCTGTTTTGGTAAAATTCAAGGACCTCGTCATCTGTCCAAGCAAACCGACACACGATCAACTGTAAAACATAGGAATATATCATTTATATTTTTAGCGCTACTCTCATAAAGCTTTGAAAAACAAAAAACTAATATCATCAGACAGTCGCTTCACTAACGAAATTATTCGTTGTTTTGGTGTCAATGCATCGATGCATTTTTGAAAACTTTTCAAACAACATAAAAACTGAAAATGATGAAATTTTAAATATAGTTATATAACTAGTTTTCCAACCTAGGTTAACTAATAAAGTTTATTAGACTTATAGAGGGACGTCTATGATATATACCCTTCTTTGACATATTTAGTATTCGATCTATTGTAAATAAATGTACCTGGTACCTTGTAGTACCTTGTAAAAGGATGTTGCATTGTACGTACATTTTTGAGATGATGACAAAAATAGCAAATTATAATCTAAGAAACTCACATCATCCATAAGCCCAGTGTATCGTCGGCCAACATAAAGGGGTCTCTCGGTCCCGTAAATAGGATCTACGATGAATTAATCAATAATGTACTATTACAAAGGAAGATAGGTTAAATACGTGTTGTGTTGATTATACAGAAATTGCGACGAATATTGCTTGGAACTAGAACATCAAGTGTACTAATGTTCATCATTTTACCACTAGACAAAATAATTAATCTTTGGTCTTTTTATTAGTTTTAATTGTATTTTAAACGTTACCTATTCCCGCGTCTCCTGAACCCACTAATGCTCCATTTACATAGAGGTACACCTTAAAACCCGTCATCTTCATGGCAAGGTGCACCCACATTGGTTGGGATTCAGGCTCATCACTTTGTCCATTTTGACCTCTCTGTCGATCCCCAATTTCAATAACTTTGGCTGACTAAAACAAAACAAATAGTGTTTCAATTGTTCTAGTTCCTAGGTAGATTTCGCGGCTCTTGTCATTTATCGTGAAAATCTGAAAACATTCATGCACTATTTACGAGAGGCACTCCTTTTTATTTTGTAGAATTGACACATTTCTACATCGTATATTGTAATAGGTTATACTCATTCTGAGACAGTTATAAACGCCCAGAAGAAGACTTTATAATATCGCTCACTGACCATACTTTCTTTCACACGTGATGGATACTATTTTATATTTTATTTATTTATTTATTTATTACAGTGTCACCCGTAATTATACGGCCAGCCTCCAAAGGCTTATGAGACACAATTACAATCATATTATAAGCAGATAAGTCAGAATTAACACTTACTTTAATCTATTTTTAGCCTCCAAAGACAAAAGCAAAAAATTTGAAACATATTTACAGAGTGATTTAGAATTCAATAAGTACATTGTTTTCTTTTCATTATCACAAGACTCAAATAGATCATATATACCTTTTACTTTACAAAACATTTCCTCTCTTAATTTATGATTAACTTTACACTATAAAGAAATGCTATATACAGGGTGATCACTAAGTTCTGGGAATTTATCTGTCATTTCATTATTTTTCAACCAATTTACTTGACATTTTCAAGGTAAATGGGGAATGTAATTTGGGTTTGGATTAAACAGTCTCACTGTCATCTGATGTCACAATGGACAATTATTGTTACTATAGCAACATGACAAATGGTGTAGCGGGTCAAGTAAAATAAAAATGAATTCAAATTTTGCTTGATCCAAAGGTATGGTTAATAAATACCTATTTGGTGGACATATTTCTGTGATTTTCTATATTTTCAAATACTTCTAACTTTAGTTTCTAAAGCAACATCTGTATTGTTATATAAGAGTGTACTTTGCTCTATTTTCGTATCTTTCATCAGCATCTCAAAGTCACAATCATGACTAAAAATAGCGGGGAGTTATCTTCCATTATGTCTATGCTCCTTCCCATTACTGGAGCTGCCCATACTACTCTTGAAGAATTAGGGTCCACACAAGTTATTACTGCCCCATATTCACCAGACAATATTCACCAGATGAAGCACCACTAGGCTACACTACATTTTAGGTGCTAAAGCATTATATGAGAGGTCATAAGTTTGATTCCGATAAGGGACTGATTTCAACGACTTGAGCAAAACTTCAAGGGATACCAAAGGGAGGACTGGAACACATCTTTATGGACTAAGTTTGTCAACAACGCATGTGCGTCCAGGCTAATGGAAACAATCATAAATGAAATGATCCTCTCAGCAATGAAGAATACTTGTAAATAAATGACTTCAAGAGTACTGTTCTGTCTCTAGTACAAGTAGTTTGAAGCAACCATCTAGGCAAGATGAATATGCTTTGGCAGGAAATTCTCAAATTAACATCAGTCAAAATATCCTGACCCGCGAACAACTTTTACTTTTTTTGTAATTGCAATAAAATAAATTGTACATGTGATATGTATATGAAACATTGCTTGTCAATTCAGAATTATACAATGTACACCTGCTAAAAATTTCAACTCAAATGGTTGAGAAATCTTGAAATGGCAGACCAATTCCCAGAACTTAATGATCACCCTGTATGTCATGTATTCACAGGCTGGTATCGAAAAATTTGTCCACTGTGACGGAGCATGCTATTTTTCATAAAAACACTAAGAGTACTTCAGAGTTTCTTTTTTAACTCATATGTTTCGTTATATCAAAGAAGATCACTTACTCCATGCAATGGATATATCATTTGAGGGTAACCTTCGCTTCTGTTTGAAGTCCAATGACGCTACGAGTAAAATGTAAACGGCGCCAGAGTATCACACTCTAAAATGTACCATTTCTTTTTAAACTTAGCTTTTCTTCCTACAGCTATGGGACTTCAACAGAAGTGAAAGTTACCCGCAAATGATGTATCCATTGCATGGAGTAAGTGATTTTCTTTGGTATAACGAAACTTATGAGTTAAATAGAAATTGTGTTTTCTTAGTGTTTTTATGAAAAATAACATGCTCCGTCACAGGGGACAAATCTTTCGATACAAGCCTGTGGTATTAGTTCGATGTAAAGCTTACATCATATGAAGCACAACCACCGAAAGCACACGCCTTCCCCCTAAGTCGGTATCTAAGCGCCTTCGAAACCCTATAGGCTTCGTCTGATACTTCAACTTCATTATCAGCTTGGCGTTTTCTTTTACGATCCTCATCTAAATCGAGCGTGAAGAAAAGTGTTGACCCCTCTCCTCTCACAGTACTGTCTCCATTGTCCCATAGGTTTCCTGATACATACCTCGTATAGAACCATGCCATAATCGTAACATCATATCCAAGTAGTACTTTAGAGAAGTATGGAATTGCGGCTGGTGTCTATGAATAAATGATTGATGACAATAATATATATAGCGTTTTTTGTAAACTCAAACTTTCCAGATTTACGATACACTTTTATCTGATCCTTTTTAGAAGTCATACTACAGGGTAGGGCAAAAACGTCCACATTTTTTTTATTTCGATATAACTTTTTTTCAATGGACGGATTTCCATGAAAATTTGGCAGTATGCAGAGATCAATTTCACAATTTTCCTAAAGTGTGATTTGTAAATCTTGTGTGGTTTTGAAATTATGAAGATAAACAGACACCAGGGGTCTCGTATATGTTGAAAATTACAGAAATCAGGGTGAAATTCAAATTTACTCTAATGGTGCAATTATGTTACTGTACCTACCTCGTTTACAAATCTTCCAGCGAGAACGAGTGGACCCAAACTCTCGTCCCTTTGGAAATCAGCGATTGGAGGATCGATCGGATTGAATTCTACACTTCCAGGAAACATCCATGTTGCCTGAAGATTATCCTTGTAGTTCCCATCAAAGTTGAAATAAACGCAATCGCCGCGCCATACTATTAAAAAACACCAGAAACGTAAATAAGGAAGCATATTTTGAATATCACAGCGCTACGTTGGGACTATGACCAATAACACTAGATCTAACTCATTCATTTAGTAAATGAATTTCGTTGATTAATGCTAAAACGACTGTTACTAACCCATTCCGGTAATATTTTCCGAAATACGTACATGGTACATCCCCAGTACACGCACACTCTTCGAGGTCAAACGTCTGTTCAAATGGACATTCTATTGGCTCCGCTGACTTCGCATCTCTTGATAATCGAAAAGATTTTAATGTTTCATCCGGAATGTAAAATACTCCATCCCTGCAACATTCTAATTTAAAAAACAGACAAGGCATCAACATGGCAAGATGTCACCACCTAGTTACTCATAGTATTATGAGTTCAATCTTAAGTCAGATTTCAACCTCTGAGAACTTGTAGATGATTTTGAAAAAATGGTCAATTTGAGGTTAAAGCAAGCCGAAAAAGACCTCTTTGCATCTGTTGATAATCGGAAAGATTTTAATGTTTCGTCCGTTATGTAAAATACGCCATCTCTGCAACATTTTAATTAAAAAATAACAACAGAAAGTCGACATTATAATGAAAGAGAGAATCAGATCTAGCGAGCAGCCTAACAAAAATTGTTTCAATTTTCGTGTATTTCAGGCTTTTTTTTTTTTCATGTATATTTTCCCAAAAGTGCACACTTTATTTCAGGAAAACTAAAGATTTTTACAATAATGCATTATTTTTCTATTAGAATGGTTACCATTCTTATTATTTGGAAGAATCTAAACATTTTCATCCATTTTTTTGCACTTTGAATCCATCATAAGTTCACCAATGTACACTATATCATGAATATTTTGGGAGATATTGTATTTGAGATTGTAAGGAACAGATTGGTAATGTTGCTAGTAATTTTGTCAGCCACATAGATCTGATTCTGCCTTTAACAAAACGATTTTGATTTCAATTCAAGGTTTAGTAGAATACAAATTCATTGATGTGACTTAAAACAGTACACATCAATATTACTATTTATAGAACGTGGGTAGGAAGATTTGCATGATAATATAAAAAGGTGATATTGAAACATTATATCGCCGAATCATCTAGTATTCATTTGCATATTTTCAGAGTATTTGCAGTCATGCCCAAAATGCACAATTTTACTTACCACTCGGAGGTAGTTCGTCGACAGCGGGGCAACTTGGAGGAGGTTCTACGATCTCTAAAATTTATGTTCTGATTATTAGTATTTTCAAATAGTAGTAAAATAATAGTAAAATTCATAAATACAAAAAGTGCACATTTCTCTCTCGAGTATTATTCTTTGTGCCACTTTAAACATATCCTTGGATAATTTAAACTGCATAATTGGTCAATTATTTGATCACTTATCTAAATGAATAACGACTGTTTGTCTATAAAAAGAATAACAAAATCGCTGTTTACCGAATTACACTTAATGTACGAAAATACATTGAGAATAATCACCATAGCATTCAGATGGGGTATTCCTACAACTTCGTACATGCCGTCTGAAGTCACATGAACATTTATCGATATTCCATACCATTGGTTCTTCACAAGCTCTAACATACACATGGGTAGCGTTCACTGTGTTAACGTCACATTGAAGGTAATGACAGCAGTCATAATTGACGTAGTTCGAAGTACTCGTTTCAAAGTAACCACTGGTGCACCTATCTTAAATATAAACAATAGTTGTGTCTAGCGAGATTCGGAGAGAAAGGGTTGTGTTTATCCTCCTGGACATAATGATGATACACATTGTTTGAAAATAAGCTAAATACAGAAACAATCAAAGAACAAAATTATCAAGGATCAAGTGAGTCACAAATAACCGTTTATGGTTGTATACTTTTATTAATATTCAATTTACAATAAGTGGCGTGTTGTCAAATACATTATTAGCCATATGGAAAATGTCGTCATTACCCTGAAGATGATCCGGGATATAATGACTTACTAACTTGATTGCCTTTGGTCCCCAACTCAATATAGGTCCTGATAAGTATTATACTCAATTTTCAACATGCATCGCCTCTAATCTGCGTATTTATAATGATGAATGTTTATTGAAGAAAATGTAAACAATTTGTCTATTCTTACACTGATAAACATCATGGATGTATTTGAGAATCGAAACAACACCATACCATCTTAAAAACATTCAAAATACTTTCAGACGACAATTGTCCATACGTAATGATTGATAGTCTTACCACATCAACTAACCATTATGAGAAAAGCGCAAAGGTAAGCACAAAACTACATCAAACCAAAATCAACAATCAAACTTGCTGTAACAACGTATTAGCAATCAAATTTCAGGTTATACCAATCTGCTGTATTGCATGTAAAATACATACCCTTCTCTGCATCCTCTAACATGCGATAGTATAGACCTGTTTTTGTATCATATTCAAATCCATTGTCCAATGCATTTTCCTGGGCATAGGCGATTGCCACAATCAGCATGCAAATAAATAACATTTTATCTGTTTTCTTGAACTGTAATCTACAAATACAATCAAGGTATAGTATATATTTACGCCAATAGTCATTATACATGTTTTCCTTTTTAATTGTACCAAAAAGAATTACTGAAACTCTGTTTTAAAATAATGAAAATTTGATACATACCTTATGGAATATTAATCCGTTTTTGAATGATTATCTACGTTTGATTATTAAGATGACTCATTATTCATAAGATTTGTGTCATTTGTATAACTGGAAGAGTGCGAATAATTCTTAACAAAGCGTCTTAAATCATCAAACAGTCCCCTGAGGAAATAAAACGCTATAAAGATGCTTGCTTGCACTATTACTACTTTGTACACAATAGCGATTTACTCACTGCATTATAATCAGGTCAATGAACATTTCTCAAGTGAATATTTGTTGCCATTTATTATTTTCTTAAATGTCTTCCATGAACCTCTCCATTCTCATTCTCTGTTTTCGTTGCACACAAGTCAAAACAGTAAAATACCCAACTTTTAACATGGGAGAGTGAAAATGGTTCCTGTATAATTGGGATGTAGAACGAAAGAAACTGTCCAATTACATTCTCTGTTTTCGTTTCACACAAGTCCATACAGTAAAGTACCAAACTTTTAACATGGGAGAGTGAAAATGGTTCCTGTATAATTTGGGATGTTGAATGAAAGAAACTCATTACATTCTCTGTTTTTGTTGCTCATAAGTCCATACAGTAAAGTACCAAACTTTTAACATGTGGAAGTGAAAATGGTTCCTGTATAATTGGGATGTTGAACGAAAGAAACTGTCCTCTTACATTCTCTTTTTTCGTTGCTCATAAGTCGATACAGTAGAGTACCCAACTTTTAACAAGTGAGAGTGAAAATGGTTCCTGTATAGTTGGGATGTTGAACGAAAAAAACTTTCCCCTTACATTCTCTGTTTTCGTTCAACACAAGTCCATACAGTAAAGTACCCAACTTTTAACAAGTGAGAGTGAAAATGGTTCCTGTATAGTTGGGATGTTGAACGAAAAGAAACTGTCCCCGTACATTCTCTGTTTTCGTTCAACACAAGTCCATACAGTAAAGTAACCAACTTTTAACAAGTGAGAGTGAAAATGGTTCCTCGTATAATTAGGAATGTTGAACGTAGGAAACTGTTCACATAGATATACAGTCTCTGTTGTCATTGCTGACAAGTAAAGCAGATAGCAGTGTGTAGCTGCTTGGTATAAGGTATCATTTGAGTAGAATGCAAGTTGGTCAAGCCAAATCAAGTATTCGTTGCCTCGGTTAATCGAAGACCAAACCATCTGTGTACCTTCTACAGTCGCTGGACAAAGGGTCTGAAAGTTGAAACTTCAGCTGGAATGACATGAATAAAACTTCATTCATTATCACGGATGGTGGTGACCCTAAAAATGACATCACCATCAACAGGCAAACCTACAAATAATCGCCTATCCATCTCTCCCCAGTAACCATGGCAGAGAATCAAATGATTCTAGATATACATGTAGTTCATTCATACCACATGGAAAAGCGGTAAACAAGCTTTTCTTTGAGTTACGTGGTAGACATTTCAGATGGTTATGATTATTAAATCGTCAGCTGATGGCTAATACTCCTTCCTCATTAAATGATGAAAAAATGTGAATTTATTCCATGTTTATTGTCTCGGTTAAGGTCACTTACACACGAGTTTAAGGTTAGAGGCTTTTTAGCATCTTACAGCATCTGTTTGCCCGCATATACTCTATAATACACCATCAATAACGTCATTCGCAAAAACTACACTTCTGTCAAATGCGTAAGGATTCGATTTATCTTGGTCACAGAGACCGATTAATGCACACTGTCTGATTCCTTAGGGGTCAACTGTATTGTTTATGTTTCCGTTGCCACTACTACAATATGGTCTCCTTTGAGTCTAGAACAACTGAACAGAAATCGACATTTTATTAAAGCTATTTGAATAGCTATAAATAATTCAGATTATCCAACCAGGAAGCAATCTAATCCCGTAAGAAGGAATTGCACTCTACATGGAAAACCATCGTAAGAAAAATTGCATGCGCACCCTTGTCATTTCCGCCATTCTCTCTCGCCTACTCACACTTACATATGATTTATGACATATTCTTATAGACTCTGAAGACTTAATCTTATAAAATATTGTTACTCTCAGAGGAACACGACGACGCTGTTAATCATGTAATTACATCTTAATTCAACTGATTTACATTATTACCTATCTGTGACTTTCCAAGGTTGGAAATATTGAGAGGTGATAAATGATTTTTATACAGGGTGTTCAGGAATTAAAGGTGATAACTTTTTTATTTGTTCATAGATTTAAATGTACATAGATTATAGTTAAAATATATTTATTTACTTTTGGAGTTCAGCTTTAAGCAATCCAATTGGTCAATTCTATGGTTGGCATATCAACTTCATTACTTTTTCACCCAAAGCTAAGCATGATGTATCACATTCCAGCCAATGCCAATCAAAACACAGTATATAATACGCATTTTATACATATTCAATTCAACCTAGAATGGTTATTGCTAAATTCAGTGAAACTGATGACACTCTTCAAAATAATGATTTCAGGGTGACAGTTGAGGGAGAACTATAAATAGAACCATAATGAATATCAACCTGTATGGTTAATATGCTGCATTGCAGGTTAAATAACAAACCTTGCAAACTCTTTGGCAAATGTTTCTCCTTGAATTTCCTTTTTAGTGAAACTGTAAAAAACTATGAAATGATTTATGACCCGAGCTGTCACGGGCATCGGTCGTGGGGGCGGGGCTGCTAAACTGCAATATAGTCTATACTAGTCAGAGGGTAGTTTATTACCAGACTCTGCGCGCAGGGTTAAGCTACGCCAATTTATCTATGTGATTTTTCTGAGAATTTTTGGCGAGGCCATTGATTCGCATGCCTCTTGCCTGGCTACGACCATGTAAAATATACAGAATGAACTTTGACAATACAAAATCCAATATATAATAAATAATTTCTTAAAAATAATAGCGTCAAATTCTTATACAATGGTTATGTATTTGAGTTTCATAATTCATCAATTATACAAGAACCACTGTTAAATTCAAAGACGTTGAGATGGCCACACATTGCAATGTGGTTTGCACCATTGGAAGATCCGCTATTCATGCTAGCACTACCAGTACACGTCCTTTGATATATGTCATTCTCCCATCCAACACCTCCAGTTACGTAACTCTTGAATTCAAATATCCCATTTTCTGTTCTGGCACAATCCATATCCATTTCAACCATCCAATAGTGTTCACCAAATCTGTTAAATAAACGATAAGTGAAGAAGGGACACAAAAATGAACAAAGTGCTTTTTTATCAACAGACTTATATAGGAAAAAGTTCTTTAATCAGCATCTGACTTGATTTTGATATTACATTTGATATTACTGATACGTTTTTCAGATACGTACCTGTTCAATGGATTATACCCCGATGAGGCTTGTGAATCTGATGTCCATGCTGCTGGAGTACCCTCCGCTTGTATGCCATTAAATGTGCCTTGATCAGTCTCTCGACCATACCAGTCCAAGTGCTCGTCACCAACTCTCCATGCATTGTACTTATCATAATGAGACGTCGCACCGATAGATTTTACTGAGATGGGAATTGCACAGGCGCTTGTTTTGGCGTCATCTGTACAACCTGGAATTAAGTTTATTTGCCACTTTAGGTATGGCAGCTACCCCGAATATGCTATTTGATTCGTGTTTGTTGTTCTTTATTTTCAATTTGACATTGTTACTCAAGAAAAAAATTGAGTGACCCAGAGTATAATCATCATAACGTACCCTGTCGTTGACCATGGTTCAAACCACCCCTTATGAACAAATCCTGACCAGGGTTTGTGTACTTCTTAATAAAGATTACTGTTCTTCGGAAATCAGAAGCTCCTGGTTGACTTGTTGGTCCTGATGTTGATACAGGCCCATCTGTGTTCTTTGTGGTGACCTCACCTGGACCATTAGTTGGAGGAACGACAACAGAACCACCCCCAGACACGGCCTCTATCAAGACAATTCATGATCAAAAAATGTTTTGAGCAAAACACGATATATTATTTATCTTTACTTTTTTTTATAGTATCTCACTAAACTGGCTTGATTATTAAATTCAATACTCCAAAGATCATTCATTCAACCAGTAAGACTAGAATATGTATATTAGCTTACCTATATGAATTGCAAATACAGGGTTGTCTCCATCTGTAATTTTGACTTGGGCATAACCATCTCCTCCAACAGACACACTTTGACCAGAACATCCATCATTTGTAGCTTGGCCGGAAATGACATCACAGTAAGTCCCTGCAGGCATCCCAGTGAAAAGTCTGCTCTCCATTTGGCTACCATCCGTCATGGCAAAAAATCCCTTGTTTCCCCTGGAGAAAGCAATTTTGTTACCCTCACTCCACCAGTTGACCACATTGGTCCCTGAAACGGCTTTTCTGAAACCAGACATACCGGCCATAACACGCCATCTATGTTCACATACCCACCCATCTTCGCATCCCTCACCGTTAGCAGAGATTCTCACACTTTTTGTTTGGTAGTCAGATTCGTGTGGAGGACCATCTTTGTCAGTTACGAACTCGTAGCTACTCATAATACGGGGGAATCCGTAAGTGTAGGCAAGTGTGAACGCTACTCCCATTTTGTATGGTTTGGGTTCTTTATGTGAAAGAACATTTCCACTTGCACCGTGTCCACGCTGGTTATCATGGTTATCAACGAATACAAATGCATCCTCTGGGTCCATCATCCCCCAACCAGGGTCGTACACACTCCTCAAATTGCCGATATTACCAATTTGTTCCCTGATTTTGACACAGTAACGGAACTCTGTGACCATACCGAGATGTTTGTATTGCTTACCTGTAATAGGCTCATTGCTCATGTCAATGACTTCTAGAGCCATGAATGGCCTTGCATTGGAAGCGAAATATTCAGTATTCAGGTTATTGGCACGGTTAAAGATGTTTTCCAGATCTTCTGGCCACATATGTTTTGCAGCGTCAACACGAAACCCAGCTACGCCTATTTCAATGACATCATTCATGAAGCCAACGATCTTATCAGCAGTATCCGACAATGATTGGTCGAGATCTCCAAGGCCGAGTAAATTGCAGTTCCTTACTTGTTGGGCATCGCCATAGTTGACTATATTACCATTACTCGTGCCACATTTCTCTTTTGAGTTGAAGTTTCCATCCGAGAAAGGAACACCTGAAACATAATATAGTACTTCAAAAATTCTATGCTGAATGGATAGATGCAAATATTACGTACATTTGGCGTGTACGTTAACCGTGTTAAGTTTTAAATGTACATACGGTGTACTTTTTAGAAAGAATATTCCGAAAAGTCCGAAATGCAAAACTAAAGGTAACCTGGGAAATCATTTGCGTCAGAGTTGAATGAGGTGCCACCTGAACCAGTTCCACTTCTCCCCTTCCCAGCCATGTGGTTAACCACTAAGTCTACATAAATCCTATAAAGAAAAGAAGTCGTGATTATATGATAATTGTTCTCCTCTTTCGTGAAAAGAAAAAAGACTTTGGAAACAAAAACGAGATGATGATTTAACATGGAGTGAAAATAGCTGATCATGATTATGCAAATAAAAGAGTAGCTTTGTTCACAGTTATACGTATTAGATAATATTGCGATTAATACTAATACTGCGACTGCGAAATTATAATCATGGATTTTTGGTTTCTGTTTTACAGAAGGCCAAAACATAGACAACCATTGAGTAACAGAGAAATATTTTATGGACACGCCTAAATAATAAAATTTATATACAGATGGGATGAAAGTGTGCGTTCCATAAAGGTTGTACCTGACATTTGCCTTGTTGCAACGCTTTACCATATCAATGAACTGTTCTCTGTTTCCACTTCTACTCTCGAGTTTGTAGCTGACGGGTTGGTAGCGTTCCCACCATGGACGCATTGCATCTGTCGTCACGAGGACATGCTCATTTGGGGGCGACACCTGTGTTAATGAAAACAATATATATTTCCAATTTCGAGTGTTTCTTTACCATTAAACAGTCACTTATGATTCCGGATTGCACTTAACCATTGATTTACCAGATTCTAATATACTTCGACACTCTAATTAATGAAAAATGTTTTTCACAAATAGTTGTTTGGAACAGTACGCGCAATATTTTTGCAATTAACAACATGTTTAACCAGGAATTATTCTATCAGAACCCTGGAGCTGTTTCTAAAAAATTCCGTTAAACACCATGTACAGTACTTCAGATTTGGTAAAGTTTGGTATAATTAATTTCTCAATTGATATTGCAAAACAAGTGAAATGTATTGTTTTTGTATGAAAAACGGAAGACTTTCACTAAATCAATAAACCAACAATAACGTAAACATTGTTAATTTCTTGTTTAAAAATATGACATGAACATAATAAAAAAGACTTGGTGAGTTGCATGGCCTCTTTAAAATTGAAATTTGCAAAGAACACCGTGTCAGTCAGTAGACCAAGATCACCGTTTTAGCCAAATTAAGATGTGGATTTCTTATGTTTGATATAAAAATGGACATATTACAAATGCTGTCTCTTTTGATAATTACCCAAATATGTTTTTGAAACAAGCTACAGTAATTTTAGAGAATTGAGAAAAATCCTTTGTCAAACCATCAACTGACCTGCACTCCACAATAACCTCGTGGACCAAGGAAATCTTCACATTCTCTGGCTATGTCAGTCCATTTCCACTCAAATAAATGAACGATCACTTCTCTATTTTCAGCGCAGTTTGAGTTGTGGAATGGGCTGCCGGCAATAGCGGTTCCTGGAAGTCGCCCATTAAACGATGTTTTTGATAGTTCGGTAATGGAGGTGGAAAGGTGATAATCAATTACGAATTAAGTGGAACACAAAAAGATCTGTCGATGCCATATGTTTTGCGAAAACAATACGATACAATGAATTCTTATTTCAAATATCAGAATATAGAGGGAAACAACTATGCATAGGCCTATAAATACATGTCGATCTATCTTCAAGAGTGAATCCGTGCATAGCGAGACTTACCGATAATAAAGCAAAGTGCTGCAAGAATAAACGGAACTGTCGCCATGTCGGTGTGTTCTAATTTGATAATTTGATGTGATACGATAATTTGAAGCTGCTGACGTTAAATAACAAGGGTTTGATAAGATTGAGAAGGGCAATTTGATAATACTGAGAAGAGATAAGATAGATAGCGTGTACACACCCCTTCACGTAAGCTTGACAACCGGGTGTACCCTTTGAGTAGTGTGGTACAGTCTGCCTATAGTTTAGGACTGTTCGTTGTTCTTCAATTCAAACGCGTGGTCCGAAAGCAGACCAACAGTTTCCTAACGTTTGTAGAAAAGTGTACAATTTCGCAGTTATATATAACAAATTAACAATTATTATAATATACGTTCCAAAATTCCCTCTAGACGACCTGACCCGGTCCTATCCAGATCTCATTATCTCAATAATAAGTCCGTCAGGTACATCGGGTAGGATATAGAAGACGACATGAAATATATATATGCCATCAGTAAAATGAACAAATATCCTTATTTATCATGCTATTGTTGAGTGTAGTATTTCACAACACCAACATGTGGTTCTATGACCCGGTGACCTAATAATAGTAATTAAATACAAAACAAACCAGGATCTGCATTATAAATATTTTATTCTTAAATTATTATATACAATTCCATTGTGGTATTTACTTTAATTATAAATAATCTAAATATATATATATATCATACATCAATTAATTTACTTTTGATTGCACGTACCCTTAAAATGCATTTACATCCTGACATTGAACTTCTATTCAAGAGATCAATGATATTTCATAACTACAACATCCTTCTATTCTTTTAATTATCATTCCCGTTTTAAACACCATGTCACGTCCTTTCGTTTTTTCTAAGTGTCAATTTAATAATCAATGTAATATTCATTAAGTCACGTGTTACTTATAAATCATATTAGGGACTCTATATAATTTTCCTTGGTGTACAACATCATTTAGGTTGTTATGGTAACCTGTAGCTATAGATAAACACAAATTGGATTAAAGTGTCAGTTTGCCGTTTTGACTTATTTATTATTAGACTGTATTCTTAAATATTCTTCAACACAAGGCAAAAGACACAGAAGACATGTTTCAATTTTGGAGGGATATCTAATAACTTTTGATGAAACAAATCAGGGAGATCTACAATCTATAAAATGTAACTTCATCACACTGACACTTTAATACATACACATTGACAAATCGACCTTGTAGCTACTATATCAATCACAAACGTACTGTTTTACAGTGTTTTATAGTACAAAATAATCATACACCTTCCAACAAATACATGTAAGGCTGATAGAGTGGTGGCGCCATAAACATTTATGATTTCACCACGCAATATTACAAAGTCATGATCATTTTTTTCAATCCAGATTCATATCAAGACTTCCTCAATGAAAATCTAGAGATAGCGAGCACTAAAAAGGTTGCCACGCTCTGCATGTCTGATTCTATCTTAAATATAATGGCGTATATCAAGTGAATATATTCCATATCAAACGTATCCATTGGGAATAGGGGATATGATGAACATCTAATCAAATTGTTCAATTCTATTTACAAGTGTCAATCTAAACGTTCATTTGTTATTTCCTGGCAAATGAACAAAAATTAATAACAACCAATCATATTTAGAATGATAGCTCTAATATAAATAGCACCAGTCATCTGATTTTACTCAATCATTTTTCGTTCATAGAATTACACAAGAGGAAGAAAAATCATTTTGATTGACTGAGAATAAAATGTTGAATGAATGAATTATCACTATTTTTCATGATCACAAAGCAATATATACAGAGAAAAAGGTAAAACACTATAAAGATATAATCAAATACAATAAATAATAGATAAATGGTAATTTGAGATGTGAATGAATGATACGCTGTATATTCAGTACAAGGGTCGTTCAATAACTAGGAATACAAATGCTTTTACTTCTACTCTTCTGAAAAAATCTAAATGAACGGCCCACGTATCTCACCTAGACTTTTCTTATATCATACGAATGAGGACCTAGATGTATATGTCTATCATTTTTAGTAAAGAAGATGGGCTCGTGAGACGGTCAAAGTATGTGTAATTTGGACGGATGTAGAGTAAAGACATACATGTACAGTGCTCATCAAATATACAAATAATCATTTTCTTGATCTCGTGCGCAAACTCAAATTATACCTAGCTAGAATTGATATAAGATATTTCATAATTTGCTTGTATTCAAGCTAAGAAGAAAAGTATTGCGCTCAAATAAAAACTGAATAATATACAGATTTATCACAATCAAAACTGAATGCTTAACCTTAATATTGTCGTTGTCTGGACAATACTTTTTTGGTTAAGATTCTATAACGTTAGATCTACCAAACTTACCTCAGGCTTTTAGCCTAATATATCACATTTGAATAGTCATACATTAGATATGTATCGTTGAAATATCAGACCAATATCAAGTATTCATAAAAAACAATCCTTACATCATAAACTTGTGCCTAACCATTGATATGAAACACTTAACGTGTTTTACATCAGCCATCAACGAGCAATCAAGGTGCCACTCGCATTTACTTAATTTCGTCAATCCTTGTGGAATCGATGTTTTACCAAAATCAATTAGTTGCACCTTAACCAGTTTACCATATCAACAACCCTTGGCATTTCGTGTAAGGCTTGCGGTAATGTTTCAGCGACCTACATGCACGAATTTACATTATATAATCTCGTGCAAGGGATAAACCATCATCAAATTTTAAGACTTATTTTACGATGCGCATAAATATCAAATTGTTATCGTTTTCCATTTTTATTCGAGACAATATGTATATAATATTATATACAGCCTTATCTACACAATGTTGAGTGTTCCAATTTATTAATCCGTTATCCAGTTAAAATATGTTTACCGCATATTATGTTTTGACCAGTTAATCATCATACGACGTATTTATTAATCTTTATGCAAAATAAATCGGACGTGTATTTGAGGTTATGTGACAGGGTAAGCGATACGTCTTAAAGGAGATTATAGTACTGTCTCATATGTCAACAAGTCTACAAGTACTAGACGAACGTATATAAACAATAGATCAGCTATGGCATGATGTATTTGATTTTATAATTGTTTCATTATTTGATCAACATGTTTTTCTTAATGGGACATAAAGTACATAACAGATCTAGAATACACAGCGAGACAGAAACATAATCTGAGAGCACACTCGGTCATGTATGGAAAACAAACCGAAATATCTCTAAATATGACAAATTATTGTTTCAAATTTGAACTTTTTTCAGTTTTACATTGACTTCTTTTAAGTATGTTTGATCTAACATTTTTCTAGCAATGTCCATTTTAAGTGATTACATCTACAAAACAAAAAATGCCTCCCAAACATACTTCTAAATAAACTTGTATTGAACACTAAGTCAACTCATCCACGTCGTGCATTTTTCAAAATACACGTTGACTGCTTTTATCTGGAAGTTTATTTTTTAAGAAGTTATACATTTCGTTGGTGAACTAGAAGTAAATGAACATGATGTTCACGGTCAATACATGTTATTTATCTATACGAGTATGTACTGGTCAGTTGAAAGTATTTGTTCACCGGTTGAAACAGTTTCATTAGCTGCAGCTGTATATTACTTATGTTCGTATTTTGGTAGCATGCTTATTCCCTTTTGAAGATAGGACGGAAGTGGTCCAACATGTTAATAGCATTATCGATGGACCATATACAATTACAAATCTTATTTCCCTTAAAAGATGAGCTTAATTTGAAAAAGTTCTTTAAAAACTACGACTTGAGTACCATAGATTTTAATCTGTTTACTTCTTGATAGGAAAATCAAAGTCTGAATGGTTTATTTTGAAATTCGCTCCATTCAAGGATCAAAGCTACAACATGAGCGGTTCTGAATAATATACTGTATGATATGGAAACAACGTTCGATTTCAGCTAAGTGGTTCAATCACTGCTTGGATTACCGTTCGATGAAACAATCATTCATCACGCGGCGAGCAAAAATAAACTCGTACAGATTTTTGGTTCCAATCACGTGTAACGTTGAAAAGACTAAGATATAGTATCTATCTATAACCATCGTGTACCCTACATAGCTTCGATCAGGAGCTGGAAGTACTACTACTTTCTTTGGAAGCGGATTGGGAAGTTGAAAATGTTGGCTTACGAAAGATAAGGCCACGTGGTCCTCTAAGAATGAGATTCACCTTCTGTAAGTTGCAACATATGAGGTTCTTAAAGGCATATCTATAATCTTTTGAAAACAGAGCATATATACAAGGGTTTAACGCGGAATTACAATACCCTAACCAGAAAAATATGGAAAATACCAAGGGTGGGGTGCAGTCCTTACAGAAGGCACCGATTAGATACACTGTAAAAAATGGCAGCCAACACAAAATGAAAACACCAACAATTACTGCCAAGGTTTTTGCTGCCTTTTTCTCGCGATGAAATCGTTTGAATTGATTTTTAACTTGTGCTTTATGGGTTTCCTTAGCATATATTTGTGAATAAGACGCCTTTGTACCTCGTCTTGAAGTGATGGAAATGTTCTCACCATCTATACTGTATGAATTGATTGGTTGACTGCGGCATTTTCGATGTTTTTTGCCCCTTTCTGGGATAGTGATATACGGTTTCTCCGATTCCATTTTTGTAATCGTCTTAGATTCAAAGTCATTTGTATCACTGGTGATGGAAAAGTTTCGTGGAAGGCTTGGGCACGGCATGCTATGCCTCGCTTTAGGTGATGGTGTGACTTCTGTCGCTGCTTTCTCGGGCAATTCATGTTCATGCTCATTGATAGAGGCATTAATGGGTGTATACGAGGCTCTAGATCGAGACCTCTTCGATCGACTAGTCGTTAATGCAGCATGTCTTTTAGTGCTTTTTACACTTCCATTTTGTCCAGACCCCCACGACGAACTTCCGTTTTGCTGGCTGCGAATGCTCCCTGTGTAGCTTCGCACACTGCCTCGAGATTGGAGAGAAGGAGATTCCGCAAATTGCTTGCTCCCTCCTCGGTGAACGCGCAGTGTAACAGAAACCTCGCTATTTGGTGAGTAATCTCCTTTTCTCGTATGTGACTTAGTCGTTATGGTACCTCGTTTCAGCGCCTTCGTTGCCCTAGTGGCGGCTAGATATATTCTCCAATAGAAAAATACTAAAATACAGCAGGGAATATAAAAAGACCCGGATGCTGAATACACTATGTATCCTGGCTCCGAGACCAATTCACAACGTTTTGGTCCATCGTCACACGATATAGTTCGTGGAGAAGGCATATCTGTTCCGCTAACAAAGGCATATGTTACGTTCTCTGGTTGTAGGCCAAGCCGGTGCAACTCAACATTAAACTCAGAAAGATTGTGACGGATTGTCGGTGGGTCTATTTTGACTATAGATGATCTCTGTTCATTCCATCCAACCAATGGTGGAAGACATATCACAAAAGAAATGATCCATACGAGTCCTATAAAAATCTTGCCACGTGCTTGTGACATAAGGTCGTGATATTTGAATGGCCTGGTAATGGCGAGGTAACGATCCAAACTGATAACACATAAATTCAGTATAGAGGCGGTACACATCCAAACGTCTACAGCGAGCCAGATACTACACCAAAATGACCCGAATATCCAATAACTCAGCACTTCCTGGGCAACAGAAAAGGGCAGCACCGTTACGCCCAAAAATAAGTCCGCACATGCTAATGACGCTATAAATAAGTTGGTGACACTCCGGAGTTTATGGCACGTGAAAACAGCGGAGACAATAAGTACATTTCCGCCGATGACAACAGCATTTATGATTCCTAATATGGTTGTCACAAGTATAAAATGCCAGGTTCCGGTGTTTGCATACTCATAGTGACAACTCGAGTTCAGATGACTAGAATTCTCCATCACAGTTTACGCTATAGATTGGCACAAACACTTGCGCACATTACCTATCGTTGATAAATTCCCCAAGATTGCTTTGATCATGCTTCGCATTCCAATTTAAATCCCCTAAAGTGCGATTAGTCATGCTTTGATCGTTACGAATTATTTTTTCATGTAAAGTTCATTTTCCAAAAATACCATGAAAACGAGTTCATTAACCCTCGGCTGAGTTTCTTCCCAATTCTTATTTGTTACTCACTCATTGATGTGATATGCAGCTTAATTCTATCAGAGGCTGTAAGATGCGACTAATTGCAGATTTGCTGATATCTACATTCGATTAATCGGGTTTAGTTTCGCTTCATTCTTAATCCTATTCATGACGTCACATTAATGTTGATTTCACTTTTGACCATCTCGTGTTTTTTACTTATATGTAACAGCATATTGTTCTATCCAATTTCGAATACTGTTTGAGTGACGCACTGCTTAGTGCTCATATCACAATATAGCATAAACTGTCATTCCTTTCTGCAGAATGATGTATTCTTATGCAGGCTTATATTGATACGTTTATTGGTTTTCCAAAGCTGCCCTCTCTCTGGCATTAAGATCACTGTTAATTGCATTTATTTTATCTGTCACTTATTTCTTATACCGAACATACTTCGAAGTTCGCTCGTAGTTTGTCTAGGGCAGATAAATTTGATGAATCCCTAGCTACATGTTAATTTACACAAATGCTATTCATTTTCTATAATCTTTTGTATGTTTATTGATGAAATAAGCTTCAATGCTGCATTGTACTTCAAAAGAGATATGTTTATGTTACTGTTGGATTTCCATATGAATACACGATGCTTGTTTGGAGAGATGGGTCAACAAACTTGTGAAGATGTCCTAGTTCTACGTTACTTCTATATTAAGTGATAATCCCACTCTGTCACTGTCTCTTTCTGCGCCTGAAAAATATAAAGAACCTAGAATTACAATTGTGTAAAGTGTAAAAGTATAAGTATACTTAAATGTATACGATACTTTCAGTTATATGTTTATTTGTGTATCTTCTTTATATCAAGGGTATATATCATTCTAATGCATTCACCAACCTTGGTACAAAAACTATTAAGTGGATCCGCTAATCTAAAAAATGATCAATTACAGCGACATGACACCGACCTTGACAATGGATGAACATCCATGGAATAACGTAGCATCATGCTGACATTCAAGCTGATATAAGTGCTAATGAAGATTTCTAATAGCTAATATAGCTACATATTTATTGTACCTTTTAATGCATTATGCATAATGCACGTATACATTTGTACGGAATTCGAAGGTGCATACACTGTAGTTTCAAATCAACTGCCATTATTTTAATTACAGTATACAGTATATATATATGGAATTTGAATATTTGGAGTTTGAAGATGCACTGCATTTCAAACCAACCAACAGTATATGCTTTTATCTAGAAGCCTAAAATGCAAAGAATTTCAAATCCACTAATTCGGTGCATGTATATGGAGTTCGAGATGCATTGTATTTCAAAACAACAATTAACAATTAACAGTACATATGGCTTTATTTAGAAGTCTAAAATGCAAAGAATACCAAATCAACTAACATTATATTCAGAATACACATTTATTTTATATGGAACACGAAAATGCAAATTTTCTAATATTATACGCATACATGTATATATGGAATAAGGTAGGGACAATTATAAAGGGAGACCTTGCTGGAAACTTATTAAGTAAGATATGCACATTAACACTCCCTGTGGCCTCATTCATCAAGCTGTAAGCATTCACTTCGACGTTGCAGTACAATGTTATCAATCAATCGAAACCAATGAAAAGTTGTCTAACTTGAATATCAACATTTGTCAGAAATTACATATATGGAACTGATTTCTTTGTATCATAATTCGGACCTTAGACTAGTTTAGATCTAATGTGTGTGGTCCAACAAACGTCTTAAAATTAATATCCTAGATTACTAGATATTCTACTCCACAGACATACTTTAGAAGATAGTGTCAGATATAGAAGGAGTGAAAAATTACAACCAATATATTAAATTAGTCATGAATATTCATGATTAATGATATCATTTGGTACGCAAAATGTTGAAATTCAACAAAATAACTTACATCGGTATCAATAGCTTAGAAACTAATGAATATTCAACTGACATTGACAGATCAAAATGGCGAGACAGATATAAAATATGTAAACCCTTTCAGCTGCAGTTTCAACATGATGTCGACAAAGTTTAGATTTAAAGAAATGTGGCTCTAAACATCTATTCATCGTTTTGTTTAAACTATTAACATGTTTAGCTAACACCCAGACTCTGGCTACAATGGATTCGTTGTTCTTTGTTTTACGATCAGTTTGGTTATTGCGTGTCGCTTCATAATCAATGTTCCAGTAAGATATCTTGTGAAAAAAAACTAATAATTATAGCATTTGCATTCGATTCAGTTAGTTCAATCCCGAATTACAAATGAACAATCAAATCTGAATGTTCTATTCTTCTACAGATACACGTTTATGTCAGATTGTTCGTTTTCTTAAAGTTGTTAAAGGTTTCACGGTTACACCTTTTTCAAACTTCGATCTCATTGCCCCGGGATTGCAAGTGTCATCCAAATTGCGAAGGCTGCTATGACAGGCACTACTCCAATTTGACAAATTGAATAAAATTAAATTTTGATTCGTACTAACATTGGTTATTGCCTGTACGATGGCTCAAAACACCATCCACTCTCTACCAATGAAAGAAAAGGGGGTTTGGAACAGCTACAGTAAAACTGTACATATATTAAACATTTTTTTTGCGGGAAAAAAAGTTCAGTGTTGGTAAGTATTCACTACAGATAGGGTAATTTATAGAGTAGTCAATAGAGTGTGTGTGGAGGAAGCATGTTCACTAGAGACAGCTGTCCACCAGTTTATGGCATGGGCCATTTTCCACCTCATATTTAGGTCATAGCTTCCATGAGAGAAAAGGCCCAAATGACCTAATTCCATGACCTATCTTACATTAACTAAAATTGTAAAATGGCCCGACCTGATTCACTCAATTAAACATAACATGATTATACAAAGTGTAGATTACTCCTAGTACATGAATATTTAATATTGTCCACTAAGACAGGTTTAACTGTAGTTTGGATTTCCTTCTTTAAAAGAGAGCTCCATCTTTAAATAAAACCATTGGGGTCTTTCGACCAGCAACAGAACCATGAAGCAAGCTGCTGTCAATTTTAGCTGGGGGTGACACTACTCCACAGAGTGAAGTATTTTTCTCTAGGCTACATAAAGTGATTCATAAAAATGACCACTATCCTCTGGATTTTAGGGTTGTGTTGGATTTTAGGACGAATCAAAACTTCAGTGCATAAGAAATTTCAAATGTTTAGCATTGACTAGTTACCCCCATAAATGTGGAGTTGATTTTCAAACCATCCTCACGACAACTTGTGTATTGAAATCCTTGGTTTGAAAATAAGCTGGATTGGTGTTTATTTAGATAAAATTCAGCTTTGTGTAAACTCCTGGCAATATTTCAAAACCCCAAGATTTCAATACACAAGTAGTTCTGGGAGTGATTTGAAAAACCAACCCCACATTTATGGGGATATGACTAGTGTACAATAAGCATTCCACACTATAAACACCCCTTCTATTATAGTGGCATGCAAAGGTCTCATAATTGCAAAGAACATCCAAAATAAGATTGCGATGAGGTTCGAAATTTTATTTATATATATATTTTATTTATTTGAAGTTGATATTATTCATAATTATTAAAAAAATGAATTGAAAAAGACTTAGTTTCCCCTGGTGACCGTTGTGAAGTATTGTATTTTGTGTAATATGGCAGTGGTTTGGCGATGAATGCTGGTTCTTTGCAGACGCTTTAGTTTTTAGACTGAATTTTGTCTGTCCAATATCACTTTATATTAAAAATAGAATAAGCGCACTCTTTTCAAAAACTATCCTGATGTCAGTAGCACTGATATTGTTTAGTTTGCTCATTAATACGTCATGTACGTATGAATGAATGTTTATGTTTTCTTTCTGTGTGTTGTAATAAGGCTCTTTGGTCTTCTCCTTTTTGTCATCACCTGTGCTTGCATATCCGCTAACTCATCTTGGAGTTAAGGTTATTCAAAACAAGCAATATCTTCAAAAGCCTTAAACTATATTTTCAAACTAGCAACAGTGGGGAGGATAAACAAAATGTACAGATTAGGTGCTTACATGCTAACAAGGCTATGAAAGAAGGCACATTCGAGTCAATTCACCAAGCGGTTACCTGTTATCAGGCATTTTCTATCTTGGGAGGGAATGGTTGGGGCCATAGTGACGAGCCATAGTGGTCATTAATCCATTATTTACCTGGCTGGTCCAGGGCGAATAACGAATTTGCATAGTGAAATGTTAGCCCTCGGGTCTTCGGCTCTTTCGCAAAGATTTTAACGATGTTGGCCTTTGAAATTAGGTTATTGATAAATTCGTGCTATAACTACTACCAGATAAATGAAATACGATCAGAAAGTGAGTTAAATCAAGAATGGGTGTTTTTGATCTACATGTGAGTTTGTATATCTATAATAATCTACTGCCCCTTCTCACCAGAGTTCTCTTAGTGATGAGATTAAACGAAGGAATTCAATATATTCGAAGATTGCGCAATCAATTTTTCACTAGATTAGACAAATCGCCATTCATCAAAGTACTATTGACAATTAATTTTTCCTGGTTATTTATAACTGAATACTCCTGACTAACCTTGAAGTTGCAAAGGGGAATAATAACAGAGCACCTAAAGAGCAAGAACAAATATACTGTAAATCACCATCTTGTCATCCCTTCTAGCATCTATTGCACGTTTTGGGACTGTGAAACGTACAGAAATGTTTAAAATTGTTGAAGATGGGAACGTTTGAATCCCCTTTCCAAAATGGCCGTCGAAGAACTTTAATAATCATTATCATGATAAATTTACGCTGAACTTATTTGTAGTATTTCAATCACTTCTGGCAGATTTCATTATTCTTTTGATGCCTTCGACATGGTTTCATTTATAATACAATAAATTATAGGTGGGAATGTCTATTGTAACTAATTTAAGTCATGTCAATGTGATCAGTGACTTTTCAGAAGAGGATGCAATAATGACATTTGTAATATCGGA